TTTCCGTTTTGGAGTTTTGTTTTCAATTTCCGATGTATGATGTGCTTGTTCCCTTGTGTTGCCCCCCGGCTTCGCACTTCGGTAGAAAGTTTAATGAGAACAGAAATAACAAAAGTGATCCTCCATGCCGTCTTGACATACAGATCCGTCGACGCGCCTTGGCAGATCGTGTTCTCTTGCCTGACGAAGGAGGCGAAGCTTGAATAAAACTAATACACGTCCGTCAATAAGCCGCGTAAGTGCAGTCCACTCACATGAAAGCGATTCAGCGACGATGTGACTCTTTACAAAATAACGGGCATGCACAGGCTCCGCTTACGGATGCTGGAAGTGGCCGTGAAGAAAGAAAGAGTAGAAATGAACTATCTCTGCTACATACCGTAGCGCTGAACTACCCCATTTTGACCAGGATAAAGGACCTAAGAAATGAAGAGTCACGTCTTGAAAATTTTTATGAGAACCATATGAAAGAAAACGAGAATGAAGAAACAACAAATTGACATTATATTTTGACAAGTCACAGTACCAAGGAATAACTCTGGGACGAAATACGAAAGCACATCTTGCGATTTCGGACTGCTGTTTGGTCACACTACCATTACGTCGTAATCGTCGTTGACAGCGCCAAACATATTGGCAGCAATAACATGGTTAGTATAACATGGCAGCATAACTACTGCTCGACAGTCTTGGCTGGCCACTTCAAGGGCGAATTGAGTCAAACAGCTACTGCCAAACTTGTGCGACACAAATTGGAGTCCCCCATGCAAGACTTCTCGAAGCCGTCGACCGAGCCCCAATCCTCCTTTTGTTGATCTCGCTGGAATTTCGGAGTTGGAGGACGCAACGCCTGCCCTACGAGGGAAGCTGACGCCGAAGGATCTCCGTAGGAGAGCTTCTGCGGTTAGGCGTTGTCAATGGTTTGTCAAACAATGTTCCCGGTGACCACGTGTGTTGTCTCTCTCTTTCTCTTTTAACAGAAGCAAATGGCGGCGGCTGGGGCAGACCCTGCATCTTAGATCGCTGCGCATTTTGCGCGACAAAGCACTGGCCATCCTTGGCTGGTCCCAATTAACCGGCTCCGGTTCCTTTAACACCGACGGGAGCAGTTTACAAAACAGACGCCTCGCAAGCTCTGGATTAGGCAGTCTTTCCAGATACGGGTTTGGTGAACTGTCCTCGATCCTTCGTCTTCCATAGCTTCCGAAGGAACGTAATTAGGTACTCAGGAAACGGCCCGCGCAGCATCTCTTTTTCGTACATGGAAAGCTGCATGTTTGCCTCTTCCAGAGACACTTGCCACTATACGGAATCAATTTCACGACTGGCTACGAATTCTTTGGGTTATATGATCTTCCGCCGGGCCAAGATCGATTACCTTCTTTATTCCAGATCCGTGTTTCATTCTCTTGAAACTCCCCACACAACGTCTTGCAGAAAATCGACAATGATGTAAAAGTGCCTTATTTTAATTCTTCTCTGTAATTGCGCGTCAGATAAATCTCGGAGCCAATGGGGCCTGTCGACTCTGATCGTCAAACCGCTTTGCCGCTGTCTGGGAAGGCATACTCCCAATACGGATACCACACTCACCGTTGTCGCCATCCTGGTCGGAGTATACCTTCCCTGCTTCCTATGCTCGAGACCTAGCACTTGCTCTGCTTCATCCAGTTTTGTTACGAACATAAGACCGCTTGTGACTCTTGGGATGGTGTACTCTGCACTATTTTCGCCCCTCTCCGTCAGCTTACGGCGTAGGGCGCAGTGAGAACTACCACAGGGACACGGCGAAGGCATGGCGAGAGCTATGGTGTGCGGGAGCAAATAGGCAGGTGTCGGAGTAAACAGTAAGCTCGACATTTAAAACTTCACTTAGGGTCCACTCTGGTGACATCACAGTGTTGGAGGTAGCCCTTTTCTATGTGCGACGTTTGCCGTAATACCCGCGACGGAGATGCGGCGATCATCCGGTGTGCAGAAACAGCTGCAATTGCGCGAGCCCGACTGTCCCTCACGTAAGGAGCATTGCATCCCGAACGAGACAGAAGCATGCAAAACAGTCGTTTATATGCCTCATTCGGACGGCAGAGCTATCCTGAATCCAATGCAACCTTCCCGGTATAGTAAACAAACGCCAATCTACGAAAACAAAGTCGTATTTCGTCCAGACAGTCGTCTTTTATGTTCTGAAACCCTGTTCGTCCCGTCTATGATTGGGACTGATGCCAGCCCCTTCATTGTTGCCGAGCATGCTGTGTTATGTGATATCCAAAGTTCGACACATGCCGAGCCGTAGCCCCCCCCTCTCCTCATTTAATGCCAGGAGATGTACAGCATAATGCCCGCGCCTGTCGCAATCGCGGCAAACTGGATCAGCGTCTTGCGCAGCTCTGCTAGCTTCGTGCTGCCCTCGAGGTTTGTCTCCAGCAGCTCGGGGATCACCGCCACTGTGCCCACATACAGGAACGTGCCCGCCGTGAACGGCAGAAGCATGTCGCCCCACGTCAGACTCGTGCCAAACAGGCCGGCCTCGACCACGCCGTCCGCCGCCGCCGCCGCCGCCGCCGAGCTGCTGTTGCCGCCAAACTCCTGGACCAGGATTCCGATGACGGTGCCCAGCAGGGCGCCGAGCGCCGTCACGAACTGCGCGCCCATGGCCGCGCGCTTGGAGAAGCCGGACTGGATCAGCAGGGCAAAGTCGCCCACCTCGTGCGGGATCTCGTGGAAGAAGACGGCCACCGTCGTTGTGGCGCCGATTGTCGGGGACGCGTAAAAGGAGGCGGACATGGCGAGGCCGTCGGTAATGTTGTGTGTGAAGTCGGCACTGCAGGAGAGGGGCGGAACAAACATGTTAGACAGAAAACCTAGTCTTTGTTCTTCTGGACACCGAAAGTGCTTACATCAGGTTGAGGTAGCCAGACAGCTTGACGCTGGCGCTCGCCTCGGGCACCGCGACGGCCTTGCTTGCCTCCCCATCCTTCTTCTCGGTGCTGCTGCTGCTGCTGCTGCTGCTGCTGCTGTTGGTGTTGTTGTTATTCTTGTTGCCGCCCTTCTTGCCGCGCGACTTGGCCGAGCCAGACGCCACGTCCGACGACGTGGTCACGGCCGTCGCACTGTCCTCAGGAGTACCGTGGTCGTGGTTATGGCTGCCGTGGTTGTGGTTGTGGTCGTGGTCGTGGTCGTGGTCGTGGCCGTCGCCGCCGGTCGCTATCCGCAGGCCCTTGTCCATTGCCACAAACGTCAGGAAACCGACCAGAATCGCCACGCCCAGCAGCAGGTTGCGGTTCGGCTCCACGAGCACCAGCCGTGCCCGGTCTGCCCGCTCGTCGTCCTCGCCCACAAAAATCTCGGGAAGCAGGTGGAACAGCGTATCGCCCAGCAGGCCGCCCACCGCAAAGGCCACCATCACGGACAGCGAGGCGGGGTCGATGTTGGGCGGGCAGAGCGCCAGCAGAAAGTTGGGGGGACCGGAAATGTAGAGCGTCGCGAGCAGCGCGTTGACCGCAGGGCTGCCGGGGAACAGCACCGCAAAGACCTTGGCCGTTGTCGAGGACGTCGCGCCGCCGTGGCCGAGCTCGCCGCCGTACCGCCTCAGCTTCTGCTGCCCGAGCGCCTGGACCACCTCGCATTCCTGCAGCCGGTCGTTGAGCGCCTCAGAGCTAATGGGGTACGGGATGGCGGTCGAGGCTGCCTTTGTGTCGGCAGAGGCCGTCATCGAAAACGCGAGCACGGCAAGTGCTCCCAGCGCAAACACAAACCCGAAGCGGCGGCGGCCATGGCCACTGGGCCGCGAGAAACGGAAGACCATCGCGTCCGGTGTCGGTGCCAGTAGAGGATGACGAGCTGAGAGCGACGCGTGAATGAATGTCGAAAGGCGGAAAGGGAGAAGAGTGACAGGAAAGACGAGAATAAAGAGACACAGACGAAGCCGAAGTAGCCCCAACTGCAAACCGTGGCGTCGTTGGACGCGTTTCCCTAGCTGAAGAGGTGGGACAAGCCAGAAGGCCGGAGATTGGACCGAACACGAGAATGTCCAGGCTGCTCAGCTCGAGAAAAGGGGAATGCTTGACAGCTAAGCTACGCTGATGTCGCGTGACCTGCAATGACTTCGTTTTGCGCTTTGTGGGCTTCCCTTTCCCTTTTCAGAGAGAGGGTGGGTGGGGGCTGTCAGGGGAAAGAGCTCGTCGGTGCGTGCTCTTTGGGTTCGTCTTCCTTCCCCATTCGCGACATACGTCACTGGTGACTGCCCTTGTTGTATTTTGACAAGCGGTCGTTCTTTCCTCATGGTGCTCGCTCAACTGAATCGTAAATAAACAGAACTCAACCGCTGATTTGCTCCTTTTTGGCTTCATTCCCCCTTTTCATAGTTGATGCATATTAGAACTTTCAGCCGCCTTTTCGGGCTCCGGCAATGTTTGGTGCTGTCGAGACGTTTGCACCACTGGCAGGGCCTCGACGAGCCCCGTGTTCACTTTTTACGAGCCTCGCAGCATCCCCTCGCGATCCCCTTACACAAACCGTACCACCAACCCGGTTTTGCAAATGGTTCTTTTCCCGGACGGAATTTGGCATCGAGGCCAAAACAGTGCTGCCCTCCATCTTTCGTCTCCACTCTCCAAACTATTGTGTCAATGGGCCAGCAGCAGCTGAAAAGCTGGCTAGACTATGCGGCTAAAACTTGGACAAGAGAAGAAGGGGGGTTCATGTGAGGGGCATTCGTCACATTGCCATTCGTTTCATGTTCGAGAAACTTGCTACGAGTCCGTGTTTCTGGTGAATTTGCACCTTTTCTCCATCGTGGGAGTGCTTTTATTCATATCGCTGCAGCGAGCCTTGCAGATACAGAGTCTTGGCAGGAGAAACCTCGCATGTTGTACCACAATCTCAGCCTGTGCTGCTTATAGACAAGGCTGGCCCTAAGAAGCTCGCTTCGTCAACGACCCTGAAAAAGCTACCCACCCTCGGAGCCAAACGTTCGCAATCGGCCCCGCCATTCTACCATGTCTTGGCTCCCCCACGGCAGGTCAAAAACAGGCCTGCTCTTCGACGACGGTCATGGCCAGTCGGCTACCGTGCCCGCCGTGGCTGCATACCGCGGCCGTCTCTGGTGCATATGGACCGACCTCGACGGCCAGCTCTGGTACTCGCAAACCGGTGGCAGCGGCAACGAGGAGCAGTTTGGCCGTCCTGTGCTGTTCGCCGAGACGGGCTTGCCGGTGATGGCTAACCTCAATGGTGTGCTGCACATGGTGATTGTGCAGCCTGGGTCTGGTCTAATGACGCACTTCATCCATGACGATGACGATGCAAGTGTCGCCTGGGCGAACCTCGGCCCGCTAGACGCCGACGCGGGACTCGTGGCGCACTCGACACCTGCTATTATTGCGTTCCACAACAAGATCTTCCTCGTTTTTCTGCGTGACGGCCAGTTGTACTACACGATCTGGTCGGCTCTTGGCCCTGGCGCGCGGCAGTGGACGGTGCCACAGCTGGCGGCTGGTCCCGAACAGCGGTTTCGAGGCATCCCGGCCCTGTTTGTCTTTGAGGGCGTCTTGCATGTCCTTTGCGGTGCCGACACGGAGGAACGCCACATCATCGGCTTCCGTTACGACTACATTGGCCAGACATGGACACAGACGGACGATGTGTCCGAGGGCCGTGCAGCGACGGGTGTCAGCGCCGTGTCCTTTGGTAGCAATGCCTACCTGGGCATCATCGAGTCAGGGCCGAGTGATGAGACGCATGCTGTGTATGTGGCCGCGTTCAACGACGGCGTCTGGGCGCCGCACGAGCCTGTCGCCGACACGACAGCTGCCGACCCGCCGCAGATCACCATTCTCAACGGTCGCGTGCACTGCATATTCAATGACAACACCAAGACGCGCGACCTGCGGTGGTACTCGCGCCCCGTGCTACAGTACTCGCTGACGTCGTGGATGGCTGGCCTTCCTGACGATCAGCCCGTATCCAATTTCACTATACCGGGCACGCACGATAGCTGTGCACGCAGCAACATCCCTTTTGTCCGCACGCAATACCTTTCCATCAGCCAGCAGTTGGCTCTAGGTATCCGCTTCTTCGACTTGCGACTGCGTCGCCATAAGGATGGCCAGCTTTACTGTTACCACGGAGGCATCCCCATCGACTACCCAAAATACCTGTCGTTTGAGTCGGTGATGAATGCCATATGGTCCTTCATGTCGCCTGGAGCCAATCCTGAGGATGCTTCGGATGTGCCTCCGCTGACTGAGACGGTGCTCGTTTCCATCAACAACGACGACCACTCGAAGGAGCAAACCGACAATCCGGCTGTTTTTTACAGCTCTGTGTCGGATGCGATTGCCTCGACACCACCGTGGCCCAACGGACAGCATCGCTGGTACACGGAGCCGTTGACCCCAAAACTCGGTGATGTTCGGGGCAAGGCTGTGCTTCTGCGGCGGTACGCAGGTGACCCGGCCATCCAACCAACTGCGCGGCAGGGCATGGATCTCTCGGCCTGGCTGGACGATAACCCAGACTTTACCATTGTGACACCGACGCAAATTCGCATACGTCTGCAAGACAAGTGGAAGTTTGCGTACCGCATTGCCCTCCACGACCTGATTGCATCCAAGGGCGAATTTGTGCAGAAGATGATGGAGAATGCGAGCAGCGGCAGCGCAGACACCGACGAGCCGCACGACTGGTACATCAATTTTTGTTCGGCAGTTGGCGACCCGGCTGAGCACGGCGAGATCGCAGAGGCCAAATGGATCGCGGTCGGCGCTCACAGCCAGTTTATCGGCAAATGGGTGCCCGGAATGAACGTGCTGTCCAATGAGTACTTGCAGAAGAACTACGGCGCGACCAAAGGTCGGGCGCGCTTGGGCATCGTCAACCTCGACTATCCAGAGCTGCCTGAGTCGAACAATGTTGTGGCCCGGCTGATCGAGTCGAATTTCTGATTATGCTTGTGTTTATTATTTTGTGTACTTTTGCGGATTATTGGATCTTCTTGGCTTTTGTTTCACTGTTTTCGATGTGCAGCTGTCTTTTTAGACAGTATTTGGGTACACACTCACATTGGGTACATATTTACGTGCGTGGACAATTTCATTTCATCCGACACCTTGCGTTCCTCGCATTGATGATCGTGTGGTTGCTAGTAGTAGGCCCATCACGGGGTATCTACTTTACTCCCTACTAATCTTCCAACACGGACCACCCGTCATCAACTTTCATGAGTTTGCCACGCAAGTTTCACGAACATTACACTACCACTCAAGAAGCCGCTGCCCATTTCCAGCAGAGCGTTACTCAGTGCTGCAGCAAATTGTGAAATGGCAGCTTTGTGGACCGATTCGCAAAGGAAGCTGTGCTATGCATTCATTCTATCAAAATAAACACAAGTGAAGTGGTGGAATAACAAGCATAACAAGGTTGCTGGAATGTGCTGTCACATGTTGTGATTTCCGGATCTTCTCCTACCACACGCCCAAGCCTTATCAGCCATTTGGGCCGCAAACCTGGTTCACTACCCTACCGAGCCTACCTGCCTGCCTGCCTACCCTGTCGAGCCGTCCACCCATCGACAGGATACTTGCCGTCCTCCGGGACTGGCGAAGAACACCCCTGTCTAGTGCAATTGGGGCCGAACAACAAATCCCCGCCAGCACATAGTTCAAAGCATTCAAACATAGACGAGCACCCACTTTTTGTTTCTTTATTTGTTTTTTGTTGCTATATTTAAGCACAACAGGTATTTAGGCCATCTGTGGGAGCATAGAGCAAAAACTGCCAAAGACTGACAAAAATCTACATTGGGAGCAATGGGACAAAAGGACTCCAAAGATAAAAACTCTCACGGCCTATAAAACCGAAAGCAGGCGATGGCGGCAGAACGGCGAACAATAAGGGCTTCACTATTCTCTGCGAGCGCAAAGCCGGTCATTGGCCTGGCTCTCAGTCAGCCAACAGCGCCTGAGAAAACTCTGCACAGTCCCAGTTCAGTGGACCCCACTGTTTGTGTTTGTTTGCTGTGGGCATTATTGGAACAACGTTGATGACTTTGAGAACGGCCGACACTGTGTTCCACTCTTTGCCTTTTGCTACCTTGGCATATCGACGACAGTTCTGATCTCATATTGTGGGTGACTCGGCCAAGTCTCGACAAGCAGCCGGCCCAAGTACTTTCTTTTGAGCCCAAGTATCTACCCCCTCTGGGAGTCTTTCCGAGCGTCTGTCAGCCATCCAACCTGTCATGACGGCCTGCCTTCCGGAATGCGGAAAGGGATCCAGTCAGTGGCGATCGCTGGTTCCAGAACCTCGATCCCTGACACCAAAATGCCGGACCTAGACGTATACGTATGCACGCTGATCGAATAAACAACATCAACTGCCCTGACGCACCAGGGAGAGAAAGAAACAGACGGATTGAGAAGCGATTCTAAAACGGACACAAAGGAAACATCAAACATCCCAAGCAAAGAACAGACGAATGGCCGTTGGCGAACGATTGTCGTGGCTGCAGGTACGCGGCCACCAGGGGCAGAGAGAGGGGCAGAAGGGACTTCCATAGCGAACTGCGATTGGATGCTTGACGGCGCCTCCATTTTGGCCATCCCTTACTCCTGCGCGATGCGTCCTTTTTCTTCTGTCTTTGAGCCGAGCATCGTCCCCTCCTTTCCATCGCCACTAGTGTAAGGTACGGGTCTAGGCTTAGGACGGACACGCAACGGCCCACTTCTTTGTTCGACTGGCTCGCATGGTCTCCGGCGCCGTTCTTGTCCAGAACTGCCTCGACTGCCTTCCATGGAGGTTGCTCTCCGTCGAGCTTGTGTTTCTGTTGTTCCTACCAGGTTCCTCCGGTGTGCCCCAGGGTGTGGATCGCAGAGCCGTGGTACCCGCGATACCCCCCTGTTTACCCACACTGTCGAGATCGACAGAAACCGGGAAAATATGCTAGGTACGAGTACGTGCCGGCCGGCCGTCCACGATGTACTACTTCGAGTATGAATACATCGATCATAGAATCTGGACTACGACAACGCCCGGCGTGGCCAGTTGAGCCGATTCGAGGAGATGGGCGATGGGCAAAAAAAACGCAAGAGCTCTTCACGCGGCGTACATTTTGTTTTAGTGAGGCACGGGAACTTTTGCGACTGATCGGACTTGAACGGTAGAAACTTCGAGACACCGGGAAACCAAAGGCAACAAACCAAAATTGCCAGCAAAAGCCCACAGAAACGATCTGGAGAGAAATCTCGCCATGGTGGTTCGGGTGGTCCGCACTGTCCGGCCTGACACATGCGTCGTATAGCCGCACAGTACGAAGACACGCGCCGATGGAGAACGGCGATAGGTCGTCAAGTCTTGTTTTTCAAATTTTAGCTCAGCCGGCCACTTACGTACCTCTTGGCAGATACGACCTCGTATCCGCCTCCCTCCTGACCTGTGGTTCTGTACGTGTTCCTGCTTCCTTGTCTCAATTTTCCTTCTTTCTCCTTCTTGGATTTCGTCATTCTTTTTTATTTATTTTATTTTCAACCTACAACGTCCACTTCTTCTTCTTCTTTTTCCTCTTTCTTATTTCTCTTTTTCTTCCCTCTCTCACCTCGTATTTCCTTCGTCGTCCAATCTTCTTCCACACACTCGTTCGGAAGTATTATTTTGTTATTTTTTTTTTTTTGAACACACGCTTGTTGTTTTTCGGAAAGCTTTTTTTTACCTCGTCAAAATGCACTCCGTCCTCTCCCTCACGGCCCTTGCCGCCGTCCTGCCCCAGGCCCTCGCAGCCTACCAGGGCTTCAACTACGGCTCGACCTTCACAGATGGCTCGGCCAAGGCCCAGTCTGACTTTGAGAATGAGTTCAAGACCGCCGCTGGTCTTGACGGCACCAACGGTGCCTTTACCAGCGCTCGTCTCTACACTATGATTGTACGTTGCTGGAATGTCTTTATGCCTACCAAACACGCCTTCTCGCCATTGATCAGTTGCTAATTCGTCAACTCCTGCTACAGCAAGGTGGCACTGCCAACGACGTCATCTCTGCCATTCCGGCTGCCATCAGCACCAAGACCAGTCTGCTGCTCGGTCTCTGGGCGTCTGGCGGTGATGCTGGCTTCGCCAACGAGCTTGCTGCGCTCAAGGCTGCCATCAGCACCTACGGCGAGTCTCTCGGCCCCCTGGTTGCCGGTATCTCGGTCGGCTCCGAGGACCTGTACCGCATCACCCCCACCGGTATTGAGAACGAGTCCGGTGTCGGTGCCGGCCCTGATGTCCTGACCAGCTACATCAAGCAGGTCCGTGAGGCCATTGCCAACACCCCGCTGTCCGGCGCCTCGATTGGCCACGTCGACACCTGGACGGCCTGGGTGAACGGCTCCAACACTGCCGTCATCGACGCCATTGACTGGCTCGGCGTGGACGCCTATCCGTACTTCCAGAACACCATGGCCAACGGCATTGCCCAAGGTCCGGGCTTGCTCAACGACGCTATTAGCGAGACCACTGGTGTTGCCCAGGGCAAGCCCGTCTGGATTACGGAGACTGGCTGGCCCGTCAGCGGTAAAACGGAGAACGAGGCCGTTGCTTCGACTGAGAACGCCAAGACGTTCTGGGACGAGGCCGGCTGCCCGCGCTTTGGCAGCGTCAACGTCTGGTGGTACACTCTGCAGGATGCCGCGCCCTCCACCCCCAACCCCAGCTTCGGTGTCATCGGCTCGACCCTGACCACCACCCCTCTGTACGACCTGTCTTGCAGCGGCTCCAGCAGCAACAGCACCTCGACCTCGTCCACGGCCGCGGCCGCCGCGAGCTCCAGCGCTGCTAAGTCTTCGACTCCCGTCAAGAACTCGTCCTCGGCCGCCGCCTCCCACGCTGCCTCGTCGCCCGGTGTTGTCATCGGCGGCGGCGGTGCCGGTGGCTCTAGCGTCCATGTTCAGACCACGCTGCCCTCCACCACCGCTGTGAACACGGCTACGTCGACCCCCTCGGCGGCCCGCACCTCTGCCACTGGCTCTGGCTCGGGCTCGGGCTCGGGCTCGGGCTCTGGTAATGGTACCTCCCCCTCCACTGGCCGTGTCGGTCCCACCACCACTTCCTCGGGCGGCGCCACCACCACCAGCGGTCCTGTTGTCGTGACCAACGGCGCTGTGGCCATGTCGGGCTCCATCGGCGCTGGCTTCGCTGCCGTCATGGCTGCCATCCTTGCTCTGTAAATGCAGTCGGGTTTGGATATGACATTTGCTTTTGCTTGAATGGGAAACTCGGGGTACGCAATACGGTTGGCGTTGGACATGATATCATATTTTAACTTGCTGGGTCTTTTTTTGATCCTTTTTCTTGATCCTTGACTTTTTGGGGGGATTTTTTCTTCACATTCCATTTGGTTATGGCGTCCACTGACACGGATCGGCAGTTGTTACACGGACACGCAACCCATGACACTATGGACATAGAATGCACATTTTTGAGTGTCCTTGGACGATTCCGGGGCAAATTATAGACTTTCAACTTCTTGTATATTCTTTTTGGAATAAAAGTCCATCTTTCAGCTTGAATTCACTCATTTGGAAACTCACTCATTTGGAAACTTGTCACTTTTGCTCCATCTTTTGCTCCAACGGCAATTCTGGTGTTACTCTTACATTGTGTTGAATGAAACGACTAAAATACAAAGCACACCAGAAACGGAGCTCTTATGATGCCAACCAAAACCATATATTGCGAATATCAAAACAGACGTAATCAACGACCACGTCACAAAGGCCTCTCTGCCCAGCGACGACTACGACGACGGGGCGTCTTCGGCATCGTATGCGTTGATCTCGGCGTCCTCGCCGTTGGCCGCCTCGGCCGGCGCAGCGGCAGCAGCATCGGTCATCGTGGCATCCTCGCCAGCAGGACCAGGACCAGGAGAAGGAGCAGGAGCTGAAGTGGGAGCCGCCGCCTCGGCCGTCTTCGCGTTGTTGTTCTTCTCCTTGAGCGAGTTGTTGACGAGCGGCGTCGTGTCGTTGAAGATGCGCAGCAGCATGGCGGCCCGGTCCTCCTTGGGCAGCATCAGGTTCAGCGAGTGGAAGCTCTTCCACAGCGGCAGCGCCATGGGCTCCAGCGGCACGTCGCCCACCAGCGCCTCCGCTTCGGCATCCTCCGGCCGCGGCTCCACCTTGAGCACAAAGCAGCCCATGCCCAGGTCCGGCAGCCGCTCGCCCACCTCGCCCAGCTTGGTCCACTCGCCGTCGACAAACTTGGGGAACATCTCGACCAGCAGCGCCTTGAGCGTCGCCTTCTTGTGCAGCTTCACCACGCGCTCCTCGCCCACGTAGCCCGACAGCAGCGGCAGGCCCTCGGCCTGGATGCGCCAGCGACACACCTCGGCCGACGGCGACTCCTGCTTGACAAACATGCGCACACCGCCGTGCACAAACTTGACATTGGTGCCGCCGCCGCCGCTGCTGCTGCGCTGCTGCTGCGGGCCGTCGCCGCTGGCCGTGTTGGCAACCAGAATGTCGCGCACGAGGCCGCTCGTGTAGTAAATGGCCTTGGCCGGCTCGCCAAAGGCGTTGCGGACCATGAAGCGGTCCGAGGGAAAGCGCGGCGACAGGTGGTAGAAGGCCTGGATGTCCTTGACCACGGGGTGGTCGGCCGCCAGGTACTTGAACGGCTCCTCGTAATGCGGGCCGTTCTTGGGGCGCGGCGCTTCGGGCAGGGGGTCGCTCCCGGCCACCACAGGGGCGGCAACAGCCTCCTCGACAGCCTCGACGGTTTCGACGGATCCAGCTGCTGGTTGGGCGTCGCCGTTGGTAGCCTCTGCCGCCTCCTCCTTGGCCTCGGCTTTCGTCTCCGTCTCCGCCTCAGTCTTCGCTTCCTCGCCGTCCTGCTTCTGCTTCTTCACAGGCTGGCTGTCCACGCTGGCCACGTCGTCCTCGGCAACACGCTTAGCGCCAGCGCCATTGCTGTCGCCGTTTTCGGTCCCGGCGGCCGGCGCGGCGTCTCCAGAAGCGGGAGCCGGTGCCTTGGCCTTGTGGTTTTGCTGCTGCTGTTTCTTAGGCACGGCCGGGCCGTTCGGCACCGGCTTGGCCTTGAATTCGGCCTTCTTCTGCAGCACCACGATAAAGAAGCCGCCCGTGTCCTGCAGGTGCGGGTACACGCGCAGGCAGCGCTCAAGCGGCAGCTTGTCGGACGCCTCGTTGGCGAACATGGTCGGCACCAGGCGGCTCGGCGGGATGCCACCGCTCTCCTCGGTCGCCATAAACGCCTCAACCTCCTCCCAGTTGCGCCACTGGCGGCCCGACTTGTCCATAACGTCCCACGCCTTGAGGCCCGGCCGCCGCTGCAGGAGCGGCAGCCGGTCGCTGCTGTCGAGGATCTCGACCTTGTCGGACCCGCCGCACAGCGCAATGGCCGACGCGACGACCGACTCGTTCTCGACGGGGTTCAGACTGCACGTCGAGTAGACGACGCGGCCGCCCGCCTTGAGCATCTGCAGCGCGCGCACGAGGATGCGCACCTGCACGAGGTGCAGGCCCAGCGCATTGCCCGGGTTCCACTCCTTCCACATGTTGACGTTCTTGCGCAGGGTGCCGTCGCCCGAGCAGGGCACGTCCGCCAGGATGCGGTCGAACTTGAGGTAGCGCTGCTGGGGCGGCTGCTTGGCGCCGGCCTCGCTGGGCAGCGGCGGCAGGCGCAGCGACGGGTAGATGGTGGCGTCGTGGTTCGTCACGATAATGTTGGGCGACGACAGGCGCTTGAGCTGGTGGACCAGCAGGTGGCTGCGTTTGTAGTCGGCGTCGTTGGCCACGAGAACGCCCGTCGCGCGGCCGTCGTCGCCGGGGTCGGCCGACAGCTTCGTCGTCGGGTCCTGGTTCGGGTCCTGGTCCTGGTCCTGGCCCTGGTCCTCGTCGTCGTTGCCCTCTGCATCCTCCTCGACCTCCGCAATGGTCTCGGCCACGACGCCGCTGTCGCCCGCCAGCGTCTTTTCAATGGACCGCATCACCTTGCGCACGCGCGCCTCCTCGCCCTGGTGCACCATCTCGAGAAGCTGCGCAGCCTTGCTGCCCGGCGCGGCGCACAGGTCCAGCACGGCCATGCCCGGGCGCACGTCCATCAGCAGTGGCGGAATCATGCTGACGACCTCCTGGCGGCTGATGTTGCCGACCGTCGTCTCCGACACCAGAAACTTTTGGAACGCCGCAAACGGCGGAAACTTGCGAATCACCGTCTTGGACGTCGTCATCCACCAGGCCAGGTTGTCCGGGTACCAGGGCACGGCCTGGGGCGGGCTCACGGGCTGGCCGTCGTACTCGCCGATCTGGGCGATCTCGGGAATGTAGCGCGTCTGCAGCAGCTTCTGCACGGACTGGGCGTGGCCCTTGGAGCCGCAGAACCGGAAGCTGTGGGGCAGCTCCCGGCGGAACGCCCCCCAAAAGGCCTCGCGCTCCGTCTCGTCGTCGTCGAGGCGCAGCAGGCTGTTGTAGTACGTTTGCAGCTTCTCGTTGTCCTTGACCAGGTCCGGGTACGATTTGTTGTAGCGCTCCTTGGACCGGCCGCCGCCGCGTCCGCCACCGCGGTTTTTCTGTGGTCGGGAGAAGCACGGTCAGTCTTCCTCTTAAACAAAAATAAAAATAAAAAGTAAAACAAATAAATAAAATAAATAGAACTGGTCCTCGGATCGTCTCCAACTCACCTTGTTAAAACCGCCACGACCCATGATGCCGTCGAGTACCTGTATCTCAGAGAGTGGGCGCCGCGCGTATAAGACACAGAGACTCCGGGTGTGTACGCTCATGCAATGGCGACCGCGCAGCCTCGTCGGGTGGTGTTGGTCGCAATTGGTGGGCAGCAAAAGCTCTGTTTGCACTGCGATGCACCGAGTCCTCGATCGCGCTGGGGAAAATTTACAATGTAATCGAGGGAACGCCCCACTTTCCGTCCTATCGATTGCTTATCGTATGGATGATAACGATGTACCAGATACTAAAATAGCCTTTAAATTTGGTGTGAAGTGAGGTATATAGTACAAATGGCGTTCTCATGCATATTCATACAACGGTTTGGTACATAAATGCTACAGGTCCAGCAGGCCGACGGTCCAGTGGACAATGCGATCGACGCCGTGGCCGTTGATGGCGCTGACGGGGATCGCGGCCAGGTTCTTGGTCCAGCCGCCCTCGACGCCGCTGGGGTGCTCCTCCTCGCCCCGGCCCATGCGGTCGATGTAGTCCTTGAGCTTGCCAAAGTTGGCCTCGGCGCTGGGCAGGTCGCCTTTTGTGGCGACCACAAACCACGGCTTGCCGGCAATGGCCAGCTCAGGGGACACGGCGGGCGCGCTCGCGCTCGTGCGCAGCCCGTCGGCCACGGTGTGGGATATGGTCTGCGCGGGCGGCTGCTGGGCGTCCCATTCAATGCGCGCTTCTCGCTCGCGCTGCTCTTCCTCTTCCGCGCGCAGACGAGCGTAGAGTCCGACCTCTTTCCAGAGGGCCTTGAGCGCTGCCACTGCATCGCCTGCGCCGAGGTCGACCACAAAGGCAAGCACACCGGCGCGCTCGACGTGCCGCAGGAACTCGATCCCCAGGCCCTTGTCGAGATGGGCTCCCTCAATCAGGCCGGGGATGTCAGCAATGGTAAACCGCGTGCGCGGCGGAACGGCGACCGTCGCATCCGCCTCGTCGCCTGCTACCGTGTGGATTTCGCCGTCGGGCGTCGAGGCAACGGCCTTTTTCTTTGTTGGACGCATCGACACGACGGGGCGGCCGCGGTTGTTGTCGAGCACGACCGTGCCGATGTTGGGCTGCAGTGTCGTAAAAGCCCAGGAGCCAACGCGCGCCCGGCTGTTGCTGACGGCCCGCAGAAGGGTGCTCTTTCCGGCGTTGGGCAGGCCAACAAGACCGACGTCGGCCAGCAGCTTCAGCTCGAGGTGGATGGTCAGCGACACGGCGTTCTCGCCCCGTGTCGCCACCATGGGCCGTGGGAGGCGCCGCGACACAAAGTGCGGGTTGCCCAGGCCGCCAATGCCGCCAGCCGCGAGCAGGATCGGCTGCGTGGTCGGCCGTGAGAGGTCGAGGTAGATGGGCGCGGGTGGTTGCACAAAAAATCGGTCCCGGCGTGGCAATCGCGGGTATTCGATGTTCCGCACCTCAGTCGACGACAAGCCAGGGTAGACAAGCCATTTCCGGCGCACCCATTCCATCTCCGCGTCGTCGTCTTCGTCCGCGTCCTGTTGCTGCTGCTGTTCGAGCTGTAGCTGCTCTTCGGACTTGGGCGGCTCCTCACCCTCCTCGAGCGCCAAGCCGGAGGTGGCCGCTGCTTTGGCAGCAGCAATGGCTGCCTGGTTCGCCGCATGGGCCAACTGTCGCTTGCGCTTGCGCGCATAGTGTCGCTCTCGGGCCAACACGGCCTCTTCGGCCACCGGGTCGATGCGGCTGGCTTCGGTCACAACTGTTCCGACGGGGACCGTGACAATCAGGTCGTCGCCACGCGGGCCGTTGCGGGCACTGCCCTGGCCATGCTTGCCGCGACCCGCTCGCATGACCCGACGCCTTGCAATCTTGTGCAGCGACGTCTCTCCAGGCACGGCCTGGATGTACACATTTCCGCCGTGGCCCCCGTCGCCACCGTTCGCGGGGCCGTCTGGAAGAAACATGTCGCGCAGAAACGAGATGCAGCCGGCGCCGCCAGACCCAGCATGGACCGTCAGCGTGGCCTTGTCGGCGAAGCTCGTGGCCGCATAGTCGTCCGGCGCCGGATTGAGACGGGACACTGGGTATGCTACCGGTGTTTCTTGTGGTATTTCCTCTCGCAACTCGGCCTCGGCCGTCTCATCCGCTGGCGGTGGCGTGGTCTGAGAGCCGTAGTGTCGCCGTGGTGGACTTTGGCGGCATGTGACCGGCCGCGTTGCTGGAAAAGTGACTGCAGCTGCGGCAGCCCGTCGCCCGCTATGGCCAGCACAGCGGGCTGCATGTACCGACGGAAACAGAAAGGACAGAAACAGCGGCGTGCTGCCTGAACATCGCAACGCCATGGCTGGTCTTTTTGTGCGCGTTGTGCCATGCGGTTGTTTACTTGCGGTTTTGATTTTTTTTTTCTGGGTCGGCCTCAAGGGTAACCGCTGATGCATATAGCGGGGCGGCAAATTGCTTGCGCTATGATGTTAGCGGTGCATTGGAAATCCTCCACAGACGTCCGAAACCATTTGCTTCTCAACACCCGCCCCAGCTCCGGGAGTTCATAACCCTACCAGTGGTCCATCAATGCGGCTGATATGGGATGCCATCGTCGGCTGTTTGACTGGACAAGGCTGGTCCGGCGGTTGCGTGCTGCCCGAGTTTGGGTTCGCTGTACGCAACGTTCGACTTTGGTTAACGATGCCACTGGGTCCACAGGCATGCAGCAGAGCAGAAGATTGGAGACACGCTGTATGTCGTAGACGAGCCGGGATAGGCGGCCGTGGAACACGAGACCGCGCGGTGGCCGGCTGCAGCTGGGAAATTGTGAGTGGGAGCCGCCGCTTTTTCCTGCCATTTGCTTCTCTTTTTATTGCCAGCCGCGGCCTAAACATGCGGTGTGGGAGGGTTGCATGGGCAGCAGGTCGACGAACAGCGGCCTGCAGGCGAGCCAGAGCCAAAAGGGCAACCGGGCGCGCAGCACAGCACAGTTCGTTGCGCGTGATGTGCGGGTGGTCGTCGTCTTGTTCGTCATCTTCGTCGTCTCTTTATGCTCCGTAATTTTGCATATTCACGTTTGAGGCCACAACGTTGGGAGCTGCTGCCCAATTGGGAACTGGACGAAGCCGCCGTCCAGTGTGCTCTGCGTCGTCCCTTCCTCTCTTCCCTGCCATGTTGAGAGTGCTACTGGTCCCACGCTCTTGCCTCCTGTCCGCCACGATCCGAATCGCCCTTGCCGTTTTTGTTGTAATTCGATGTGCGATGCGCCTGCTCTATTTGTCGTCCCACGAAGCAGTCCCCGGGTCGCACTTGCATTTTATTGTCAATTAAACCGCTCGGTGATGCCCCTAGTTGTCAACTGCCACACCTCAAGTCAGCTGCTGCAATCGAGACGAAGACAAAACGACAAAAACAAAACGACAATCATCCAACCTGTAATACTCCAGACACAACCCGCTCCATGCCCAACGCAAACCGTCTCCCACCTTGCATGCAGCAGTACCCCCCTCGAAACCACGGCTGCAGCGAATCACCTCTGGCCCCTTGGTCTGGCCCTAACCCACTTTCTGTGGCCGCACAGCTGCATTCGCCTCGCTGTCGTCCGCTCCGCTCGTCGTTTTGTTTTGTGGCTCCGTCAGTCTGTTGCTTTCTCACCCTTCCAGCCTGAGCGTATCTGCGTGTCGACTGCCACGACTATGACCGCCGCCGCCGCCGTCGCCGCCATCAATTTTGTCCAGACCACTGCACCGGTCCCTGTGCCTCCCACCTCCCACCACACTCTCTCCGCCACGCCCCCCCCCCCCCCCCCAACCGCTCCCCCCATGAAATTTGAACCTCGTGGTGATTTGACCTCAAGTCGAGCGTGAGTTCATTCTTTCTGCCGTTCTCTCGCTCTGTGCTCACCTACCCTTTGGTCTTTGTCGCCTTCCTCGTTCGTTNTTCCCCCCCCCCCCCCCCTCCCCCGTTCGTTTCCACAGCTTGCTACGTACAAGTGCTGGCAGGCCCTCGGCTCGCTTTCTGGATGCTGGACGCCTTAATAGAGCTCTCATCCCAGCCTCTCCGCCGTGCAACTCAATTGCTCTCCCCTTGGTTCGTTGCTTCTTCCTTCTACGCCCTCTCTCGATCGTCTTACTGCCGCATCGCCTCCAACCTCGCCGAACACTACTGTCCGAACCTCGTCCGCAGAACCTATCGCCCTCTTTGTTTCTCAAACGACTGGCCGAGAACGTGCAGCTGCTTTCACACGCGTCACACGCTGACACGCGAGCTACGAGGCGTTTGTTTACCTGTCTCCCTGTCTCCCTGTCTCAAATCCCGCCCGTGGCTCACGCGGTGTCGCTGTGCATTCGTGCTTGTGTTCGTGTGGTGGTGCGTGTGGTGCATCCATCCGCGGATGATCATTGCGTGAGTGCGAGTGCGAATGCGTGTGCGTGTGTTCTTCATGCATGTGTCTCGTCTCCTCATCTGCACTCTCCCCCTACATCTCAAAGCAGCACCAGCAGCATCAGTAGCCTTCTGATGGCCCCCGAGCAAAGCACGAGCAGACTCTATCGACACTAGTTCGCCGCCCTTTCCCCCTTTCCTACTCACACCACGTACGCCACGTACACTACATATCAGCAAACGCCATAAACAGACCCTGACACCCCCTTCTCCCTTTGCTACCCTGCCGCACGGCGAACTTGCCCCATCCATTGGAAGCTGCCGGGCCAGTGTTCTGCCATTGGGACCAGCAGGTCACGCTCTGCTCTCGCCTGTGGCCATTGGGCGCGACCTGCTGTTCTGCTGTTCGTTGCTACGTATTGGTCTTGACTGGTATCGGCACTGGCACAGATACTTGCATGCTGCAGTATCCTGCTGAAGGAATGTGTTTGCACTCGAGCCACGACACGACGCATGCCGCAGACGACCGGTTATCTAGGCATAACATACAGGCACACACTCTGCATTAGCCCATATGCCATTTCTACGCTCTTCTTTGCCTCCTTCCTCCAATCTTGTGTGATGGGCACCCTTGCAAGCCGCTTGTAATACGAACCTTGACAACTAATCTTGCCTCAGAGAACACAATTCAATTATTCAGCGGCTCCCATACTCGCCATCTGAGCTTCGTCACTGCCGTCTCTCAAAGCTCCACCTCCACGGGCTACGAGTGCCGATTAAAGCCGTTGGACCGCCGGGCTGCTGATTCACTTGTCCTTTCCCCGGATCTCTGGCCACGCCGACGACCAGCTCTCCTGTAAGTCCCGGCTCAAGAATCGCACATCGTCTCTGCTCGTCAACAAATCTTGGCTTGCTATCCTCCTGGAGCGACTCTGTACGCTTCCTGTTCTGGAGCTCGCATCCTTCACGCAATATGCACCTTGTTGCTACCAGTACCACCAGAGAGTGAAAGAACCAAGGAGGTTCTGTCTGCTTTGGCCCGCTTGCGCACACTATCTCCTCACGTCAAACTACCAGTCAAAGTTGTGTCCGGCCCACCACCAGGCTCAGACAGAAGTGGTCGCTTTAGTGGGCTTTGGTAGCAGCGGCAGGAGATGGCGAGATGAACTGAACCAAACAGATCCAGCAAACTGACGGATGTAGGTAAACATACAGAATTTCCGCCTGACGCCGCCTCACTTTTTCAAACAAATCCGCTTGTACTTTCGTGGGGTGGTGATTCTAGCCCTTTCTCTCCCAACCCCCAGGTTAGTGACGCTCTTCTGCTATCTTCTCTCACGACTCCGCATTCCCTCGATGACCCAAATATCAACACATCATACCCGCACGTCTGGTTTCCTTTCCTTTCCTATTTCAGGCCTTTCTCCTCTCGTTTTCCTCTCTTTCTCCTCTGTCCTACTTTCCATGGCTTCTCCGATCTACTTCCTCTTCCCGTTCTTCGCTTCAACCTCTCTCTGCTTGTGACACCCATTTCTGTCACAACAACCCTGTTATGACCCCATCTCCTGGTTTACCTGGCTGGCCCAGTTGTAGACCTAGAGAACAACGAAAGGCATGATCGTTTCCTTTATGCCGGCGGCTTCTTGTTGTGCGCTGTTGCACTCTCTCTGCTAAATCAGTTTTGCGCTCACCACCACCCTCCAATCCCCCCATCGACAAGCGCCTCTCCCCCATTTCCTCCACATGCCATCCCCGGATCTTTTACCGGCACCGCTCCACAACCCCATGCTCCACCCGGGACATTCTCTCCTCCTTCGTCTACCGCCTCTTCCCTGGACCGTCTACTAAATCATGTATGCCCAAGAGTACCACGACCCAAAGCCTCACAGGGTCATCATCAGAATGGATCCCGACTGCGCAATATGCGGTGCGCCGGCCAGCTTCGCCTGCGAATGCGAGGCCCAACGTCTCGAGCTGGCCATATCACAGGCCGAAAAGCAGATGATGCAGTCCATATATGATGATATCAAGTGCGTACTCGCTTTGTCTTTCTCGTTCACTGCAATCTCCTTCTCTCAACGGCGGCACTAACGTCTATAGAACATGGGTTCGCGAACACGCACGCGACTACATTCTCGACTACTTTGCGCTTCTCAAAGAAAGACGACTCAAGGCCCACGACCAAAACATGGACCGCATCAAGCGGCTTGCATACCACTACCACACACAACCGCACCCCGGCGAAATTCAGCAGGCCCAGATGGCCTTCAAGCGCGGTATTGACGAGGATTGGCAGTCGTCCGTCCAGCGCTACCCAGAGGTGCTCGGGTACTACTACAGCTTGGTCAACCTTACCCTGCCATCCGACGACGATCCCATGGTGCGTGACCCGCCGCTCAGCGCTCTGTCCGGAACCCGAAAATCCGGCCGCCGAACCGCCGCGCCTGCCACAGTCGCCAGCGGCATGGAGAGCATCGGTGCTCCCCCGCCTGTACCCCCTCCGCAGCGCATCAGCATGTACGGACACCCAAGAGAGATCCGCGGACGGACCCCGCCACCACCGCCGGCTTCGGAGCGCATGGCGCCTAGGACGCCCGTGCCCATACCACGCTCCGCCTTCCGACAGCCACCGCCCTCTTACATGCCCCATTACTAAAAAGAACGTATGCGCCATTCCCCCTCTCCCTTTTACTTATCTTACATTTACTCCACATAACGCTCTTTACGAAATAATGATCCTACTTATTGTAACTGTCTCTGCTTGTACCTCTCTCTCTTTCTTTTTTTTTTTTTTTTTTTTTTTTTTGATTATCTTCTTGTCCGCCACCGTTGGTCTAGAATCATGTCAAGCGAAGGCGCTGTTGTTTTTCTATCTTGCTTATTTCCCGGGCACGCTTTCTTTGTCCATTTATTTTACTATTCCTTGGAGTCGTCCTAGGTATCCAGTGGAGCATTTGAGCGTACAACTTATTGGTTAAAAGAACGAGACCATCCAAAATTTATCTTACGGCACCTTTTCTACCCTATGTGTTGGCAATTATTTGTCTCTTATTTATTCTGTCTCCGTTATATTCGTCCTTTTTTATAGAGTTTAGTGGACTTTCTCCGAGAGGCCACTCCAAACTAGTACCTTGATTTATCCTGTTGGCGGTCTCCAATATTGGTTGTGAAAATCTTGGTGAAATAAACATGCAAAAAGTAATAATAGGATAATATCCACACATCTATGTGACCATCTACGGTTATTTTTGTAGTACCTGAAGGTATCAGAAAGAGGCATAGAGGCTTGCAACATAATTTCGTAGGTCCATGGCCAAAAAATTTTATATGATCCCATCTCGCTAAAACGCGCCCATGCAGATATATAAAGCCCCCCGTAAAAGTAGTTTAGAAACAAACTGGAGAGGATGAGACAAGAAAAACGACGAGTCTCAAAAGGGAAGACAGGGAAGACAGGAAGACACAATAAGAAAAGTTCGTTAACAAATATTTTTGAAAAAAAAAAAAAATTTGTGGCTGACAAAACAAGATGCATTGAAACACAGAAAGGCCAACAATCAAGCAAACAAAAGCTATGCTTGTGGCAGAGTAGATATGGTTTTGGTGGGGAAAAGAGGAGGGAGCAAAAAGGAGGTGTAAACAAAAAAAGGAGGTGGTCGATTACACCTTTTTAAAGACAGCGTAGGAAAAAATTGGGGGGAAAGAGGCTTGCAAGCAGAGTGAATGAAGATGCGTAGAACAGATGGACCAGGAGATACTGGGTCGGGAGCCCAACAAAACTGGCCCTGTCGGTTCTATTGCTTGTCTTCCTCTCCCTATGCGGTGGCCTCCTCCTTGGCCTCCTCCTTGGCCTCCTCACCCTTCTTCTCATCGAGCGAGCTGTCCTTGAGGTCAGCGGTGACCTCGGCAACGGCTTTGTCGTCGGCCTTCTTGTCGCCAGAAGTAGCCGCCTCCTCCTCCTTCTCGAGATTCTCAATTTCCTTGCTGGCCTTTTCGATGTTCTACATACAGTTAGTCATGGTTTCACTGATAGAGGGCCATAGAGTAACAAAGGCCACAGAGAAATAAAACGTACCCGCTGTGTCTGGGCGGCCTGGTCATTCTCCCAGTGGGCCAACTTGGCCTTGACCTTCTCAATGACCTCGGGAACGTCGGCGGCGCTGGCCGGGGGGTTCAGGCCCATGGCAGCACAGTCCTCAATGACAGATGGGGGCACGTTGTAACCCTTGCCGCTGGCAGCGGCACCCTCCTTCTTACCGCCCTTCTTGCCGGACTTCTTGGCCGCAGGCAGGTAGAAGTCGTCCTCGCGGTCCTCCTTGCGCACCAGGCGCGTGCCCTTGAGGCCGGCGTCGTCGACCTTGCGGGTGGCCTGAGCGCCGAGAGAGCCCGAGCCGTTGGTGGCGGCAGCAGCAGCGGGTGCGGGCGTCGACGAGGGGTCGAAGAAGTGCAGCAGGCTGCGGGCACGGCGGATCTCGTCGAGGTAGGCCGGGTCGCTGGCCTCTGCCAGCATGCGCTGGGCACGCTCCTTCTTGCGTTCGCGGTCAAAGCGCTCGCGCTCGGCCTGCTTGCGCTCCCAGGCCTTGCTGCGGGCCTCGCGCTCAAAGGCAGCGAACGCCTTCTTGGCGCCATAGTACTCGTCCTTGATCTTGCGGATGGCGTCAAACTTCTCGCGCTGCTCGCTGTGCAGCTTGCTGCGCTCGTCGCGCAGGCTCGAGAGGTTCTTGTAGACGCCGTCCTGCTCGGCCTTGATCGCGTCGAGCTCGGCCTGCAGGCTGTTGTACTTCTCGCTCAGGGCCTTGGCCTCCGGGTCGTCCATGCTGTCCTTGATCTGCTTGATGCTGGCGCGCAGCTCGCTGATCTGCTTCTCCTGGACATCGAAGGCGGCAAAGTTCTTGCGCACCTTCTTAAGGTTGGTCACCTCGGCCAGGGCCTTCTTCTCGTCGACCAGCTTCATCATGCCGCCGTTCACCTGTTCCTCGAGCCGGCTGATCTGGTTGTCGAGGTCCTCGACCGACTTGAAGGGGACCTTGCCGCGGGCAGCCTTCTGCTCGGCAACGCGGCTGCGCAGCTGCTCGTCGAGGCGCTTGATCTGGTCAAGCTTGGATGTGCGCGCAGTCTTGCCACCGGCCTGCTTCTGGCGGATCTCGTTGAGCTGGGCGATGAGCTCCTGGCGGCGCTTCTGGGCGGGCGACGGCGGGCCGTCCTTCTTGGGCTGGACATTCTCGATCTTGGCCTTGACGGCGTTCTAGGCGGTGGGCAAGAGGGTTAGTATCATACGACAGAGCACATTCGTTGCGACGGACACGTGTCACATGCATCGGTCCGAGGACGGCAAGAATCACGCCGCATCACCAATTCCGGAAGAGAGAAAAAAAAAAAAAAAAAAAAAAAAAAAAAAAAAAAAGAAAAAAGAACATACGAAGCGAGTCATCACATCCTTGTGCTCCTTCTCGGCCTTCTCCAGAGCCGTCTGGTAGGCCGCCTCATCGGGCTTCTGGGGCCGGGCAGCAGCAGTCAGCGCAGAATCTGCTGCCGGTGCAGTCACAGCTTCGGCCATTTTTTATTTCGGGCAAGGGTTCGTCGAGGCGGCGAAGGGAAAAGAGACGGCGAGCGGTCGTGAGGACGATAACGAAAATACTTCGTGTGACGAAGGTGCCGATCTCGAAGCTACCCGCGTGGTCGTAAGAGACAGTGTCGCAGGAATGTTTACCGATCGAAATGGATGAGGAATGGGGGGCAGAGAAGAAAGGGGAGAAGGGGAACTAGAAAAGGCTCGAAACCGAAAATAGTCGCAAAAGCACAGAAACGCAACGAAATAAACACCTCCGCTACAAATCGGCTGAATAGGCCAAGGCCGGTCGCTCCTGCTGTTCTACGTTCTACTGAGTGACTGAGCAACTTTGTACTGTGTGGGGAGGGGGAAGGAGGCAGGGAAGTGTGAAAGACAGCAAGTCACCCGTTGCCAAAAGGTGTCCCTTTTTCAACAGACGTTCTTAATTTTTGGAATTTTTTTTTTAACGTTCTTTCCCGACTGAGGAATTGGCTCAAGTTTTGGACCCCGTGTCAAAAATTCCAAAAGGAAGGAACCACTGCCACCAAAGTCGATTGGCCTGGTCTGCGCACCCAATCCGTATTAGTGGGGCCCAACTTGGGCAAAAATACACTAAAAAAAGAGCGATTGAAAAGGAAGGGCCCTGCCGGGGTGGTGGATTCGATAAGAAGCCGATAAGCTCAAAGTCACGTGTCGTAGGCGGCGTCAAAAGTGGGTCTATTTGCGCCTGCCGTTTTTGCAGGCGAAACTTTTTTCTGCCAAACGAAGGTGGGAAGGAGCCAGCCGAACAATTGGAAAGCGACAAAGGCTTTTACGCTTCCATCTCCAACTTCTCAACCGCCTTGTCGCCATCCTTTGTCTGCGACACTCTTCCTCCGCCACGGTTGCGTTTTCTCACAGCGTTCCTTTCCAACGAGCAACGCGAAACTCCTTTTTTTTGCGCCGGTGATACGTGCCCCGACGAAAGCTCTCCGCGACGACGAGCAGGAACGGCGATATCACGATCCATACACGGGAGGACTCCGGCAACTCGCGACCACGCAGCACGCATCACGCACCACAGGCACAATGTCGTTCTCACCAAGCGGCGGCGAGGAAGACCCGGCCAAGCAGCGTGAGCTGCGCAAGCTGTGGCGGGCCTGGCGGACGGTTCACGAGATGTGCCAGGACCGGGTGCGTGGTTTCCCACAGTTGCCGGGCGGCTGGAAGCAGCATTCCGCCGGTCAGAGAACGTTGGGCTAACAGGAGGGCCGCTGAACAGGGTTACGAGCTGGCCGAGGACGAGGTCAAGATCAGCTTCGACGAGTTTGTCAACAAGTTCACCATGCCAGACGGCACGGCCGAGTACGGCGTCCCATCCCCTTGGCTTCCCACGTTCCTGTCGTCCCACGCTAACGAGCCACAGCCGCGGCAAGATGCAGTTTTCCGCTCGGCCATCCGACGCCATGATCAAAAAGTACACGCCGCCACCGACGGCCGCCCGCCCCGACCCGGTACAAGAGTGCGGCACGGTCTGGGTAGAGTTCATGACCGAGCCCCAGATCGGCGTCAAGGAGATCAAGCGCTTTGTGCAGCACTGCGACGAGCACAGCTTCCGCGCCGGCATCATGGTCACGCAGGGCGCACTGAGTGCACAGGCACGCAAAGTGATCAACGCGACGATGAATTACACACAGATTGAGTGCTTTATGCAGGACGACCTGCTGGTCAACATTACGCACCACGAGCTGGTGCCGACGCACGTCGTGCTCAGCAAGGAGGAGAAGACGGCGCTGCTGGCGCGGTACCGCCTCAAGGAGACGCAGCTGCCGCGTATCCAGCAAAAGGATCCCGTGGCGCGGTACCTTGGCCTGAAGCGCGGCCAGGTCGTCAAGATTATCCGGACGAGCGAGACGGCTGGTCGCTATGCCAGCTACCGGTTGTGCGTGTAAGAAAACGGCCAGCAGCAAAAGGGAGACTGTATGCGTCCGGGGGGCGGGGCGGTGTGTGTGGGCGCCGCTGTTTGTGGGCATGCATGGTTTGGATTATTTGGAACTTTGTTTCTCGAATGTTTGTTTATCATAGGGCGTTATTACCTTGTCATTTTTTGTTGGTTCTTGCTACATGGCATTCTTTATCATTTCTTCTTCCATCGGAGTAGCAGATGGGGTGTTAACACAAGGAGGTTTACTTTTCTTTTCCTCGTGTTTACTGTCGAAACAGGGTTGTCACTCTACGTTTGAAGTCTTTTTTTATGGCATTTATATTTGTCCCTCATATCACTCAACTGGCGGCTATGGAAACTGGCCGGATATATCGTCATATGATTATAGCAGCAGACAAAGCAACCAAACGCAGTGTACAGAGGGGAGACAAGCACGGCAGGTGAAGTTAATAAGGAAATGGACGGGTAGGCACCCTTGTCTGAGCGGCGTTCGGAATAGGCCTCCGATATGGCTTTGGGTGTGGGAGGCCAGTGCTAAGAACAATGCAATATGGATGCTGCACTTGCTCATAAAAGAAAAAGGTCCAGGAAGGACAACGGCACGCGCACTCTAATCAGAACCACGGTCCTGATATCATCGGTATCGACATCGGAATGAATGGCAATAGTGCGGAGACAGCACGACAGCATCTACGATCCTCTTTACTCGCCTCCGACGTGCATAATCCTTCACACGAGAGGACAATTTCAGTGTCAAGATAAGTTCCAATGCATTTAGATCGCAGGGCATCAATGGCCGGGGTATAATAATAAGTCGCCAAAACAGACCACACAATCGACAAAATCAGTGCCAGCCAAGGCACCAATGAAAAGAGTGTCTAGCAACGCTCTCTTCTCACAAATCAGAATCATAAACAGATCTCACAAAGATCCCCCAGTTGCGCCTGTGGTCCACCAAAATAGAGTCCTGCTGCCGTACTCCATACAAGCAACACACAATTAAGAGAGTAACATCTCATGAGAAAAACAAACACCGCCACTGCTCCGTCGTTCCGTCATGAAGTTCGTATCGAGAGAAAAGGTCGTGTGTCACATAAACAAAGCCAAAGAAAAAAAAGGGGTTCGCGTGGGCGAGTCGTAAGCGGATGGCCATGGTGGTGTCGTGAAAAGCTAAAACTCCGGATAAGAAAAGAAAAAAACAGAGGCGAAAAGAAAAGAAGAGAGAAAGTCATGCGCTACACCCTGCGGTGCGGACCCGGGCTGCTGAGCAAGCCGCCTGGGTCCATCAACGTCAGGTTGTCCAAGTTGGATGGCGTTGCATGACCCGACTGAGTAGGCGACTGCGACGAGGACAGAGGCGACGGCGGCATTTGCATCGGCGTACCCTGGGGTAGCGTCTGGAGCGTCGGAGAGTGGCCATCGGATCGCTGCCGGTTCCGCGAGGTCGGGGGCCCGAGCAGGCCACCAAGATCTTGCAGCAGAGCTGTCGAGCCGCGCCGGAAGCCACGCCCACTCGCCGTGTGGGCGGGCGACGGCGGCACGCTGTCCGTGGATGAGCGCATAACACCCCCACCAATGCTGGTAGGCGAGCGGACGCCGCCGGCCGTACTGATCCGGGCCGTATCTGGCTCAGACTCGTTGTCACCGCTGCCACTGTCGCCGCCCAGGAGGTTGCCCGCATCAAAGAAAGCCACCTTGCGCGGCGTGAATGTCGAGTTGTTGCGCGAAGCGGGACTCAGAGGGTCCCGGGCCAGAAGCGTATCGTCGTCGCTCTGGCCGCTGAGGCCGCTCAAACCGCTCTGGGCACTTTGAGCGCTGTTCGTTGCGGCACTACGGCGCCTGTTTTCGGGAAACTGCCACGAACCAAAGTCGCCCGCAGCGCCATGGCCGTTGCAATGACCGACACTGCTGTCGCCGCCACTGTGGCTGCTGCCTTCGCCGCTATTGTCGTGGGCTTGATGCAGAGGGTCGACGGCCGAGCCGTCCACTTTAAGGATGGGCGCAGGCCGGACGGCACGTCCGCCCGGTGAGCCAAACATAATGTCATCGCCAATAAGCGAGTCGGGGGCGTCGCGCAGCTCGGGCTGGACTCCAAGGCCCAGATCGCGCACAAGGTCTTCGTCGCTGCCCCAATGGCGATTAGCCGTTGGGCGGCGGGAGCGAACGACGCTGGAGCGCTCCATGGAGTCGACTACGGACCCTGCACGAAACTTGTTCTTTTTGACACCGCGGTCACGGACAAAAGAGCCCAGAACAAGTGAGTTGGCGGCCGCGGTGGCAAAGAGAAGCTCGACAGAAGCGAGCAGGGAGCGCAGCTGCTGGTTACCGTGCTCCTGGATGACACGGGTGGCGCGATAAATCGTGATGCCGACGACGCCCAGGCTGAGTGAGAAAAGGAGGATGAGCTGGACCTTGCGCTTGACGGACTGGTGGCTGAAGAAGATGAACGGGACGGGGAAAAGGACTAGCAGGAGGTCTGTGAAGACGTTGCAGACAGACATGGTCAGCAGCTGGGCAAAGCCCTGGCGACATTGGCCGCCCGGGTCTGGGGCGACCTGCCAATAGTGCACAAAAGGATGGCACTCGGACAGGTCGCTGATAACGACAGCAATAAAGGTAACGACGAGGAAGCAGCGAATAGCGATGAGAGCGACTTGTGAGAAGCGTTCTGACAATGCATCACTGATACGCTTGAAGAACTCGAGGATGGCGATCTTGAAGATCCATAGACTAGGTGTGTTAGTATAGGCATGAAGCCTGGAGGCGTAGCTCGCAGCTTGCACGGGAGGCATATAAACGTACGTTGCGGCGTGGAAGACGCGACTGGCAAGGACGAGGCCGCTGCCCACAGCACGGCGGTGGAGGTTCACCTCTGAAAGCTCGAAACTATCGAGTGCAACATTGTTGGTGCCGTAGATGAGAATGACGTGAACGCAGCCCATGCGAATGAAGAGCGGGATGATGGCCAAGGACACGACACGGTCCTCTATAAACAGCCGCTCAGAGCGGATGTAGCGACCGGCGATGCGGAGGAGGATGATGGTGAGGCAGAAGATGGTGCTCCACCAGCAGACGAGCAAGGTGGGCTTGACCTCTGCAAAGGCCATCATGGGCGGGGGATCTGAATAGAGGCCCATGGTTGCGGATGCTCGTCACGAGAGTTCGTAGCAAGGTCCGCTGTGCGGCGGTCGTTACGAGTTCGCTGCGAGGTCGTCGACTCGCGTCTATTGCTTCTGTCCGTCCCGTCCACCTCCCTCTGGAGGGGCGAGCGGGTAGGGTGTCGCAGTAGCTGGCGGGGCAGCAGTGGTAAATCTGAGGCCGAACAGAATATTGCAGTTGCCACCTTTTATTCGTCGTCCCCTACGCGGTGATATCGAGGAATCCGTGGTGACTGATTTTGTGGCTGGAGAGGAGGAAGAAGAAAACCGAAGGCGAGGGCAATGTCCTAACAACAAAGTTTTTGGTGCAACTGGACTCGATTATTTTGCGGCTCGTAACAGTCCGAATCCCGGGTAAAAAGCAAGGTGTTCGTTTTGTGAACGTCGGTTCGCGTTGCGGTTTTCCTTTTTTGCGTCCTTGAAGGTCGTCTGTTGCGTGGTTTTTCACTTGTTGTCTCGGGTTTTTTGGTGCAGTATATGAAGGTTGCTGTAGATTGTGGGGAGTGCGTGCTGCAGAAAAGGCAGTCGAGTTGAGAGTGAGTAGCGCGGCAGCAGCACAGCCGATAAAGTAGGTGTATGTCGCAATAAGGCTGGAAAGTAGTTGAGGTGTAAAAGTTCAATGCGAGGATCGCGTTGGGCAAACGTTGTTTCTGGCGATGTAGGTTGCTGTGTTCGCCGTACGCTTGTTGAAAAGGATGTACAAGATGAAAAGAGATACGTCGAAAAAAAATTGAGGTAAGGAGACAGGGTTAAAAGAGTGAAAAGCAAACCCGAGGAAAAGGAGAAAAAAAGAAAATTGACAAAAAAGGCAAGGCAAAAATGAGATAGCTATCACAAGCGCAAAGCGTGAAATAGCGAGACTATGATACGCAGAGGCAGACAAAAGGAAATAGAAAAAGCAGCGAGCCAACGCCCCCAGAGAGGAGACGAGAGATAACAGGGTCAATTGCCAAGGGCCAATGCCAGGGCCAAGAATGTAACTGCTGACTCTGTCGGTTACCAGATCGGAGAGGCGGCAAACCCAGCAAAGAGTACAAAAAGGATCAACGTTGAAAGGTGGAGAATGGGAGAGTGAGGGGCGTGCGGTTGAACCTGTTTGTATGTGCATGTACAACATATGGGCGTGTCGACAAGGGTGTGTTGGGCGGACCCTGGCCTTGTTTCTTCTGTGCGCCGGCGTAGATGGCGGTTAAAACGGGATTTGCAGACAAGGCGACAGGCTTGCACGATCGATGGATTGAGAAGAGAGCGAGCAGACAAAGATAAAGAGCAGGGAGAAATGAAGCCGGCAAATTGCAAGAGGAAAAGGGGCCATGAAAAGAAGGACAAAGAGGGAAGGAGGTGACGAGATAGAGACTGCATGGAGTGACTGCACGTTTTGTCTTTGGCAGGAACGAACGAAGGAAGGAGCGACTGAGGGGTGTTTTTTGGGACACGATTGGGCAGGCTCGGCAGGTACAACGAGGCACTACGACGTAAAAGACAAACAATGGCTTTGACAGGAAGGTTCGAGGGTGGTAAAGGCAGGCGCGAACCAGGGGTGTCCTACTGTAAACTGGGAGGCCCAGGAAAGGCTGGCGCAGGAAGAAAGGACTCGAGGAGGCAGGAGCCAGTGGCAAGAAAATAAAAGAGGGGTGGCTGTAGTGCCACGGAGTGGCGAGGCAGGATTCTGCGCTACTGCCTATATCCGTAGGAAGCTATCTTCTGGGTATGAATACGGGACAAGTTACGACATACAGTGCTTATTTAAATACTTACAGTACTTAAAATACAGAGAGGCGGTATGACGGCTCCGTGCGTCTTTGCGTCTTGCGTCTTGTTGTGCGTCGTTTGTACGATTGTTTCGCAGAACCAGGACTACGCAAGAGAGCGTGGGCGCGTTGCAACAAAGTGCGGTGTATGTCGTACTTTAGAAAGAAAAGATAAGCATACGGTACGACTCGGTACTCGTAGGGAGTCCAGGAGGCAAGGGCACAGTCCAGGTTCGAGGTCCAGAGCTCTGGATTGGCTGGCTATTTCCCCATCACAGGGCTGGTCACTCGTTTTCCTGGTCTCGAGCGGCTGCGCTCTGTTCCCCTGTTCGTCTTCTCTGGGGATTCACGGATACAAGCACACCATTATTTACAATGCAATATGTCGTATTGACTCAGCAGACTGCATCGATTGCTTGAGCCGTAGCGTACACCCGTATTGGTTTGAAGGTACTCCGTAACAGGCGAAATATTGGTTCTGGCGGGCTGGAGCTGGCAAAGCTATTTAAATCGCTTGGATCCAGGACCAAAGGATGCATGGGGCTGACTTGACTTGCTGGGCCGCAGGACGGGACCGAGCGGATATGGAGAAGTACTCCGTACAAAGCCCTCGGCAGGCAAAGTGGCCAGTGATTCCAATCATCCGAGTGATCCAATCTCTATGAACAGACAGTGTCTCCACTTGCTTCTTAGTGGGCGACTTTGTTACCAAATGCCTGGCTCCAGGGCAGGCCAATAGTGACAGCCGTAGTGGACAACAATAGCCGAGGTGGTCCCAGTTTTTGAGGGAGAAATTACCACAGAAAGCCGTTGTACTTTTTGCAGCACGCACAAATGCTGATAGCGAAATCCAACACTACCTGGAAGAGACCCAAAAGTAAAAGCAAACGCACCAAGCACAGACGGTTGCCCAAATGGGGAAGAGAGTGTTAATATGTTGTACCCGTATATCTTCGTCGTACGGCGTCACGACGTATTGCAGAGCACGGCAATACCACACTGCTCTATACCGAGGGAATGGAATGAGCAAGAAGCAAAATGTGGCTATTGACGGTCCGCTCCACGGGCGACTTGGGGTGTTGGGCGAAGGGATGGGAGGAGGAAAAGGCGATGCTGATTTGCCGCAATTTCCTATTTCCTTGCGAGTCGTGTTGGCTCGCAGATAGCATTCCGATTGACACGTGCCAACTCTGCCAGTCCGCCTTTCTGGCGCTACTTAATTACAGGTTTAGGGCGGCGCGGCGCGGCGTGCTCTTGGAGACTGACAGCTGGCCTGGCCATTGTTACCAATTGGCGTGCTACCAGCGCCGAGCCATGTGCTAAACACGTCCCTTTGCGCAATGGCATTGAGCTTGATTGGTAGCGGCCAACACGGGTACGAGGTCGTAGCAGTGACTCCCGACGGTTTGTCAAAGGGTGGGTGTCTTGCAACGGGAACACAAAATACGGGCCGCGGGCCTCAGGTGTCTTGCGCGGCATTTTGAGCACGGTATGCCCTGACAGTGCTGGTGAACGTGCTCTATCGGACACTGTAGGAAATGGGGAGATGGGCACTGTGGCGCACCTGCCACTGCCCAACAGCGAATAACAAACAACTGAAAAAGCAGGTGTTAATCGCCCAAGGGCCCCTGGCCTTCCCAAAATAACGCACGGAAAGTCGAGCGACTCTGTTCCTCCAGCCCAATTGTCTCAATATGATGTGTCTTATCTCAAGATTTCTGGGTACCTTTTGTCTGCCCAACGCCAAGGCCACATCGGCAGTATCCCATGGCGCAGGTGCTGAGCCAGGCCATAGCACTCGATGACAAGTAGCGGTCGGTGGGACGACAGCGGTCAGGGACAGTGTTTGCATATGCATATCATTGCTACACTGTACGATTCGTATATTTTGCTGCAAAGCGTCTCCCTTCTCCCGCTGTCCACTCTTCAGTGTCTCGGAGCAAGGGTCCCAATTTGTGTGGTTGGGGTGGTCTCAAGCATGTGGGAAACTACGAGGCATTATCACGTCGCAATGCCGCCGCTGCGCAGGAACACTTTGCCCATTCCGCAAAGACGACAGCTTCAGACATTTGTAGTCGATCGTTATGAAAAAGGGGCTTCATGGATAGTCATAGAGCTCGGCCGGCAAAGGTTTGTTGGACGTAGGCATGAAGTCAGAGATGGACACATGAAGGCTCTCCCTCTCGGGACGTACACAAGGCCGTCGAGAGAGTTGAACACACGGCTGTGGGGAAAGTCAGAAGAGGAACCTCAGACAAGAAAAGGGGACAGACATGACGGTGTGTAGGACAATGTCTCGGCGCCTGAACTTTGTGTTCATGTCCGTCATCAGGCACAGCCGCCTATCGATACCAATAGCGATATGTGATGTATGGTGTCTCCAAACACTCGCAAATACGATGCGTTACGTCTTGGCAGACTCGGTGCTCGAGGCCGACAACACCGATAGTCGAGCAGTGAGAATCTACTGCTTCAGCGAGTATGAGAGATGCTGGCCGAGGGATTGCTGTCCCAATGAAGGAATGAGGCACGCGACAGGACCAAGCAGCAAATGGTCAGTCAGTGTAAACACTGAGCAGAAGCACTGTTCTTGCACCGTGGCCCAGGGGAGACGGGCATTGAAGTCGCGCGCGTTGTTTCGCTAAAGTATCTAAACGCATTCATTACTCGGCATGGCATAGTGTGATGCATACTAGCGGAGCAGGGCATTGAGCTCTTTCAGCTCTCTGACCGCTGTTTCGCGCCTCGCCTGTGGCGCTTCTTTTCACTGGTCGCTCCTGACTCGGCGGCATATGCACGAAATGGCTGGTGGACATAGGGTCTTTGCCGCTGAGGTCGATACAGCGAATGCTCAATCCTCAGCAAAATGATGAGGAAAGGAAACGATCATCGATCCGTGGGCACACACAGACGGACGGATGGCGTGGGGTGGACGGCCTGCTCATTTTGTTTCCATTTTCAGTAGTTTTGATGACGAGCTTTCGTCCTAGTTCTCCCCACAGACGCCTGGGAGGGTTGCGTTGCATTTTGCAGGAGGCTGGGCAGGCTGGGCAGGCTGGGCTGCCGGAAAGAGGAGGGAGCGGGCACGGGAAACAAAAAAAGGACACCGCATGCGCCTCGGGACATGTTGTGCTGTCTCTTACAAAGTAGACGAAGAGACAGAACGAGGCGGCGAGAGTGTTGAACTCATTGGCCATTCAACAGACAAGCAAATCGTCATGCGGGCTGGCTTGCCATGTCTTGCCATGCTGGCCTTTGCTTTTCTGGCTCGGTGAGCCGGATCAAGAAACATCTTCTGTCTCCTGCAAAGAACGGCTTGGTTACGCTGCGCGCTTTTTCTTCCCCTGTTTGCCCGCGACGAATTAGTTGGGCAATTAGTTGGGCTTCCTGTTCTAGTAAGGAACTTATGTACGAGAGGATTGGATAGCCAACAGGCAACACCACCACCAACCTCCATTCTCTTTGATCTCCAAGAATGTTTTCTTGGCTGTTGTGGCTTCCTTCTTTTGCTTCGATCATGCTTCGAAGGATCCGAAAGAAGGGGGGTTCGCTCGAAATGATGGTGTGGACGCTTGCAAAGTATGTTGTGGTGGCGCGCAACTCGAAAGTCAGATTGCAGATTCCGAAAAACAATGCCAACACTCGTCTCAAGGTGTGCCCGATCGTAGCGCAGCGCCATCTCTGTGCAGTGTACTTTCGTGGTACAGGCATGAGCAGCATACGCATTCGGACATGAGCGTAGTATTTGCATGACAAAGTGTCTGTCAACACCGTATTTCGCTCGCACGGCCAGGCTGCATCAAAAATTGACTCTGCTCGAACAGAGTGTGAGACGTCACGATGTCACGGGTGGAAAAGTACATCGTACACAAAAACCCTCAAAGCAAGGGAGGACCACATGGCAGCGTCTGGAGAGCCGGTAAGGACGCTGAAGAAGAAAAGAAAGAAATCAAAGTTTGTTTGTCAACGGTTGGTCCAACAGTCGACCTAGTCGTTCGCCAAAACCGCTGTACCTTGTTTATTGTTGTCATAGCGCGATACCATCGACATATCCATTAGGTAAAACGCTTCCTCTCATACACTATTTCACTCACCTTGTTTCCCCAGTTTATGCCACTCAACGGTTTCGGGTGGGTGCCCTTTCTCCAGGTTTTACATTTCCCAACGGTCGACAGTAGTTGCTGCAATTTCGTTTTTATTTCGTAATTCATAGCCGTGTTTTGATTATCTTGCAATCTGATTGGCCCCCTTCACGATGCCTTGCATGTTGTCGATATTCAACCTCACAAGTCCATGTCTGTACATGTCCCGCGCATCGATGCACAATCCCCAGAAAGAACACACAAGGCCACGTAAGGGGGACACATAAGGCATCGAAACGAACCCATCCACATGGAACGGGTCATTAGACCTTGCCCGTTTGCGGACAATGTCGAACAGTGATCCTTTGCAGGTTCGCTCATGGACACAAGCAGGAACCAATAGAAACCAGGGGCAGTGGCGAGGCTGTTTTGAGGGTACGTTGGGCGGAGTGGCACCGCAGTTGTGCCGCATCCACCGGGTCCTCAGGAATACTCAACAATACAGGAGCATGCGCCGATTGAGTTCAACTCGCACTCAAGTTTGCATTGTGCGAACGGCAAACTCCGCACGGTTGCACCTGCTCTGTAAGTACAGCTCTGAGCGCTGCACTCCGTACGCTGTGCGCTCTGACGCCCATCATCGTACCACGGGTATGTTGGCAAGGATCACAACAAGCCGATCCCGTTCTGCCCCGAGCCCAGAGGACAGCGCTCTTTGCTACGGCCACAGCTCCTGCTTGGCCCAGCCGTTGATGACGTCTGCCCCGTCCGGCGCCTCGCCGTCTTCGCCCACGTAGGTGTACTGCCACCGCCGCGGGTCGTCCCCCCTGGACAGGTCCACCTGGTCGACTTCGTCGGGCACAATCACGCACACACGGAAGTTGGCCCGCGCCGCCGGGTCGTCGAGGTGGTCATCGCCCACCGGGTCACCCAGACCCTCGCCGGGGTGTGTGTTGCCGGCCTCGCCGCGGGGGGGCCGGGCCTGGCCGGGCGGTGGGTTGCGGAAGCTGCCGCGCATCCCAGGGCTCAGGTTGCCAAAGTGTGCCGTGATCTCGCGGGACCAGCTCCAAGAGGAGGCGGAGGTGCCAGCGGCAGCTGTGGCCGCGGTCGCAGCAGGCACAGCAGGCGCGCCTCGGCCACGGACCGGACGGCAACGCCGCATGTGCTTTTGGATGGCCGCCCGTGCGGCCGCCCCCGTCGGCGTCTCCACCTCCGGTCCCAGCACCCACGCCGTCCCGCGCACCCGCCATTGCGTGCCGGCCTCGGGGGCCCACCACACCGCTTCGACAGCCCCGCCGCCATCCAGCCCAATCTCACCGGCCTTGGCCATGCGTGCATCTGTCGTAAACACGGGCAGGTCGCTCTCGTAGATGGCCGGGTTGCGCGGCGCCGGGTTCTTTGCGTTGGCCGGCAGCGACGCCCACAGCCCACGGCAGACGCAATTGCGCACGCGAGGCGTCACCGCATCGCCCGTCCTGTGCAGCGTGCTGACCGCACACAGCGGCATGGGCATCTGTCCCAGGTGCTGGACAAAGAGGGCGCGCCACGGCGCAGCGGCTGTCGTGGCGGGTGCGGCGAGCGCCGTTGGCGACGACGCGGCCTGAGGCGTGCGAATCAACATTGCGCGGACGAGGGATGCGCAAAGACCGCTTCGACTCTGTATGCCAATTGTAGTACTTGACGTGGGTTGCGGATTGTCGGCGGTTGAAGTCGCTTACGATTTGAGCAATTGCGTATGTTTGTTGTCAGCGTTGGCAGATGTTTGATTAGCGATGTCGGTGCAGGCGGGACAAGCCGCCAGCTGCAAACTGATTGGTCTCTTCAGAACAGCGTTGCTAACAGCTAGATTCCAGCCCAGTTACTTTTGCGACGCCATTGCCTTACATCGGCTTCGCAAACTCCCACAATCTTCGAAACAAAACCGTGGCATGATACAACACAACTCTCCACTCTCCCAACGTCCATCGCCGCCGTTCATCTTCTCTCCAATATACGACAACAAATCACAGCCCGCGAACTCCGGTCTGGTGTTCGTCCTTTATACGGAGTTATGCACTACCTCCGCCCATACTTCGAAGCTTCTCCTTTACATATTTTTTATAATCCAGTGGCTCCCTTCCATAATCTGGGTCAAACGAGTGGAGAATTCTACCGGGAATCCGGGTCTCAGGCAAGGTTATCGACTCGGGAGGAATGTACTCGGTGGCGTCGTCGAGGCCGCTATAATAACGCTCTTTTGGCGAAGGCGTGTAATAGCGGTCGACATGGCTGGCCCAGCGGTGCTTGAGCCAGCCGTTGAACGCCGGTAGGCGCATGTGGTAGACGTGTGGTATCCACGCCGCAAACTGCTCTTGCGACCGGCGCCAGAATCGGTGCATGGGGCAGCGCACCTCGTTCTGCCGATCTCGTCGCCACCTATCCGCCAGCAAGCGCGAGTTGACAACGTACGAGTGGTTAAAGTCGATGATGGCAATGTTTCGTACGTCGTTGTCGTTGTCTTCGTCGTGATTGTGTTTGGCGGTGCCGGAGGTGTCGAGGGCCCGTTCGTCTTGGGGGCAGCATCAAGAAGGACGACATTGCGGGGCTCAAAGTCCTTGTGCTCGATCCCTAGAAACTCGAGCTGGCAGAGACTCTCCATCGTCTTCGCCATCACCTCCAGGCGTCGCGGAATGGGCATTGCGTCAACAACGCCCTTGACCAGCATGGCATACATGCTGCTGCCAGCGAGGTACTCGATGATGATAAGACGCACAGGGCGCGTCCTGGGCGGGGCGATCAGAGTCTGAGCCTGAGTCCAGGACCATGCCCCGGACGTAGCCTGGGACAAAGCCTGGAAGCGGCATTGGGCCGGAGTCCAAACCCGAGGCCGTGTCTTCTTCCTTCGGCGGCACCGGCAAGTCAAATGTCCACGAGCCATAATACCGCGGCGTGTACCGACCATTGGCGCCTACCGTGCACAGATGCTCGTACGCATGTCCTTCGGACGCATAGTCCCCGTCCGCGTCGAACGATAAGTCACCAAACCAGTCGGCGTCGTCTCGGTAGTAAGCTGCATCGTAGATTTTGGCGACAAAATGGGATTCGGGTGCGGGCTTGTCGGAGCTATGGACGCTTTCCACGCGGCAGCGAAGAATCTGGGCGCCATGGCCGTCGCGAGCGACAATCTCCTCGACAATCTCCAGTGTGTATACCCCGTCCCGGTCAAACACCGCGTCTGCATCTTGACCTCCGTCTTGACCTTCATCTTGACCTGCATTATTGCCATCCTCGTCTCCGCCCTCCTCTGCATCGCCTTCTTCGTCTAGAGGCCACTCTTGCGGTGGGTGTCGCAGGCATCGTTCGAGTTTCGTGAGTCCCAGAGGTCCCCGGCTGTAATCATGATGTTGCCGCATTCCATTGGTGAATGCATACTTATTTTTAAATGGCGGTGGCGCCCGGTGGCGCCGGATAGTAAAGGTACGGCCAACATAGTAAGGAAAGTGTCCTGGTCGTGGCCAGTCCTGCCACTTGTGATATTCATACAAGCTCATGTTGTCGATTGCCGATGTGTGGGAGGGATTGAGAGTAAGAAAATCAGAAAGGTTTCTTAGACGGTCCAGCCGTTTTCAGGGGCTGAATTGGACAAGGCCCTCGACAGTGAGCGATCACGTGGCTTAATCGAAAACGACAAAGACGACATGTTTTCTGTGGTTGGTTCCGACATAATAGGAAAAAAGTCAATAAACGATCCTTGGTGGAATATATTTGGACGTCATAAGTAGGAGAGCTGAATTTATGGTAAGATTTAGGCCGTCGAAAACTAGGGAGGCGAGGCGTGGACCCCGACTTATAAAAATGGACTAAAGAAAAAGCACGGCCTTGTTCCGACTCTCTTACACTGGAAGAGACGTTTCTAAGAAGAACATACATATATTCAGAACCACATCAAAGGTTCTCATCACAAGCAACTACGTAGAAGGAAGTGAAATATGGTTTTCTCCTACCAGACAATGAGTTACGTTTTATGGGGGTTCAACGCTGTCAATCAAAATGAAAGTCGACTCTGGTGAATTCGGCAACATTTATAAAAAAAAATAAAAATAAAAAATAAAAAATCGATGCCCTTCAGGGAATAACTTCAAAAAATAGCCTTGAGAATCTTTTACAGCACATTCATATACTATTCAAAACCAGAGCCATAGTAGAGACAAGATGTACAATAAAGCAAGTATTATTCCAAGGTATCGGGCCAAGATGCTGAAACTAAAACAGCGGACAAAAACACGAGCATGAAATCAAACGAACACCCATAAATGCTGAATCCAGTACAAAGCCACGTAAAACATAAAATGCAGACCAGAAAGGGACGAGCTTGAGGCATGCCAACAAAGTACGCAGTACGGTGGGTCATCCACATGTCCGTACCAGAGCTTTGCGTTACAAAAACTCGCTGAGAACCTTGACGCGTGTCCTGGCGACTTCAGAGCCCTGCTCGCCTTCGCCCATGATGCGCATAATCTCAACCATTTTTTCTGTCATTGTTAGTTAGCATGCTGTAAAAGTAATAAACATAAGGATTTGTAGACAAATGGAAATTCTGTCACCTCGGATCTCCGTCATTTCTAATCTCTGTAAACTTACCAATATCGGCACGAGCGCGTGCATACAGCGGGTCCTTGGCCGTGGCCACCGGGTCGCCGCTGTTCTTAAAGACGGTCTCTTTGAGCACGCCGCCGATGCACAGCGCCTCCAAGAACGCCCGGTGGTTGAACACCCACCAGACGCCAGCTTCGTTCTCAAACAACTTGAAGAGAACAAAAAAGGACGTAATGGCGTCATGCGCCGCCTCCAGGGTGCCCCGCACGTTCACCGGCACGTCGGCCGACTCTGAGGCGTGCACCAGCATCAGGTTATGAAAGTAGTTGCTGCTCAGAAACAGCGTTTGCCGGACCACCCGCTTGTTCGTCTTGGCCAGCTGCGTCACCGACTCTGGGTCCCAGCTGCGGAAGATGTCTGGGAAGCTGCGGTAGATGGCTCGGAAGTCCGACACCATCTTGGACTTGTGGCGTGACGTCGTGCAGATGGGTACGTCCAACGAGCGCGGGCTGCTGATCACCTCCTGCACGAGATTGGCGAGCGTCCATGATCCGCGAATATACGCCGTATCAGTCACGCTGTTTTTGTTGTTCGATTCAATGTCGTCTTCCTCCTCGAGGTCCTCGACGTTGACATCCGTGTGTGTCGCCGTCGGTGGGAGCGACATAAGCACCGTCATGAACGTGTCCTGGAGCAGGACCGCCTGCCACACTTTCCGTCGCCGCTGCTTTTCGTATGGGCTTGCATTCGGAACCACAATGTTTGGGTCCCGGTGCAGCCCCATGGCGTACGCCTGGCGCATGAGGATGCCCGCAAACGCCCATCCGTCGGACGCGTGGTTGTCGTTGATCAAAAAGTACGTGATTAGGACCATGGCCTGGATCGAGCGGACTGATGCAGCGCTGAGGTACGAGCTCAGGCGCAGAGCCTGGTTACTGGCCGACGCATAGAACTCGGCCGTCTGCTTCCGCTCTTTGGGTGTTGTGGACGAGACGAATTGCGTGCCCAGAGCCAGCATGGCAAAGAGGAGACCAATGAACGCCGGGTCAACCATATTCTTGTCCTCGGGCGCCAAGGCCCAGAAGTTTTCAAATTCCGTGTAAAAGTAGTGCCGGTCAATCATCGGGTAGACCGGGTCGAAGCACTCAAAGTACCGGACGAGTAGGATATCCGACTGAATCTTGTCCGGCAGCACAGAAATCACTTCGGTCAGACCGCCTTCACACGTCCAGTAGTTGGCGAATGGGTGTTCGGATCCAATGCCAAAGACGTTTGAGGCTGAGGGTACCGAGTAGGGTACATTGGACAAAAGCCCAGTAGAGAGAGCCACCGAGCCCAGGGACTCGACGTGGGCGTTGAGGATGCCTCGATCGGCAATGTTCGGGATGGAAAGCGAGCTGAACGAGCCCGGCACTTTCTTGGACAAAAGTGGCCGCGTTACTCGGCGACCACCAGCTGCCGCCGCTGTTCTGCTTGTTTCCCTAATGGCGGTTAGTTTTCTTGTGTGAATGGAAGAGCCAGTCATTCCGAAGGATTCCAAAGGGCTGTACACACTCTAACAGGTTTGCAACATGGGCATATTTGCATTCAGTCTGGCGCTTTATACAAGACAAGCAATGGGGTCGACCGCGGTCGCACTTGCCGTTGTTAGCTGTGATCTTGTGAGACTGAATAAGTTTTGGACATTACATAAATACCTTTGTTTTACGCTCGACACACTCAGAGCATGACAATGTGGGCTTGTTGCGCTTTTGCTTCTTTCTTGACGAATCCGTCGGTGAGCTCGCCGTGTTGCTGTTCGGATTGGAGTTGATGGTACCGGCACCCTTTTGGTCATCAGGCGGGCTCTCCACACTGCCGGCCGCACCGCCAATGGAGTAGACTTCGTACGTGGCCGCGTCTCCGCTTGGCGTGGGTGGTGCATACTCATTGCTGGTCACGCTGCTGCCTGCACTCTGGTCGAGGGGCACGTTTATGTTGGAGTGGTTGTTGATGACCATCCGCACGTCCTTGCCGCTACGGTTCTGCGGGCGGACGGTGGCCAGGTCCGACATATCTCCGTATTCGCCGGCACTCAAGCCACCGTCGTTGCGACTCCGGCTGGCTCCGTATGTGTTCATGTCGTACTCATAGTTGCCATCGGCTTCTTCGGCCGCCGGCGTGCCGAGACGCATGTCCTGCTCCCGGTAGATGGTATGATCAGCTTTTCGCTTGGTGGGGCTGCCTATGTCGTTGTTGCCAAGACCATATGGCTGCGGATGCTGCTGTTGGTGGTGTGGCTGGTGTGGGTGTTGTGGTAGCTGTTGTTCAGCTTCGTAACCACCATAGCCTGTAGGGCCAGCGGCATAGACTGTATCGCCGATGGAGCTGCCGGTCGGGTTCAGCCCTGCATACCCGTCGTAATAGTTTGGTGTGCGCTTCATCTCCAGAGACTCCGTAGGGCTGAAGCCGGCAATGGCAACATTGGGCGGTCGTCAGCCAAGAAGAAGAAGGAAGGGTTGGTGGACGGCTTGCTTTGCACCCTCTAGAAGTGCAGCACAGCAATGGCAGTATCACCGTACCCCAGTGACCCACGCCGCAGCTGCTTTCGTCTTCGCAGGTGCGCACCAGTGTAGCCGTGATGTCGAGTCAACCGTAATAACACGATGAGCGGGGGCGGTGTAAGGTTTCGATGTGGACCCGCGCGGGATCGACAACACCAAAAACGGCTGGTGAAAGGTGGGTGGGCCAATGCGCCCGTTGGACGGGACGGGGATATCAACCGGAATGTCTTCGGAGAGAGCCCGGGGATGTTCTGTTGAGGGGTATTTGTTTCCCAAACAAAAGCGTGTACCGCGATAGAAGAGATAAGGTGGGTTGTTAACGAAAATAAAGCCCAGGGGAAGGGTGGCCACCAGGCCTGTCTGCGGCGAAAGCTTGTTTCCGGTGATAATAAGTGTGATGCTCTGGGAATAAAGGGCTGGAATTAAACGGACGAAAGCCAAACAAACAAATCGGGTCGGCCGTAAGGCGGTAATTCCCGTAAAAGCTATAGCAGATATAGCAATTGGAGCGTAGCAAAGGCCGGGACAATAAGGGGTAGAGATGTTGCCCAGAGGATGCCCAATGTGATGTGTAATGTGTTGTGATGAAGACTGTGATGCTGAGATACTCAAAAGAGAGTTCGTGGCTGCCAAAGCACTGGAAACAGCGCTATGAATTGCGGCCTGAGCGTAACGTAGGAGTTGTAAAACAGGGTTGGATCTAAGTATCGAAAAAGCCGCGTGCATGGGCGAGAGAGCAAATGACGTCTGGTAGAACGCTCTCCGCAGGTACAAGATATGCTTAAACCGAATGGTCGCAAAGGTAGAAGACGTGGGTTGATTAGTCTTGTGTCACACGACAAGGTCCTGATGCTCGTGACCGCATTGGGCGACGTTTGCTCAAGATACGTGGTGTACAACTGAAGGCGCAATGCATGCTGCACAAGCAATGACAGTTACAAAACGGGGCGAATCTCGTTGTGACTCGGTGGTTCCGCGGCGTCGTGCCAGGTATGCCCGGGGTGACGAGGCTGCGGGCGTGGAGAGCAGGGTGGTGTCTTGCTGTCTACACACGTTTGAGACCTGGATAATAATTTCGAGCGGGGTACAACAAGTGCCAGATCCGGGAACGACGGTGTATTGTACGGTCGGGTTGTAAAGTAGAATGGGAGGCGAATCGGCCGGTGTTGGTAGCCTGTTGCGTCTGGAATTGATATCTAGATGGACAGCGCTGGGCTTCGGTGGCCGTACGCTTTGGGAGCTTGCTTCTGGAACAATTGGAGACGATTGGGGTAACTCTGCTTTCGGCCGATGGGAATAGACGGGGAGAGCTACGACAAAGCCAGCGTCAGGGCGGACTGTACATCAAGATGCGGCCAGCGGATTGCATGGGCTGAGGCGTGGGCTCGAGAGTCGTGTGGGCGTGTCATCCGTAGATAATCTGGGAATTGCAGCGCTGGTGTCGTTCCTCTGTGGCGGACACGCGTGAGAAATTGGAGAAGGCGCGGCTGTGGCCTGGGAATAAACAGCTACGGAGAAGAAGTGAGGGGGAAAATGAGACGAAAGAAGAGAGAAGGGGAATTGGGCTAGAAATATGACAAATGCTGGTACGACGTAAATAGGAGAGGAGCGAGATTTGAGAGGCAAAAAGACAAGACTGGGGATAAGGTAGGGGAGAGAAAGAGCTAGATGCAACAAACAAAGTCAAAACCAAGAAAGAAAGAAACAACTTTACAGGAACAGGAAAGAGGGGGGGCAAAGGGATGAAAAGAGCACAAGGGCATCTGGGATAATGTGCTTGTCAGTCGTTGTTGGGAGTGGGAGGCGGAAGGTGCGATGCGCGGAGAATCCAACTTCGTCGTTCACAGTGAGTTGGAGATGGGGTTGGGAAGGCACGACAGACACCGACGAACGTCTTATTCCGCAAACAGAAACGCGGTTACAAATCAGCAGCTACGACCTGAATGGGGAAGGGGCCAAGAAGGTTTAGAAAGGGAAAGAGCCAAGACCCTTTTCGAGTGGACAAGGCAGGCACTTAAGGGAGGGGGGGGATCATCTACAAGGCGTGTCGTATGGATTGCACGAGGGAACAAAAGACGACACAGTTAGTGTGTTTAGGTTGGCCAACGATTGTGTGAATACTCCGTAAGAGTAAAAGAGCGACGTCAATGGCAGCAAAGGCGCCTGCTGCAGCGACTGCCGACTCGACGACTTCCGTAATGAACGGGGCCCTTCCGACAAGAGTGGAAACTGCGTGGAACAAGCGTAGGGCAAATCGCAAAAGAAGTGGAGCATGTCACGGCCGCAGGGACCGAAAGAGGAAAGAAAACGAGCAGGCGGTACTCGACGAGGTGCGACGACGAGACGAAATACGCAGGAGGCAGGGTGCTCGACACACGCCGCAGCCCAAGCCAGGGAACGTCCTTCCTCAGATGGATGAGCAACAAAGAAGTGATATTCCAGAGGCGGAAGTACGAGAGACCCGGGTCGTAAGATCCATGCCAATGCGACAGAATGCCTGAATGCCAAATGCGTTTTGTGACGGCTGAGAAGAAGGCGGTTGAGCTTTAAGAGCACCAGCTAGCAGGGGAAGGAGCCCGCCGAGCACATTTGTTAGCGCACCAAAAAGTGGACCGGCAGACAGAGAAAAGGCAAGAGCTCGTCTCTGGTCGGGAAGCGCCACAAAGGTCAACCGGGCAGAAGTGTCCCCCCCGAGTTAGTGTGGCCTGGGCGAAGACAGCACAGAGAAGGAGCTACCGAGCCAACTGGTGTCGTGCTTTCCTGTTGAAAGGCGGAAGATCTTGGCTTTTTGAAGTACGTTACGAAAGACGGGCCTATTATTAAGTGCAAAAGTAGTATTTCCAATGCGATAGAATCAATCACGGTACATTTCAGCATCACCGTTTTAATCTTGGGCTGTTTGTTTTTTGGTGGTGTGGATGACTTGTCTCTGCGCCTTTGCTGACATCTAGGGCTCGACGGCAAATTGTGGAGGGAAGGGACAACTGACGGAATGGGCAATAGATCAGAGCTGCGATAGGGCGATCCGAGCAGTGAAAGACAATCGAAAACTGCAGGAGCGCCCAGCTTCCCGTCAGCTCCAAGAGGAATCCTCAAAAAAATAAAACATAAAATAAAATAAAATAAAAACAGAACAGAACAGAACATAATAAAAACGACCATGCACGTTGATAGCCACACGGTATGTTGCTTTGCGCAAGAGCGTAGGAACACCCCGTGCCATTCCAGACAACCACATTTGGATACTCCGTCGCCGCTTCCTCCCACGAGGAGAGTTGATAGAGGACCCAGTTGGACGACTCGCGTCTTCGGTCTTTCAGAGGCAAGTGTGACCAACAGGTGCATTGCTGGCACCTTCCCACACCAAAATAATAAAACCGGATCCCGACCGCCCCTTTGGAGTCAACGTATGTGTATTTTTCTATTCGTGCCTGCCGTCAACGGACCCTTTTTTCGCTTAGCAGAGCCCGAGCCGTTAAGACAACGGAATTCAGAGCCGAGCATCCATGACAGCCTGCCCATTGGACGACAGCTCGGTTCTGCACGAGAAGCTAACAAGAAGCTAACTAGCCAGCTAACAGGAGGGCGCCGCAAAGTGGCCGCAGGTTGGTGATGGTGGTTCCAATATGGGGGCCAAGGACCAAGGGTCTTCAGCAGGGACAAGTTTGAGGGACCGTTGTCAAACGACATGACGTGCCTGGAACGGACGAGGTCCGGTGGCCGGACGCTACTCGGGCGGATCTCGACCGTGACCGAGGCTGGCAAGGTGCACGATATCGTCATTTGACTTTCGACAGTTGGCTGATCCACCAGAGCCTTACGGACATGGAAAGCAATTGTGTGCTGAGAGTGTACATATTGCGATGGATCCCAAGACAATGGCACGATGCTTGTGGTTGTATCCCATCTCTTTGGAAATCCCAGTTCACAGCTGGCTGGCCTTGAGATTGTTTTCGGTCGACGCCGTGCTTCGGCATATCCCGTTGGGTGTGGCTTGTTTTGTCAAAACTACTTTGATGATACATGAATCCAGCAGATCCCAGCAATCACCTCAAGAGCGGCTTACGACGATAGCGAGGCTTGTTACGATAATCTTTCGCCAAATGCTCAGGACTTGAACCTTGAACAGCAGCATCAGGAAGGGAGACATGAGGACAGAAATCAAAATGGCCGCCGAAAAGAACAGAAAACGTGGTTCTACTCCGGTATCAAGGTTCGTGAAGGGGTGCGACATAGCTGGGGCGACGTAGTCTGCCCCCAACTGCCACATGCATCCCAGAAACGGGTTAGACCCTGCAACCCTCTGAGAAAGGCGGCACCTCGAACAGCCGCGTAGGCTATGCCGGGAGCTATATCTTCCGGCACTGACAAACGCAACGTAAGCTGTCCTGCAGGGAGGTTGCAGGCGAAAGAGTGTTCTGACAATGCGACATCAACCTTGGGCGGTCGATTGATAACAGCAAAAAGAAAGGTACGGAGTATTAATGCCCCGTACAACATCAGAGCATGCTTTCGAATGCAACGACTTGTCCATTTCTGAGAACTTTGCGGAGCCGCAAGGTAAAATGGCCCATAATTCAAAAGAAACGACGGAACTCGACCAAAAAAAATACCAGGTGAGTTTCCCTTTAGACTAATGGGGGCCAAAAAGAAAAGGCAGGGAAGAAAAAAGCAAATCGACAGTCGTCTAAGCCGGTACAGAGCACGGTCCACTGGTTTACAGACACCTCGGAGACAAGGCCGAGCGTGCTGATGACTCTTTTCCGTGCACATCAGAGCTCAAGCAAAAAGGCCTAGCAAAGGCCATCCCAGTGACTCGGCTTGTTTGAGCTTTTTCGGAGCTCTTACGACATAAACCTTTCGGATAACCAACCAGGGCAACCCGCCTTTGTGAGGGCTAGTCCAAGCCCAGCATTAGTGCTCTACTGTCGGACCAAACATCGGGTTCCACTCACATGGATAAGGAGAGTTGGATATGCTGGACTGGAGAGAACGACAAAAAACGTGCTTGGAGACTCTGGAGAGGTATTGAAGAAAAGTACAGCACAGCTGCTACTTGTCATTTTTGCTGTAGGCAATGAGTAGTGGACTGTTTGTCGAAAACAAGCTACGAGAATCAAAGACGACATCACCGTGGCAAACAAAGGCAGCGATTTGGGTGGAACGGCGAGAGCGGAAAACGGTACAACTACGATGTAGAGGAAGACAAATCCAGCGGAGAAACGTCCAAAATCCAAATTATTGGAAAAGAACAAAAGTCCCTCTGATTGTGAAAGCAGGGCCCGCAGAAAGACAATGGAGAACAAAACACAAAAAGTCTAGATAGTGTCCAAACAGCGGAGAGGCTGCAGGGACCTCTGCCCACCCGTCACGCCCTAGCCGAGCCAAGCGCGGCAAAGTGACGTGGTGAGTTATCGCTGCTTGCAAGGAAGCACCTTTCCAGAGTGCTCACCGTATATCTGGCTACTCAGTACGTCGTCAATGCGACGTACACGTTGGCGTATTGCCAAGTACGACATACGAATCGGTCCACAGCTCGCATAGCGGGCCCTCCCCCGACGGTTACTCCTCGTCACGGCGACTGGCACCTACGTCGTTAGTGACGGACTCGGCTGACTCTACTGACAAGGCAAAAGAGGCTTCTGACAGCGATCGGGGAAAGAGAAAGTCCGCTTTTGGTCTTCTGGAAGAAACTCTGTAATTTCATCGGCCGAGAGCCTGGTGCGGTCTTTTGAAATTTTTATCACATTTTTCGTCGCACGGACTATCCTCATAGCCAGCGTTTTGCTACGTTGTGTCCTGAAAACTGGCGATGCGTGTGTTCGTCCAGAGAGGAGGGGACAACGGCTCGCAATGAATCATCATTGCATGCAAATATGCCCTAGGGGCGGCAGACAGGCAAGGGTGGTTGTGATTTGCGTTGACTGTCGTATTCGCTCAGAACTGACGCGAACGAGCGCAAGCAAATCCTTCACACCGAAGTTTAACCGTGCATACATGTGCATATGCAAGCTGGCAATGATTGCATACGCAGTCAGACAGGATCTTGCCCTTCGCGAGAAGGGGTCACAGAGTACTGTTGTATATGGAATAAAGTTCGAAATAGAGTACTGTTCTAGTAAAGGCTACTCCCTTTAATCATAAAAACGACGGCTATGTAAAGGTGGAAGAAATTCAAAATAGGTCATTAAAAAGGGCCGCGTAGCAAAGAAAACAGTAAAGGACATAAAAAAAAAAAGACGCGACACAGTTGCAAATCATCGTTTGAATGCTGTCATGAAGGCCGTACAGATAGTAATAAAAAAGCCAAAATAGTGCACCGGAGGAAGGAAGTGGGCGACATCGTGACAAGAAGGAAAGGACTCCCAAGCCAAAGAGCCAATGAGCCAAAGAAAAGAAAAACAAGCCCCTGAATAGCACAATTTCCCTGTATATTTGCCTGGTCTTCCCAGTCTATTCACTTTGTATCCTCTCATGTTTGTTTTTCCTACTTTTTTTCTCCCGTTGTTCTCACAACCGGCGTCTCACCGGCGTCTCGTGTTAGATGAATTGCCGCTTCCGAAACCCCGGAAGAGGGTGCTGAAAAACCCGCCGCCGCCGCTGCCGCCGTTGTTGGCATCGTTGTTGTTGGCGTTGTGAACATCGCTCTCATTGCCGCCCGAGCTCGGGTCCATGTTGTATCCGCTGTTGCCCTGGCCAGTGCCGGCTCTGTGGCCGCCACCACTCGCATTCGGCATTCCGGTGTGCGTCGGGCCCATGCTGCTGTACCAGAAATAATGTGTCGCACCGTTGCTGCCGCTGCCGCTTTGCGTCGGTGTCGGAGTCTGATCTGGGGTCTGGTTCGAGGTCTGACTCGGCCGTTGGTGGCCGTGTGTGGAAAATGCCGACGCAGCTGACGGGAACTCGTCATAGTCCATCCAAGCGCCCGTGTGCGCCTGGTGCTCGCGCTGTTGCTCCTGTTGTTCCCGCTGCTGCTGCTGCTGCTCCCTTTGCTCCCGGAGGCGGTCGGTCTGCGACGCCAGGTTAAAGCGGCGGTTGGACGCGTTGGGGCCAGCACCGGGCGAGTGCGAGTCGCGGCGGCGGCGTTCGCGCTCGGCGGCGGCCTCGCGTTCTGGCACGCGCGAGCTCCGATAGTGGCTGGCATTGTGCGAGGACGAGGGCGGGGGCGTCGTGGATGACGGCGTCGGGGATGGCGAGGGCTGCTGGAAAGGTGACCCGTTGAACGGCGACCCTGTAAACGGGGACCCGGCGGGCGATCCAAAGGCGCCGCCGCCAAAGGCCCCGAAAGGGTTCGGGTTCGGGTTCAGGTTCACGTTCAGGTTCAGGTTCGGACCAGCTCCACGCACCGGCACCGGCCCCGACTCGGGCGGGCGATTAGCAGCTGCACGGATCGCGTTCAGACGGGCGCGGTTGACCTGCTGCTGGTGAAACTGCAGATGGTCGGCCAAATTTGTCGAGGCGTTGATGCGGTGGTTTCGCATAAAGTCGCCGATGGGTCGCTGTTGCGGCTGTTGCGGCTGTTGCGGTTGTTGTTGTTGCTGCTGCTGCTGCTGCTGCTGCTGCTGCTGCTGCTGTGCTCCTTGACCGGCTGGAGGAGCCGCACCTGGGGTTGTATTGGCATTGTTGGGCGCCGTGTTGGGCGCGGCATTCGTGTTGCCCGCAATGGCGTGGCGGCACACAGGACACGTGTTGTGCTGGCGCAGCCAGGTCACGACACACTCCTCGTGGAACCAGTGCTTGCACGGCAAGTACAAGATTTCTTCGTTGAGCTGCACCTCCGTGATGCAGATGGTGCACTCGGCATGACCGTCGGGTTCGAGCATCTTGGCGTCGACCTTCTTGCGCTCGAGCGCATCCAACGCCGATTGAGAGGCTGGCGGGGCACCAGTAGGGCCGCGGTTGTTCTCCATGAGCATCGTGATGATGCGGTCCAAAGCCTCGTCCGAGTGGACAGCATCGCCATTGAAGGTAGCAGTTGCGGCGCCCTGGCCGACGATCATGGCGAGCAGGTTTTGCAGGGCATCCGAGAAGGGTGGGAGGGTGCCGTTGCCGCCGTTCGCACCACCCGGCCCCCGCTGGTTCTGGTTTGGGTTCTGGCGGTCGACGTTGGGCGGGCCGACGTTGCCCATGATGTTGGCGAAGACGGTGCTGAAGTTACCAGCAGCATCTCGCTGCAAGGGCCCCGTGGCAATGGTGAAACTGGTAGTTCCAAAGTTGGTGTTGATGGTCGCAGTCCGGTGCTGCGGCATGGCCCCCGGCATGTTCTGGCGACCGGGGTTTCCGGGCTCGTTGGCCCCGCCCTGGTTGTTGTTCGTACCGCCCGAAAACAGCGTTTCGGGGCCGGAACGGCCAGCTCGGTTGCCATCACCCAGACCGTGCATGAACTGCATAAACGTGTCGATCATAGCCCGGGGGTCGGCTGGGTCTGCCGCCGGCACCCGTCGCGGCGGTTCCTGCGGTTCTCGTTGGGGAGCTAGGGGTGGCTCCTGTGGCGGCGCTTCTCGTGGCTGCTGGCCCGGCACTGGGGACCGCAGGTGAGGAGACGGACCCCCCGCTTGTGGATTGTAGGCATGAATCCCGATGCCTAGAAGCGCCGCGTCGTCGTGCGGGTCGTCTGGGTCGCGCGACCCCGGTTCAAACCGCTGGGTGGAGCGGTACATGTAGACATTGTTCGGCCCGTGGTACTCTTCCACGTCAATGTCGGCCTCGTCCGGGTCCGAGTACATATCGTCGTCCAGCCCGTCGTCCAGTGGGTCGTTCGCAGCGTCCGTCGCGTCGTGACTGTGACCGTTGTCGTGACCGTTGTCGTGGCCAGGGCCAGGACCAGGGCCGCCAGGATTCGAAAAGGGGTCGTAGGGGGCATTTCGATCTCGGCCGTCGTGGTTGTCGTGTCCAGCGTCGCTCGTCTGGCCGTCCGAACGGTTGCCGTTTCGCGCCAAGGACCCGAGACCCGAAAGGCCCATGAGGACCTCGGCAAACATAGGCAGCCCACCGGGCTGCTGGTAACCTCGTGGATCGTTGTCGCTGTCCTCAACCTGTAGAACGTGGTTAGAATGGATGGAGGCGAGGCGGATCTCCGCAGGAGCTCCTGGGGCAAACGAGCGACGTACAATCTCGACCACTTCAGCTCCACAGCGTGGACACGGCGGAGGCGGCGACGCAGCACCGACATTCAGGTACCACTCATGGAAGCAGTTGTGGCAAAATGCAACATCGTAGCCTTCTCTGGCGGCCAGGCGCTGCCGGGACGGGGAAAACGCCGATGCCATGACGGCGGCTGTGCTGGCAACGGCCAAGGCAGTCTCTGCTGTCTAGGCGAACTGTCGCCGCGGACTGTCGCCGCGGACTGCCGCCTGGCTGCTGCTCCCGTTGCAGGAGAGCCGCGGCGATGCGAACGGCAAAAGCCGAGAGATGGCGACGGAGCAGGCGCCGTATGCTATGCGTTTGCTGGGCAAAATAGGGTTCGGGTAAGGTTCAAGGTATCGGCCGGATCGTGGAAGACGTCCGAGCGTCTTGTCGGTAGGGTGGTCGTTGTTGACGGCGGTGTCTTGTCTGTAGGAGGTTTCGGATAATTGCTTTTGGGAAGTTTGTCAGGCTTAACGACCAAGGTGTTGGGTTGACGTGCCGGGAAGGAGACAGACGGAAGGAAGGCGGAACCAAGGGGGACTACGGGACCCACTTGCCTAAGTCTACAGGAAGCAGACGGTCGGTAATCGAAGGGTGTAGAAAGCCGCAAGACAGGTTCGCGGTGCGTTGTGTTGATCCCACGAAGAGAAGAGTGATGAAAAGGGGAAAGAAATGTGAGAGAAAGATAACAGGAAGAAAAGTAAGAAAGCGGATTAAAAATGTGCAAAAAGGAGGGAGCAAAAGGGGCGCCAACGGGTGGCACACTGGAGAGCCTCGTTGGGCGCTGTTGTTTGGCCGACGAGTGATCAAACGGTCAACTGGAGACGAGGGACAGCAGCACTCCTGCTCTGTTCTCTTTGTGTCTTCACGTTCCCACGCTCTTGGGCGGTGCTGCGTCCAGCTCTGTGAAGAATGGCTGATTTTGCTGTTTGGTGGATGGCGACATTTAATCAGCGCTGATTTGTGACGGGCGAAAGTGTGCTGTGGAAACGGCAGGCGCGGTCGGCACAGTGTGGGGGTACTTCAGCTTGGTTGCTGCTGCACTGTTTGCTGCGCAAGGAAGCGACGACCGACGACTGCAGGGCAGCCGCAGGGCAATGTATGGGGCAAAATGAGACTGAAAAGGATACCGATTCAAAGGACGGGCAAAGGAGTGCGAGAAAATAGAAAAAGAGGCCAAGAAGAAACTGGAATCGAGGGAGAGAACAAGGCCCACGGGCACGGCAATTTTAGCCACCCAAATCGAAACGCAGCCTGATGGCCAAGTTGTGGAGATTGGTTGCTTTCTGGAAGCCGCTTGGAGAGCCGCAGAAAGTCAAAGACAGCAAAAGAAGGAGCATAGAGTTCTTAGTGCAGGTCTTGGGCCTATTGGGCAAAACAAATGTAGGTGGATGACAGTTGTCGACGAATGACGCACCACCGGACTGTCAGTTTGCTGTGACGGTGTGACGTGCTGTTCGTGGAGAGTGAGCCTGCTGCCGATAATGACTGCGCGGCTTTTATCTTCTTTTGCTCATTGGAAGACAACACCTGTGAATGTCTCCCGGTTGCTATGGAGAGGACTGCCCTCTATTGAACTGTGAGGCGTTCCTGCCTTTCAGGACATCTGTGACAAAACGGTCGCTATTTCTATGGGGCAAGCACAAACGGCGATACGGCCGCTTTTAAAACAATCCGCCAGACAACCGCCCAAACCTTGCTGGCCGAAGACATTACAACGGTGAGTTTTGATGGCCAGGGCTTGTTATCCGTCTCCCGCGAGTTTTGTCTTGGGTGGCAATATTGTGAGAGGCCCGGGAGGCAGCAATGGTAGCATAGAATACCGCAAGACTACCTGGCCAGTAGCCTCGCCACTTCGACTTAGCCTCATGCTTCACACGCCGTTTCTCACGGGACAGGTTGGCAGATGATATGAGAATATTTATTACAAAAATATTATGCGGAAAGTAACAAAATCCAGGCACTGAATTCATTAAATAAAACCACAGTTGACAGGACTTTTCTTGATAAGATGCAGAACACAGTACACGGACAGTCAGACATAGGTGCATGGCGATGGACGGCAAAGCTGCACGCATGCACATCCATCCTCAGGCCATGACGTATTAACTCCATGCCATTTCCAGCCCATCTGGCTAGGCCATCCTCCCCTGTCACGCTCATGCATAACACGCATCTTATTTTGGCTGCCGCTTTCCATCACCTGCAGGGCCAACGTGCATATGTCTAAACAAACCACACTAACATGGGTTTGCCGGTGTCTTCAAGACAAACGACTACGCTTCTTATGTTGCGTGTCTGGCTCGCAATGTACAAACTGAACTTAAAATTCATTTCGATTCATATGCATTTAGCTATATACTGAGAGTGGCGTTGGTTTGGGACGGTTGTACCCTCTCTGTTCCTTCTGCCGCGGAGACAAAGGAGAGGGCACCCAGCAGTGTACGTTTTCTTTGGATTCCTGTCCGTTCCCTGGTTTTGATTTTGTTTCTTAGGCTTTGGATTGACGTTGGATTTTTGAATGTTTTTGTCGTTATTTGTAGTTGTAAGGGGTGGTGTCGGCGCAAGATGCAGTCGGGCGTGGCTTGTTGTTATATAATCATTATTCGGTAGTAAGAAAACACAAATTCGAAGAAGAAAGGACGTCAGGACGTCAGGACGATGCAGCGAGCATGGCGAATGGCGGCAGAAAAAGATATGAGACAAAGACAAGAAGCATCGAGAAACAAAAAAGACAAATATGCAAAATAAACTCCTCTTGCCCTTTCCTTTCCCAGCCCGGATATAGAAAAAAGGTCCAGCTTTGTTTCGTGATTGCTGGATGATGCGCTGTATAGGTTTGATTCGTGTGGGAAGGTTCCTGGTGACCGTCGGTCGGCGCTCGTAGATACCGTCGGCAGGCCGGGAAGGTGATTCATAAGAGCTACCGCCGGCGGCCAATGTTGCGCAGCAGGACACCACCGACGACGCCCGCCACGACGGCGATGCCGCTGACAATGGCGACGCCAACGAGGCCCTCCTTCTGCACCTTGTCGTCGATCAGCGTGTTGAGGTTCGACGCCTGCTGGTTCGTTGGCTCCTTCTCGAGCAACAGGTCGTTGTAGCGGCGGGCCTCGGCGTAGTTGCCGAGCTTGTAGTTGCCGAGGGCCAGGTAGTACAAGCACTCGCGGCGGCGTTCGGGGGACGTGCGGAAGATCTCGGTCAAGAGCATGACGCCCTGTTGCTGATCGGCACGTGCGCTGGATTTGACGAGGCCCCATGCAAAGTTGAACTTGGTCTGCACGCCGACCATGTCGCCCTCCTTCTCGAACTGGGCGCGCAGCACCTGGAGCTCCGCCGGGTTGAGCGAACTGTACAAAGAAAAACCAAAAAGTCAGCGTATGAGAGGCCTCGCGGTGGTTGAAGGACAATCGGCATGTTCTTCGGCTCGGCTGCAGTCTCAGAGCCGAGTACGGCACGGTATTTGCAGCGGCCACAATGGCACGTGAGCACTCTTTCGAGGTTGCGCACCGCGACGCATATCAATGCCAAGCCACATGGCCGACACCGAGCCGGAGAGTTGGCGGATCGCGGAAAAATGGCATGGTGGAAGCCAGGGAGGCCAGGGAGGACAGGGAAGAGGAAGCTATCTAGACACGTACGTCTCCGCATCTACAGCGTCTGGTCGGTCGAACAAAGGCAGCGTTAGCAATTACTATCGCAGAAAGGGGGGGAAACCGGACAGAAGAGGCCCGTGAATGCGGAAAGAGGGTCGGATAAGCTTCACAAGTGGTGATCGCGCGACGTACATGGTAGAGCCGTCATTTTGTGGGTGTCGTGTGTCGGTGGCGCGAAGCGGATGAGGACGTTGTCGGTTCGTGCCGTCGGGTTGTGTCGTTACGTGTGAAGGGAAACGTCGTTTGTAGATATCGTCGATGTGGTGGTGGGAAAGTAGAGTGAGAAACAAAGAGGAAAGGGAGGAAATCAAGCTCAAGTTGGCTAACGCTGTTGAGGAGGTTGTGAGTGGAAGTTGCTCGTCAGACTCTAGAGAGTTATGGAGTGAACGAGAGTTTGGGCTTGGGGAAGGAACAGGCAAAAAAACCTGCTAGTGAACAGGGAAGGAACAACTGGAGCAGACGGCAGCAGGCACCCACGAAACCCCACCCTTTCCGCCACCACCGCGCACCAAGTTTTGCATCACGGCGTCGAACTCGCTGGGTCCAAACGTGCACGGCACGCGCTCGCTTGTTGCCCCTACGCTGTACGTCGTCATAGCGCTCTCGCGCTGTAAGTTTAATACGACGTAGCTTTGCGTTGTAAGATATTGCTCCGACGGTCCAGGCTCCGGACACACGCGCGCATGGCGCTGTGATTTGGGCCTTGGGGAGTTCGAGAGGGGCCACAGAGGGTTGAGAGGGCGAAGCTGCATGGCGCTAAGACGCTAATTTGCAGCGCTGTGTGTTACCGACCCAGCGACCTTGCATTTCGCAAATGCAAAAGAGAAGAGGGGAAGTTGTGGAAGTAGCTCCTCGGCCTGCTGCAGGCCACCACGCTCCTGCCCGCGTGCACGACGTAATAGCGACATGTGACTTCATGGAAGCGGGCAGGTGCGATCAGCAGCCGCCCAAGAGACGAACTTTGGTTGGCGAGGAAGGCAGGACCGACCGTCTGAACAAGATGGGTGGGTAGTTGTAGCATTGAGAAATGATGCAGAATACATGAATCGTACTTTCCTGTTTTACCTATCGCTGGGAGACACTTTATGTCGTGCTTTCGCGAAATGGTAAACAAAAGGCCATTTTTATAACGTCGCCACAAGTAATTGTCAACCGTATCGAAAGGCTCTGCAGCCGTCAATTCGTACAAATATCTTCTTTTGCTCACAACCCTTTTTTTATAACAAAATAAAATGTAGATCAATGACGGTGTGGTTGTTTCTCTCCGTCAATAATTGGCGGGTCGTTGGGGAAGGAGCGATGGTCACCGATAAGATAATCACCCCAGCGACGCGCTCGCATTCATTAATGGCAACAACGCGCGCATAGTCGTTTCGCGACGAACGTGAGCGGCAAAATCATTTAAACAGTGTCAACACAGCACAACCACCGCGACGACACTTTATGAAACGGTTTCGCGAATTGATTGAACGGCCAACGCATCGCAACGGAGTCCTCACAAATTACGACTAGAAAAATCGCATCTCCATACCCCAAAATCAGCCCATCATGTTGTTCGAAGAAGACCCGTCCGTGGTACGTTTTGCGCCGAGAAAAAAGACCATGGGGGCACCATGACGAGGGGAGGACGATGCCAGGGAGAGCATTTTGTCTACCTAATCCACCTACTAACCGTTCTTGTCTCCCTCCAGCTCATCCAGCACACCGTCGACAACTTCAACACTGCACCAGACAAGGCCGCTGTCGCCCGCATCAAGGAATCGCTGTCCACCCTCCAGGAAGCGCGCCAGCTGCAGGTTGAGCAGGCCGAGGCGTCTATGAAGCGCCTCGCGCGCCAGCTCAACACGCTCGGCGCCCAGCACGACGAGCTCGCGTCGAAGCACGCGGCGGCCGCGCACGCGCCGACGATTGCGCACCTCGACACCCAGAAATTCCGCGTGGCCAAGGCCGCGTCGGACCTCGAGATGGAGACGGAGCGGCTGTCGGCCCAGGCAGCGGATCTTTCGGCGCGTCTGCAAGAGTTGGAGCTGCAAGGAGACGACGGCCCGCTGGTCGGCGGCGGTGGCAGCGGTGGCAGTGGCAGTGGCAGCGGCAGCGGCGCGGCGGCCGCGGCGACCGAGGACGAGGTGCTGCTGCGCCTGCGCGTCTACCGCAGCTTGGGAATTGAACTCGAGCGCGACGGCGCGGGCCACGACGGCGAATGGTCGCGGGCGGTGATCCGCAACGACCGGAAGGGCGACGTGCATGTGGTCAACATGGACAAGAAGTTCTCACGGTTCTTCTACGCCAACTACTTCTGGCAGACGCTATAGCTGCAGCCAGAGGAGGAACGCACAAATGAAGGGCTACGAGGGAAATATGGCCGAATTGTACATATAGACTGGGCTGGTGTACGGCGTTTTTGTTGTCATTTTTGCGCCTTGGGTATAGGCATTGCGCTGCCGTGGACCGGCCGTGCAGCGATGGTATGATACTATGAGTACTATGAATTTTAAAGAAATCACAAAGTGTGAGCCCCTCGACTCCCCTCTATACCAAACGTGGTGACTGTGATGGGATGATTTATGTATTTCGTCGTCCAGTCTGCAGTCTTCTGGAGCCCTTCCACGTTGGGCAAGTTTTAGTGGGTTGCTCCCGCTGTAAAACCCCGCCGGCTGATCCCGCTTGATGACTCTTCCGCTAGCTCTCCAGAACGTGTAACAGGGCGTGGTGCCAACGACATCTCTTTTTAATCCTTCAGCACATCAACTATATATAGCTGTCAAAATTAACACTTTCATCCAAAACAATATTTTTCAAGTGTGCCTCTATCAACCGATTCAACTGTCCTCACACCCCGCATAATGTGCGGCGACAGCGACGTTCATGTGCCGCAGGCGGCGGTGCGTCTGGACGATCCCAATGCAGACGAGATCTTTCCCTGGCAGACAGGTCGCATCTGCGATGCCCATTGCCACCCGACCGACACGATGGCGTCGCTGCATACAATATCGGGCATGGGAACGGCGGCGCTGACGGTCATGTCGACACGAGCGCAGGACCAGGACCTGGTAGCACAGCTTGGCGCCGGCGACCCCAAGGTCGTTCCGGCCTTTGGCTGGCACCCCTGGTTTTCGTATCAACTGTACGATGATACATCGGCAGGTGCTTTGCCAAATGGACAAGGCAGCGGCAGTGCAGACCTCGTATCTATGAAGGACAAGAGACGGCACCTGGCATCGGTCCTGACACCGTCTCCACCGTTGGGTACGGAGAGGGACGACGCCAAAGACGACAACCACGACAATCAAGACAACCACGACAAGACGGCGGCCCTGCTGTCTGCGCTCGATGCGCTGGCCAACAGTCTTCCTGCAGTCCGGCCGTTGTCTGCCTTTCTGGCCGAGACGCGTCAACGGCTCATCGACCATCCAACGGCCCTGGTCGGTGAGATTGGCGTTGACAAAGCGTTCCGCGTCCCCGAACCGGCTGTCGAGAGCGGTAGTGCAGCGGCCGAAGGACTGACGCCGGGTGGCCGCGAGGGCCGGCGATTGTCGCCGTTCCGTGTGCAGCCGGCACACCAGGTGGCCGTTCTCGCGGGCCAGCTGCGGCTGGCGGCCGAACTGAAGCGGCCCGTCAGCGTCCACGGCGTGCAGGCGCATGGCTTGCTGTTTTCGACGTTGGCTGCGACCTGGCGTGGCCATGCGCGGACCGTCCTCTCCCGGCGCGAGCGGCACCAAATCAAGGGCATCGCCGGCATCGAGGGCATCGAAAACGACGACAGTGACAGCGAGGAGGGCGCCGAGGACGACGGCAGTCACTGTAACGATGGCCATGGACGCCGTGCACGGACGGGCAAGGCTGAGGCCACACCCAAACCGTTCCCACCGGCCATCTGCCTGCACTCGTTCAGCGGTCCCGTCGACATGCTGCGACAGTACCTGGACCCCCACATCCCCTCTGCCATATACTTCTCCTTCTCCACTGCTGTCAACTGCAGCACCGAGAGCGGGTGCCAACGAACGGCCCAAGTCATTGCGGCGTGCCCGGAAGACCGGATTCTGGTTGAAAGCGATCTGCATACCGCCGGTCCGGCAATGGATGCTGCACTTGAAAACATTTGTCGGCGTGTGTGTGCCATCAAGAAGTGGACACTGGCCGAGGGCGTGGAGCGCGTAGCGCAAAATTATGATGCGTTTATCCTGCGGGCATCATCAAAACCAAAGAATGGGAAGGCATGAGGGAAGCAATTATCGGTAGTCCGAAATATATCAAATGTCCATGTTTGCGTGATCCAAAAAAGAAAAACTATCTGTCTTAATTAAGGGCGCGAACCTTGCGTTGCCTGTAAATAGATGGTCCGACGATGACATAGGAAATATACAGTATAAAACATAACATAAGAACAATGTACCTGCGGCCCAAGCTTGCTGCAACTTATAACACCGGAAAATACTAATAAGGAAGAAACAAAGAAACCCAAAGGAAACCGTGCTGTTGCGTAAATCGAGAAAAGTGAAAATAGAAAAAGTGTGACAACATAGAATGTGGAGCATCACGATATGCCGTGCAATAGAAAAGAAAACAAATTCCAGAAATGTCCGTATATGGCTCGCTTCAAAGCACACTAGCTTGTTTAGGCGGTCATTTGTATGTTGACTCGATGGTCGTTCCTGAACTTAATGGTTGGCGCCCGGGTGGTACTGGAAACCGTCCGCAACCACAGACGCCTCAACGAAGTTGACATATGCGTGGTCGTCAGGGGAGTACGCAGGCGGCAGTGACTCGGTATCATCAAAGTCCGAATCAATGCCGGCCGCGTCGCGCCGGCCGTAACCGGCAACAGCGTTGGATGTGTTCACCACGGATGGCGGCGGCGGCGGTGGTGGTGGGGGCTGGCGGTAGGGTGCTATTGGTGCCGGTGGTGGTGCGGCACGAGCAGCAGCAGGAGCAGAAGCAGAAACAGGGGCCGGAGGTATGGCATTCCGAGACGCCGGTGGTGAGACTGAGTGCATCGCCCGCTCCAGGTCGTCGTCCTGCTGCTGCCGTCTTGACTCGGCCGTCTGCGCAATGGCAGCGCGACCCTCTTCGGCGGCAATCATCTGGCCAACAACGTCAGCTGCGGCACGGAACTCGGCAATCTCGTCTTCCAGAGAGGGGGCGGGCGAGTGCTGGCGAGACGGGGGCGTGCTGGTCACAATGTGACCGTCAGCCGGTGTGCGGAGGCTCGTGCGATCCGAAGGTCTGGCGTTGGGCTCGCCCAACTTCTCATCGCCACTGTGGCCTCCGAATATAAAACGCCGGACATTACGGAAGAAACCGCGAACAGACGCCTTGTGTTCGCGGCGACGCTCACGGCGACGCTCACGACGGGCTTGCCGACGCTCCTGACGATCTTGTCGACGCCCGTGACGGTCTTGTCGACGCTCGTGACGGTCTTGGACCCCCTCAGTAATCCGTTGGAAGCGAGCTGCAAACCTGCGAAAGCCTCTTGGGCGACTGGCTTCGCGAAGCAGGTGTTCCTTCACACGCCGATTGCGGCAGCGACGACCGAAGACGAACAAAAGGATGAGAACCAGACTGAAGAAAGCGACCATCTTCGCGACTGGGGCATGCCTAAACAGGTGGCTGCCGTAGCCATGGTGGCCATGCTTCCACGCAACCCGTGGTTGGGAGCCATCCGGGCCATAGCCATGCATTTTACGGCCGCGGAATTCGCCCCCTTTGTTGACAGGGTGCTTATCAAAGCGACCACCACCAGCCATACCCACCCAGGAAGGACCTTCAGGACCAGGACCGCCATGATGGTGATCCTCGTCGTTGGAAGGCTGAGAGACTGGAGGAGGAGGGCCATGAGGATGCTTCGGCGGGACCCCTTCGGACGGCGGCGGCGGTGGCGGCGGGGTCGTTAGTTCGTCGTCAGGCGCAGGTAGAGGCGCGAAAACAGACGAGCAGTGGAAGAGGAATGAAGGTGGCGGCGGCGGCGGGGGCGGCGGACCAGCACGGCCATGCTCAGGAACACAGTAGGGGCGGAACATAAAAGGCTGGCCCTTCGGGTGACCATGGCGAGGACCTTGAGGAGGGCCGTGGTGATGGCTATGCGGCGGGGCCCAGCCAGGTTGGCCACGGGGCGTGTCTTCGCCAAACGTGTTGGCAATCAGCTCGCCGTAGAGCGACTTGGCAGTGCCAGCGACCTTGTGCAGGACCGAGCCGATCACCGAAGTAACGTCGGAGCAAGGGCCACCTCTCTTGCCGGCGCCGTACTTATGGGCATCGATAAGAGGAGACGCAGATGGGCCGAAGCGATCGACGATGTACCGCTCGCGAGCGTGGATGCTGTGGTGCAGCAGGGCGACACTTCGGTGCATCATGATGAGGCTGTTCTCCCAGGCGATGAGGTCGGCCGCATCAGCGTCGTTGTCGGAGGTGTTGTCACTGTCGCCGGTGTCGGCGGCCGTGTCAGCCGAGGTTGTCAAAGTCGTCGGAGGCTTGAAGTACTCGTCGTTGAAATGGAAGGTACTGGCGGCGTTCTCAATAAGGACGATGCGGGCGGGTGCGATTTGGCGGAAACGGACGGTTGTGGGAGCCTTGGCGGCGTCGTCCTCGACGGCCACACCGTTGACAGAAACGATGCGGAGGTTCATCACCTGTTCACGGTCCCGGCCACCCCAAGAAACACAGTCGCTCCCCCAGCTGATGACGGCAGATGGCGTGTCCTTGTTGCTCGTCTCGTCGGTGTTAGCGTCGGCGTTGGTGGTGTCCAAAGCCTGAAAATCGGGGTACAGCGGCAGTGAGAGCTTGCCGTCCTCCGGAAGGGCCTCGCCATTGATGGTGACGTTGGCGGTGCCGCAGGGGGTGAGCGACTCAAAGACATCGAGGCGGAAGGTCTGCCAGTTTCAAAAAGTTAGTGGCGCTGTGTCCAAGGGGCTCGACTGCCCGGCGAGAGAATTGTACGAGACATAAATCCAAACGGGCTAATATCGTACCAAAAACGGCGTGCTGTTCTCAAGGCCGGCATCTGGAACGTCAAGGGTGATAAAGGCCGACGGCTTGTCGTCTAGAAGAGAGTCAGTCCCCCGACATTCAGGAGATAGGAATAAGGCACGAGCGTCTCGTCATGATCCCGGGACGTCTTGCGCCTCCGCAACTTCGGTTCCTCCATGTCTTACGTTGTGGCGATGCTGTGGCACCGACGCCTCTGGCCAGCGCCGGCGCCAGCAAGAGGCCGGCCTTGAGGAGGCCGTGCATGATCGTTTGTCTACTTTGCTAATTCTCGTCGTCGTTTGATAGTAGCAGGCTGCCGGATTTCAGTCGTCCTCGCCAATGAGCCGGGAGGCAACAATGAATATGATGCTGGCACGAGTACGGGGCCGAGAAAGTCGAATTGAGGGCAGCCTAGCGAGCCGCCAAGTAGGAACACGACGAGAAGACCGAAAAAGATATAAGAAGCAAAACAAGCGGCCAACAAGGGCCACCACAAAAAAAAGATCGTGAGTTCACCCTCGTGCCTTTTGTTGGGAGGACCAAGAACAAAACGGGCAAGAGCAAACAATCACAACAGCCTCGTGAGAAGAAGCAAAAACGGAAGGAGAGGGGGATGGATTCGGCGACTGAAAAGGGAAAAGGGGCCCCAGCAGCGACGAACAGGGAAGTCACGGCACATTCGGCGACGAAAGTGGGCAGGAACGCCTCTACAACGAACTGGCAAAGGACACTGGAACCACTGAGCACTGAACACTGGACACAACACTGGACGAAAGGACAGTTCCTGCAACAGAAGAGGCGGGACCAAAAGAATAAGCCTACTGCAAGAGTCGGGCGAATCTTGGTCCACACTGCAGAAACCGAGCCAGGAAGCAGGAAGGCACGAGTGTCAGAATGCAACAGGCCAAACCAAAAACTGCAGTGGTGCGTCGGCATAAGGCAGGAGCGAAGGATGAAGGCAACTGACAACGAGAAGACGTGACCGCTAGAAGAGGAGCCCATCTGAAAAGTGGGGCTATCCACGACAGGGGGCTGCATCATTCGCAGGAAGGCGCAACAGGGCTGCTGGGGCGGTGGTCCAATGAGCGTCAACTGGCTGACGAGTCCTTCTAAACCCTTTTCTGCCCAGTGCAGCACACTGAACAATTGCCCGTTTGGTATTAAGTTACGGGGGAGGGGGGCGGGGAGGATCTTTTACGGATTAGCAGATTGTCTAGCAAGTGTCGTGATTTTCAATGCAACTCGAAGTCTCTGGTAAAAGAGGTATGATGTATGGTGCTTGAGAATATCCAGATTTAGTTACATGCCTTTGGAGTACGCGGAGACTATGCGTCATGAAGGAGAAAATATGAAAACATTTGAGTAATCTCTAAGCCATTCCCCTCCGACTTGTATTCATGTTAGTCGGAGCTATTTCAACGACCGAGAAGAAGACAGTTCCAAGAACGGACAGATCCCCTCATCGCCTATTGTGTGGAACTGGTTGGGTTACATATCTATGAGTAGGTTCTGCTGTGAAGCTCATAGGGATGTGGTGTGTCCTGCTCAATGCACGTCTGAGGCAAAGCTACCCGACACGCAACGCTCCATTGGATTCCCTCGTTTTTCAGGGATATCCCAGTCGGGTGATCAATGTGCAGAGGATAAAAAGTAGGCACAATAATGGAGGAGCAAAGAAGAAAAGAAGGGCAAAAAAAGCAACAAGCCGGTAAATAAACTCCTCCCTGGTCCAGCCGATGTATAAAACGCCATCCATATGAAGAGCAAGAAACGACCAAATCAAAAAGACCAAATCAAACGATCAAACAACTGCCACACAACAGTTTATGCCTGCACGGCGTGCACACCTGCATCGCTCTCGCTCACGACGCTGCCCACCTCGGACCAGCTCGTCGGCGTCAGGACACCCTCGCTCTCGCTCTCGTTCTCGCCGTTCTCGCCGTTCTCGCCGTTGTCGCTGTTGTCGTCGGCTTCGCTGAGCACGCCGTAGTCGGAGGCGCCGGCATCGGCGACGGACACGGCGGAAGACGAGGACGGTGTGGTCGAGGGCACGGACGGTGCCGCCGCGATCTGTGCTGCTGCCACCGGGACAAGCTCCGGAACACTGTCCGTCTGCGCATCGGCATGGTCAACGACCGAGTGGTCGTCGCCCCACACAGACACGGACCCGGTGGGCGTCATCTCGCCGCCGCTAATAATGGACGGCTCGGACATGCCGACCGAGGGTGTGACGGGCAGCGGCGAGTAGAAGCCGGGCAGGCTGCTGGAGTTTTGGGCCCAGGCCTGGATGGAGTTGTAGGCCTCGGTGTTGACCTGGTTGGCCTCCTGGTTGGCCTCCTGGGTGTCTTGGCCTGGCAGAACAACCGTGTCGTCGATGGCATTGTCCTCGGGCTTGCGGAACAGCCGCAGAGACAGCTGGGAGTCGATTTCGGCAGCGGCGAGCGTGGTGGGTGACGCCTCGGCCTTGGCCTCGTCGGCGTAGTCGTCGACGTCAAAGAAGACCTCGGAGCGGGTGGTCTGCCGGGCCTCGGGGATCGCCGGCAGAGGATCGAACACGGCGTCCATGTGGTTCGTGCTGGTGTCGGGTTCCGTCGCGCTGTAGATGTCGGACATGGTCTCGTCCCGGTCGGGTGCAATCAGGTAGGCAGTGCCCGCGTTGTACGCCTCGGCGGCCGTCGGGTCGGCCGTGTGGCGGCGCTCGTTGCGGACGCTATGGTCGTCGTCGTGCTCGTCCATCTCAATGCCGTACTCGTCGCCGAACGGGTTGGCGTACAGCGCAGCCGTGTGAAGACCACGCACGCCCTCGGGCCGCCGGCGACGGAGCATACCGCTGCTGAAGGGGTCCTCGGCCGACGACAGCTGCGAGTCACTCATCCGCATCAGATCGGCGCCCGTGTTGACGACAAAGGTACCGCGGTCGGCGTTGTGGTCCGGGCGCATAAACTGGTCAAACGACGTCTTGCTGCGAGGCTGGGCCTGGGGTCCACCCAGCGACGGCAAGTAAATACCGGCCGCTGCGGCTGCGTCCCGGGTGGCTCTCTGCAGGCTTTCCAGCGCCGAGGACGGCGACTCGCCCGTCGGTGCCTGTGTACGGGCCGCCTCTCTGGCCTTGCGTTCCTCCTCCTTCTTGCGTTCCATCTGCATGCGGTTCCAGTACAGGAGCTCCTCGCGCTGGCGGCGGCGGGACTCCTCGTCGGCCACGACGCCCGGGTCTCCGGCCGCGCGGCGGCCTTGCGAGAGCATGAAGCCCTCGGCGTCCTCGGGGCGGTTGAAGACAGGCTCGCCTTCGTGTTGTCTGTTTCTGGTCCGTTCGTCGGTGTCCTCGCCGTTCACGGTGTCGTTGAGGGACTGCATGGCAACGGCAATACGGCGACGGAGGTCGTCAGCCATGCGGCGGACTTCGGGGGATTCATAGACGGCGATGGCGGTGACGACGGCCACGGAAATGGCGATGAAGCCGGCTGAGACGATCACTGGGTTAACAGGAGGCATGGCGAAGAGCGGGCTACGCGATAAGGACGCGAGGAAGTGGAGAGGAAGGAGACAAAATGAAGCAACAAAAGAGAGAGCTGGTGGGATATGGTGTAATTGGGGCACTCCGCCTTTTTCGCTTGTTGACGCAAAAGACGAGATGCAGCTGCTGGCCGCTGTATGGATGATGCGGGCAGCAAACGTAAGCAAAAGTAAGTGAATAAATGGACAGAAAAGAAAAGGGAACGAAATCAAGAAAAGAATAAAAAACCAATCGAAATTTCGATTGGGAACAGTTGGGAAAACAAGACAGAAAAGGCAGAGAAAGAGGAAGACGGCCGCCAGAAACGAGTGCGTAACGCAGCGTCTAGGCAGCCCAATTCCTGGCGATGAGGCAAACTTTTGGGTGAGGCAGCCCTCTTGCCACCAGGAATCAACCTCACTGCCACCGCCTGCCAGGGCTACTTTTTGTAAGACATAGTCTATAGTGCACGTGCCGTCATGGGAAAGTGCCCTGCAGGAGCGCCTGGCGGCGGGAAGGTGCAGGAAAGTGGGCAGCCGATCAATGGCGCTTGTGACAAGTTGCTGTGTTAGGGGCGATTTTAGGGGTGTAAGATACTGTGGTACTTGGAAATAGAAGGGCAGCAGGGCAGGTGGGGGAGAAGAGGGGCGGCAACAGGGGATATCAGCGGGTTCTGGGGGTACATTTTGGTGTGCGCTTTGGGGCTTTCGGGGGAAGAACGCAAAGGGCTATGACGGTAATTCGTAGGCGGGGTCGATCGTGGGTGGTTCCTTTCTCACCTTTGGCAACGAGAGGCAGAGGCATTTTGCCGGCAGAATCGGCTTGGCTTTTTGGCCAACGTAGAGGGACACAGACGAGACAGACTGATGGTGCTCAGATGGAGGAGATCGAAGAGAGCAGGCGACGAATAGAATAGGGAAAGAAAGCAAAAGAGGCAAATGAAAGACACAGGCGCAGAGGACGGGCAAACGAGACGGAGACGCAAATCGAAACGTAGAACGAGAAGCTGCCACGATGCGATGGATCTTCGATGTCGGCGTAGGAGGAAGAAGAATGAAGAGAGGAGGACAAAATTACAAAAGGAAAAAGGTAGAAAAGAAGCCGACAAAAGAAAAGAGAAAAAAAGGACAGCTCCGGGTGCAGCTAACGAGCAATGGAGGACAGCAAGCGAGTGAAAGAGGGCGTACTAGAGAAGGATAAAGAGCCGCCGTGACTTGCGAAAGAGAGGAGTTAGAGTGGGCGACGAGGTACCGCAAGTACGCCGGAGCCAAGCGAGCCAGGGTAGCGCGGCTGCTCATGTCATCCGTCCATTCACTTGCAAAGTGGCTGTTGGTTGGCCTTCAGATGGTCGCGTCTCGAGGAGCTTAATCAGGGAGGCCGACCAGTCGTATAGTTAGCTAGAAGGTCTGTTTGACGCATTTCATGCAATGCACGACGGCACGATGCGGCTGGCAGCAGGTTCAGGTTGCGTCTGGGAGATGCTTGCAGTCACTCGGCAAGGGTAATGAGGCTGAACTGAACGGACCACCGTTGGAGGTCCTGCATGCAATGGCTCATCGGTGTGAATCAAATCTAAATGTACGGGCGATGCAAATGTACAAAATGAAACGACGAGACTCGAAAAAGAACGAAACATGGAAACAAAAAAAGACCCATTTGTATGAAACAGGAAACCAAAATTATGACAAAAGTGACATCCTTGACGGTCGTTAATGACATGCAGAAAAGCACGGTGGACGATGGAATGGTGCGTCGACGCGTCGACCATCCATCCCACCTACGGCACTCGTCTCTAGTGAGGGTGCCGGGCGCCACCTACCATCTCATAGTCTCCCCATACCCCCATTGTGAACGCCTTACAGCTTCTCGATGATGGCGGCCGCAAACTCGTGCGTCTTGGCCTTGCCGCCCAGGTCACCGGTCAGAGCCTTGCCCTCGGCCAGCGTGTCGAACGCCGCCTTCTCGATGCGGGTGGCGTACTCGCCGAGGCCCATGTGCCGCAGCATCATCATCGACGACAGCAGCAGCGCCGTCGGGTTGGCCAGCGCCTTGCCGGCAATGTCGGGCGCCGAGCCGTGCACGGCCTCGAAGATGGAGCACTCGTCGCCAATGTTGCCCGAGGGCGTCAGGCCCAGGCCGCCAATCAGGCCGGCGCACATGTCGGACAGAATGTCGCCGTACAGGTTGGGCATCACGAGCACCTTGTCGTTGTAGGGCAGCGGGTCCGTGACCATCTTGAGGCAGGTGTTGTCGAGCAGCTCGTCGTCAAACTCGATGCCGGGGAACTCCTTGGCGACGTCGCGGGCGACGCGCAGGAACAGGCCGTCGCTCATCTTCATGATGGTGGCCTTGTGCACGACGCGCACCTTGTTGCGGCCAATCTCCTGCGCCTGCTGGAAGGCGAAGCGCAGCACGCGCTCGCTGGCCTCGCGCGTGATCAGCTTGATGCTCTGCACAACGCCGTCGACCACCACGTGCTCGATGCCCGAGTACTCGCCCTCGGTGTTCTCGCGGATCAGGACGGTGTCGACGCCGTCGTAGGGCGTCTTGAAGCCGGCGACGGAGCGGCACGGCCGCAGGTTGGCAAACAGGTTGAAGGTTCTCCGCAGCGTCAGGTTGAGCGAGACGTGGCCCTTGCCGATGGGCGTGGCCAGGGGACCCTTGAGCGCGACCTTGTTCTTGCGGATGCTGTCGATGGCGGCGTCGGGGATGGCCGTCTTGCCGTCCTTGAGGATGGGCGTGACGTCGATGGGCTCCCACGAGATGGGCGCCTTGGCCGCCTTGAAGATGGACTTGACGGCGTCCGAGATCTCGGGGCCGATGCCGTCACCCTCGATCAGGCTGACGGGGTAGAGGCCCTGGATGCGTTAGCGCGGGATGGCTCGTCAAGCAATTGGACGCTGCGCTCGCGTCGTAGCTCGTACGCGAGGCCAACACGGCTCTGTGTTCCCTGTGACGTGCAGTCTGCGATCCACCTGCCGAGACGTCCGTGACCCGGTCAGGTTTCGGACGTGGGGCTGTCCTGCTGCACGGCACACGGAAACTCAAAGCAAAGGGCATAGAGGGACTGGAAGCTTACATCGGAGCCCTTGACACCGGTAAACTGGGCAACAGGCTTCTTCTTGTCCGAATAGAATCTGGCCTACATCGTGTTAGCGAATGGGCTTCCGGAAGCGAGATCCGGTCGACAATCTGTGTTTCTTCTCCCTCGAGCTCAACGAACCTGCATAGAGATCGAGACCGCCGCGCGGGGAGCAGCGCGGATGCACTGGCGTCTGGCCGGGCCAGCAGCAGCACGAAGGGCCAGCATGGTGTCTGTGTGTGGGAGGAGGTTGCGAGGCGCAAGAGAGCGAATAAGGAGGGAGCGCTGGTCGAGGGATATTTCGCCGCGATGCGAGACAAGGCCGACTCTTCGGGCCAGAGGGGTAGTCGGCGAAGGAGAGACGAAAGGACGGGAGAGGCGCAAAGAAACGATTGTCGAGAAGAGTGAGGAGGAAAAGAAGAGAGAAAAGGAACAAATCGAAGCACAGAATGCACCGAGGACGATTTTTGGAGCTGGTGGCCAAAACAAAGAAACCCAGAAAAAAAATAGCCAAAAAAAGCTTTTGCGCGGTAAAATGGAAGGGATATTGGTTTGGCTGGAGATAGTGAGCGCCTTCCTTCCCAGTAGAGCGTAATACCGCAAAGTCGCTGTACCTGCCAAATGAGTGATAAATTGACATGTGGTTCTAGCGGCCAAATACGGGCCAAAGGGCAGCGAGGTGGACCCACAAGTGGCGGGCTGATTGGCCCAAGTGGGGGACAGAGGCATTAAAACAGCAGGAGCAGAGGCGCAATCGTAACTCCGTCGCACGAGTCGCGACAGCCTTCGGAAGCCGGATAAAGAATGACGCACTATCGATAGCGATAAGCGCCGTGCTTAGTCACTTTCATGGGCTCCTTCTGAAACGGGGCGCTGGCGAAGCTCAGGAGCAGCACCAGGCTATGGCGGGCACTAGAGACCAGCCACGTCCCCTAATCGTGTCGAAGAGACGATGACAGTTGACCACATCGCATTGCATCACGACGACGACGATATTGACGACGAGAAGCACAAACGAGGCACAACCGCAGCGCAGCATTCGAATGCCACGACTGTGCACGACCGATTGCACCCGTCTGCACCGCATCTGAACAGTCCCCACACCCGCCGATGCCGCCGCCGAGATGACGGACCTCGAGCGATCCGTCCTCGACTTCTACCAGATCTCGACAGCGTACCCGGACGTGTGGCCCGCGGACAAGAACAACGACAGCGATGGATCCGACGGCGAGACGATGGCTGCTGCGGCCGTCTCGGCCAAGGACCGGGAGCGCAAGGCCAAGCTGAACCGCCGCAAGTCGCGCTACCAGGCGCTGGAGCGCGCAGCCACACAGCGCCAGAGCACGCTGCCCGGTGCCGACAAGGGCGTGCAGCGCGACGAGCCGGACCCGCTGGGCACGACGGACAGCGTGATTCTGGCGCTCAAGCGCAACGGCCTGGCCAACGTGCAGGACGACCCGAAACTGCGCAACCGCTTCCTGCTGTCGTCGACGACCTTTTCGCCGGCCTTCTTTCTGTCGCAGGTGCACAGAGACGCGAGCACAGAGGCCCTTGTGGCCGGCATCGACGTGCTGTCGCGGTCGATTGACCAGAAGTCGGCGTCGCTCAAGGTGCTGGTCGAGTCCAACTTTGAGCGGTTCGTGCGCGCCAAGGCCACCATCGACAACGTCTACAAGGAGATGAAGTACTACGGCGGCGAGCCGACGCCGCCACCGCCGCCGCGCGCCCGTCCCCACTCGCGCCACTCGAGCCGCAGCGGCGGGTTCCGCGGCAGCATCAGCGGCGGCGTGGCGGGTGCCGGCGGGCTGGGCAGCCCAGGCGCCACGCCGCCCTCGGACACGCGCAAGCGCAACGCGCTGGTCAAGGAGAGCGAGTACGGCGTGCTGGGCATCAAGGTGCCGCTGCTCGAGGTGTCGGCCAAGGCCGAGGACGTGTGGGGCCCCGCGCTGGGCGGGCGCGAAAAGGAGGAGACGCTGCGCGTGCTGTCGGGCGAGCTGAGCCGGTTCCAGGAGTACGTCGAGGCCAGCGCCGCCATCACAGAGAGCATCAAGCGGAACGACCACGAGAGCTTGGTCGAGGAATACCACCGCGCACGCCGCTTTGCGGACGAGGCGCGCGCCCTGGCCCAGGAGCTCCAGAAAAAGGGTGCGGCGGCCGCGGCCCAGGCGGCCCAGGCGGCGCAGGCCGCCAAAACAAAAGGCAGCAGGGACAAGAACGGCGGCCCCGGCGGCAAGGACGACGACAACGACGACAACGATGCTGTACTGGACGAGTCGCGGCCGACCGACGCGCAAATGTACCAGATCCTGCTGGCTGCGCGCATGTGGCACGACGTCGAGGACCAGATCCAGGTGTACAAGCGCGACGTGTGGCGCCGCCTGACGTCGATGCACAGCAACGTGGTGCGCGGCCGGTCGGGCGCGGATGCTGCGGGCGGCCGGGGCGACCAGCACATGGAGCTGATCGGGCTGCTGCTCGAGCTCGGCGTCGAAGACAACCCCATCTGGGTGTGGCTGCTGAGCCGCTATGACTACCTCAAGGGCAAGATCCAGGCCGTGTGCGACCGGACCAAGGTCGAGATCGAGGTCCTGCGGCGCCGCCTTGCCGCGGCCGACAAACCGGCGCCGCATGTGATTGCGGCGCACCTGCGGTCCATCGGCCGCCAGACGATCGAGAGCAAGATCGGCTCGCTCGACTCGCCCGACGTCATTGAGCTGTGGGACAAGATCCACTACTTTTTGGTCTCTCTGCTCTCGGCCCAGGGCGTCCTGGGCGAAGTGCTCGAGTTCTGGCACACCGTCGAGGGCTTTGTCGAGGGCAAGACGCAAAAGTCGCTGCCCTCGGGCTACCGCGGCGAGGCCCAGACGCACCACCGCCTGTCGCAACAGGGCGCCGTCGACCTGCAAAAGGGCGCCGTCGAGCTCGTCGATCTGATCCGCGAGCACGTCTTCTCGTTCTTTGCCGGACCGCCGCCCGAGGACGTGTCGCTGCTCTTCTCGCCCATCCCGTTGTCGCCGCGCACGCCCATGTCGACCACCTCGCTGAACGGCGGCTTTGGCGGCGCAAGCGGCCCGCTGTCGCCCAACGCCTTGCGCGACCCGCGCTTCAACCTCGACCCCAAGAACCCGCCACCGCCATCGCCCCGCCGCGGCGAGGCCTGGGAGAAGTTTGCCTTTTGGCCGCCCTGGTCCAACTCGGTCAGCGGCGTGCACTACCTCTCCAAGTACCTGGCGCTTGTCGGCGCAGGCGCGTCCGAGATGGCGGGCATCGGGTCGGTGGCGGGCCGTGGCGCGGACGCCACGGAGGTCGAGCGGCTCAGGACGCTGGTCGGCGCTGTGCGGGAGCGCTGTGTGGCGGCGCTGTGCGCGGCATGGAACAAGGACGCCGAGAACGTCAAGTACGTCGAGGACTGGCACCGCGCCGCCGACCGCCGCGATGTGACCAAGATGCCGGCGGCCTTTGCTGCGTTTGAGGGCGCCATCCTGTCGGGCATGCAGAAGATCCTGTACGTGTCCGAGGCGATGAGCAAGCCGGGCGCGGGCGACATTGTGCTGCCGCCGCCGACAAAACTGCTGCAGATGGTGCGGGCGCAGTACGTCACGACGCTGTACAAGGCCCTGAGCGGCATGGTCGAGAACGCCGAGCGGCCCATGAAGAGGGCCGACGACGACTGGACGACTACCGATGCGGATGGTGTGGGCTACGTGGCGCCGCCGTCGGCCACGGCCATGTCGTCGGCCGTCATGAGCTTGCTGCACGACAGCCGCGCCTCGTCCATCATGGACAACGGCGCCTTTAACGCGGGCGATCGGGTAGGTTTCTTGTGTGGTGTTTTCCTCGTGGATCGATTTTGTCTTGTGTGTGTCAACTAACCCGTCCACCTTTCTAGAATGTCCGGATGCTGCTCACGCTGAGCAATCTGCAGAGCCTGCGCGTCGAGGTCGTGCCGCGCCTGAACACGCAGTTTGAAAACGCCTTCTCCGTCAAGCTGACCGACGAGACCAAGACGATCCGCGACGTGCTCGGCCAGATCGACACGCGCCTGTTTCTGTCGTACACGCGGCCCTCGGTCGAGTCGCTGCGCCGCATCGTGCGCGCCGGCATCATCGACGCGCCGCCCGTCGTGGCCGCCGCCAGCGCCAGCGCCAGCGCCAGCGCCAAGCCCCGCGAGGTCCGCCCCTATGTCTACGAGGCCCTGCTGCTGCTCGTCCTCGTGCACTCCCAGGTGTCGACCACGGCCGCCTCGCTCACCCAGCAGGTCCTGTCGCACCTGCTCGAGCAGCTGTCCCGCGAGCTGCTCGAGGCCTTCAAGCAGCAGCCGCGCGCGGCCGCATCGCCCTCGGGCGCGCAGTACGACCTGGCCGGCCTGATGCAGGCCACGCTCGACGTCGAGTTTATTGCGCAGGCGCTCAGCCAGTACACGACGGAGCGCGCCAGCGAGCTGCAGGGACAGATCTACCAGGAGCTGGACGCACGCACCGACGACGACGCCCGCGCCCGGCTGCAGGGCGAGCTGCCGGAGATGCGCAGCGTGCTGAAGCGGCTGCGGGAGGCGAGCAAGAACGAGTTCGCCTGTTTCCGGAAGCCGAAGCGGAGCGGCGGCGATCGGGGAGAACGAGGAGAACGAGGGGGCAGTCGTGACGGCGCATCGTCGCCAGCGCCACAAGCCGGGCCTGGCCAGGGTGTGCCTATATGAGAGAGTCTGTGACATTAGTTTGAAGCGAAGATAATACATGAACCCACTTGTGTTCCAAAGCCATACTATGCATAGTCCATCGTATCCAAAAAAAATGTCAACTGTGCAAACGCTGTATTGAGTAAAATGTATCAAAAAATGCTGCCCAGCCGTCATCTATTTTTGGATGTCCAAAACCAAAACGCCACAAAATGAAGTCCTATCAACGCCAATAATTTTGAATATGCTTTCCTTTATTCTTTTCGTATCTTTTCGTTTCCTTTGCTGTTCGTTTCTCTCTCACTCGTTCACCTCCGCAAACCAGGTCCGCAGCAGGCCCGACAGTGCCGACGGCAAGTCGTCCAGGTGGTGCACAATCAGATAGTACGGGAACGGGAACGTGTCGAGGTAGCGCTCAATGACAATGCGGCTCGCGCCCGTCGCCGGGTCCTTGACGAACTTGGCCTCTTTGAGGTCCAGCACGCTGTCTGAGCCGTTGGCGGCCGTTCCGTTCTGGCCGTTTTTGCTGCTCTTATTGCTTTTGTTGTTCTTGTCATTCTTGCTGCTGCCGCCGTCGAGAATCACAAACACCACCATGATCCGCGCCTCGGCCGCCTCCCGCAGCAACAGCCGGATGCGCTCGTGCGCCGCCGAGGGCGTCAGGCCGTCCGACAGAATAATGGCGAGCTGCCACAGGTCGGCGCTGCTGCTCGACGCCACGTTCATCTCGCGCGCGTGCTTGAAACGGTCAATCGTGCTGCGGAGCAGCAGCGCCACGTCCGTGCGGTCCTGCTGGAACGTGAACCGCCGCAGCGTCTGTGCGGCCGCACCGCCCGCGCCCGCGCCCGACGCGCCGGCAAACGACTGCTCGGCGTCCAGGGCGTGCGCCGTAAACACGCGCACGCCAAAGCCCAAAACGCCCACCTGGCCGGCCTCGAGCATGGACAGCGCGCGGCCCACCATGACGAGCGAGCTGAGCGCGAGCTGGCCGGGCGAGGCCGCCGATCCAGAGACACCCGCGTCGGACGACGTCGACAGGCCCGCTAGGCCCTCGCCCATGCTCTTGCTGTCGTCGACGCAGAGCAGGATCTGGTACGCACGCTTCGTCGGCACGCTGCGCCGCATCCAGATCTTGTCGCGCTTGTAGCCCGACGCAATGTACGGGATGATTTTGCGGATGCTCAGCCGCTTGCCCGTGCGGAAGCCGCCCGAGAGTCGTGTGGCCTGCGACGGCGTGAGGATCAGGCGCAGCTGTGCCGCCAGGGCCAGCGACAGCGGGTGCGTGGCGGTCTGGAAGCCCGACCACTGCCGGATGGCGTCGTCCATGGAAATGAGCGAGGGGTCGGTGTCGTCAAAGACGTCGTCGTCGAGGTGCGTCGACAAAAGCTGATTCGTGACGAACTCGTCCTCGTCCTCGTCCTCGTCCTCGTCGTCCTCTTCGTCTTCCTGTTTGATCCTGTCTTCGTCTTCGTCCGCATTGCGGTCGTACGCGCCCTTTTGCATCGAAGCACCCGCCCGCCCATCGTCGCGCTCGTTCTTCTTGGCGCTGTTCTCCTCGGTGTCGTCGTCCTTCATCTGGTCATTTTCGTTCACGTCTGGCTCGCCCTCGTCCTCGTTGGTCTCGTCGTTGCCCGCATGCTTGCCCTCGCCCGCCGCGTCTTGGTCCTCCTCCTCGTTCTTGATCTGCTGCGGCTGCTGCGGCTCGTCCTCTTCAATCGCCATCGCGTCGTCAAACGGCTTGGCCTCTTCGTCTTCCGCTGCGCCCATCGCTTGCGTCGTGGGCGCCGCGTCCTCGTCGTGCAGGTGCTGGAACTCCTTTTCGGTGCTCTGGTTCTCGGCGTTCTCGTTCTTGGTCTCCTGCTCGACGGTCTCTTCAGCCTGCTTGATCTCCTGCCGCGTCTTGTGCCACCGTTCGAGAACGTCGCCCAGCTTCTTGAACGGCTGCCGCTCGTCCTGGTCGGCGTTGGCCGCGGACGGGTCCTCCTGCTGCGTGGGGTCCTCATCGTTTTGATCGCGCTCGCGGTTCGAGACCGTGCCGTCACCACCCGACGCCATCTCCTGGTCATCCGCGTCCTGCTGGCCCTTGTCGCCTTGCTCGCGCTTGGCGCTGTTGTTCTTGTTCGGCGCCGACGCGTCGTCTTGGTCGTCCTGTTCCTCAGCGCCGGTCGTGTTGTCCTGCTCCTGGCCGACACCGCTCTGCACGTCGCTCTGTGCCGCATTTTCCTTCTCGTCGGGCTTGGCGTTCTTCAGCGGCTCAGGCGCGCCCTCTTCCTCGTCATCCTCCTCGTCTACCTCCATCTCGTCTTGGCCTTCTTCCTTGGCGCCCTCGCCGTCCACCTCCTCAGCCTCATCCTCGTCCTCATTCACCTCATCCTTGTTGTCTTCCAACTCCTCAGGACCATCCATCGTCTGGTCCACTTCCTCCTTATTCACGTCCTCCTTGGCACTGGCGTCCGCCTCGTCCTCCTTGCCACGTGGCTCCTCTGTTTGCTCTTCAGCAGCCTCTTCGTCCTTGTTGTCAAGGTCGTCCAGGTCGTCCAGGTCGTCAAAGTCATCGTCACCATCGTCGTTTTTGCCGTCCTCGTTCTCGAGCTGCATGTCATCCGGCAGATCCAAGACATCGTTTTGCTCCACATTCTGGTCTTGCCGGCTGAGTTCTTGCTGTGGGCCGGCCTCTTCATCGTCTTCGCCAATGGCGTCGTCGTCGTCATCGTCGTCCTCGTTGCCGTCGCCATCCTCCTTCTTGTCGTCGCCGTCTTCGCCGTCTGCTTCCTTCTCATCCTCGGGCTTGGCCTCGTCGGCGGCCGTCGCTTGCTCCTCAGCAGGTTTGCTCTTGGCGTTTTCGTCCGTGGCCGCGGCCAGGTCGTCTTCCTCGTTCTTCTGGCCGGCTGCCTCATTGCCCTGCTGCTCTTTGTCTGTGTCCTTGGCGTCGTCCTCGCCGTCCCACATCTTCTCGTCGACGGCCGTCGGGTCCAGGTCGTCCACATCGCCAGCCTCTTCGTCCATGTCGTCTTCCTCCTCTTCGGCGTCATTGTCGTCGCCATCCTCGTCGTCCTCGTCTTCGTCGTCACCAGCCACGCTGCCGAGCTCGCCCTCCATTTCGTCGTCCCCCATGTCAACCGCGTTCTTTTCGTCGTCGATGCCCTCGTCCTTGTCCTTGTCGTTCTTCTCCTTGTTGGCCGTCTGCGCCAGCTCCGAAAGGTCCTCGTCCGGCTCAATGTCCTTGCTGATGTCCTCGGCACCCTCGCCGTCACCAAGACCCGTGCCGTCCTCGAGCTTGCCGCTCGTGTCGTTGGCCTTTTCGTCTGACGTCTTCTCGGGAGGTGTGCAGAAGCCCTGGGAGGCAATCTCCACAAAGGCACGGCTGAGGCGGTGGCCCAGCTGGCACGTGGAGCGGTGCACGGTGGTCAGCTGGAGCAGCGTGTGGCGGTAGGTGGAGGCGTATTGTTGCAGAAGCGGCAGCAGGACACGGAGGAGCGCGGCCGGTGCTTGCGAAATCGATGAGCTGCAGACCGAGCGGAGAAGCTCGATGCACCGCTCCACGCTGCTCGACACGGTGTCGACATGTAGAGACTTGACGGCCAGCGACAGCTTGGCGCTGTAGTTGACGAGCCACGCCGTCTCCTCTGTGGATGTGGGTAGGTCCGAGACGGACTTGTTGAACTTTTGCACAGCATCAAGCACCATCTTGGATAGGTTGAGCGCTTCGTCGGTGAAGGCAGCCAGAGCCGTCTCCGGCTGGTCGCCCAGAGGGACGGCCTGAGAGTCATCTTGACCACGCGTGCTGAGCCAGAGCTTGATTTGGCGGAGGATGTAGGCGAGCTCGGGACGCTGATCGATTTGCTGGTCCAGCTCCGCGGCAAAACGAGTGACGTCGGCCGCGACCTCGCTGCGGATGGCGAGAGTCTTGGGTGAGACGAAGCCCGAGGGGAGCGCAGGCGCCGCATCCAGGAGAGCGAGCTGCTTGGACAGCTTCGTCGTCCATCCCTCCAACGTGGACTGCACGGACTTGACGTCGACCGAAGCCAGGCGAGCGTGGATGCTCACGAGATGGACAGCCACTTGCAGAATTGAGACCAGCCACCGGAGAACACGCGTGTGGTCGCCGGACACGCTATCGAGGCTTACGGCGACCTCGGCATCGAAGCAGCTGCTGAGACCCTGAACGTAGGCGATCTGGTCGTCGAAAGCCACCAGTCCCTGGGTTGACTTGGCAAGGAGCTCGCGCTGCTGCAACGAGACAAAGAGTATGCCCTCCAGGTAGCCCACGCTGCGGCGGGCGACAACACGCTGGAGGTCGCTGCTGTGGTCGTAGAGCGCATTGCGGAACTGGGGCGCGAGGCCCATGAACTTATGGAAGCCGTACTCGAGGCCGGGGAGGTCGAATTCGTCGGGGAGTCGCGTGGCATTGTGGCCTGAGAAGATCATCTCGAGCGACGCCTGGGCCGCCAGGCGGCTCGTGCCGAGGTTGTTGCTGAAGCCCATCTGGCGGACGGCCTTGACCGTCTCGTCAAACAGGCGGGTCTTGCGGGTCTTGAGCTGCTTGACGGCCGCCTTGTTCTCGTCCGTCAGCAAACCCGGCGTCTCTTTGCGCAGTTCGGATGCCGACGACACAAGGTCGGTCAAGAACGTCGCGACAATGTCAGACGCGTCCAGGGCGGCTTCGGGCAGCGTGCTCGCCTTAGCCATAATGCCGACGATGCGGTCGATGCCGGACAGGCGGCGCGTGTGCGGGTCCTTGCCCCAGCTCGGAATAAGCTGTGCACACATCTTGGCCGCCGCCAGCGGCTGTTCCATCGCAATGGCGCGCTCGTACGAGTAGAGCGCCAATACACCACTGCCCTGCACGACAGCTTCCGACTCGATGTCCGGGAGACCCTGGAGGATCACAGGCCCCATTGGCTGACCCAGGACGGCACGGAACTTGCGCACGAGACGGAAGAGCTTCTGGTGCGACTTGCGGGCACTCTCGCGGAGCGCCTCGATGTTGGTATCGCGCCAGCTGGCCAGAAGAAGCACATCGTTCATCTTCTTCTGCAGGCCCTCGCGTCCCTTCTTGACGGCCTCGATGGCCTGGCTCTCGAAGCGAGCATAGTAGCCAATGAGGCTCTCCAAGGCGTTGGAGACGACAGTGAGGGCAGGGTAGTCGAGCAGGAGTAGGCGTAGATGGGCGGCAATCTGGCGCAGCAGGTCGAGGCGGGCCCCGTATTGGCCAGCAATGGACCCGGCGAGGTACGAGGACAGCTCCTTGAGAAGCTGCTCGGCGTGGTAGGCGAGAACGGTGCTGTTGGGATCGCGGACGTCCTTGCCCGACTCGAGGAGGATGGCCATGGGCCCAGCGACAGCCGCTTCGTAGGCAATGAACCACCATGTGCCGGCATCCTGCCGGCACGTGTCGACCTCGGTGTCAAAGAGGCGGCTCCACGTCGACAACTCCAGCTTGCGCCAGCTCACGAGCGTGGCGGTCGTACGGTCGTAGAGCGTCGGCGTGAGGTAGACGCGGGGTGCGTATCCACGGAACTGCCACTCGTACAAGAACTCGTGCAGCTTCTCGACGCGGGGAATCACCTTGGCCAGCGGCTCGTTAAAGCCCAGCTCCAGGACCTTGTCGCACCCGTCGAGCACGTCGGCAATGGGCTGCAGGTGGCCGATCTCGTCGTTGCGCTGCAGGGTGCGGAACTTGATCTGGATGTCGTGCACCAGTGCAACCAGCTTTCGCGCCTCGGGCAGGTTCGTGTCGGCGTAAAAGTTGTACTGCGACGGGTTCTTGGCATTCTTGGGGTTCTTGGTTTTCTGGGGCACCGTGACCGTGACACTCGCGTTTTGCAGCTCGCGCAGCTTGTCGTCCAGCACCAGCATTGTCGCCGGGAGGATCTGGCCATCCATCAACGGCGAGATGGCCACGACCTGCTCCTCGTCGACGTTCTCCTTCGCCATGGCGCGGGCGGTCGACTTGCAGAAATCAAGAATCACGTCGGTGGCAGGACGCGACGGCTGCAGAATCTCGTTGTGGATCTGGGCGATGTCGGCTGACAGGTCCCACGTTGACTTGGATGTGGCGGCGGCCGCGTTGTTGGCCGCAGGGGTGCCCTGCTGGTCGCGGTCCTTGTTGTCCTCGTCGTAGTATGTGGGGAACAGCTCGGTAAACTCGGCCGCGTCTTGCTCTTCCTCGTCCTCCAGGCTGCCGCGGAACCGGTACAGGTTGTTCTTGTCCTGCTCCGCCTTCTGGTCCGCCGCCAGCTTCTTCTTCCACTCATCAAAGAAGTGGTGGAACGTCTCGAAAATGCGGCGGCGTCCCTCGGTCGAGAACGCTGAGGCATTGATCGCTTTGCCGTTGGATCCGTCTACAGCTCCGTCGACAGCAGCACAGACACTGCCAAACTGCAAAAACTCCCAGCTCTTGGAGATTGCGTGCGGGATGTCCTCGGCGTGAGCCAGGCGGCCTTTCAGGAACGGCGCCACGTTGAGCCACTGGGCTGCGGGTGTGCGCGTGTCTTCGCCATCAGAGCTGACATCCGAGGGGGGCGGCGCGCTCTCGCTGAGAGAGAGACCAAGCTGCAGACAGCGCAAGAGGTTGGCTAGGGGCACGGCCAGGTCCTGGTATGCGGTGAAGCTGGCCAGAAGACGCTCGATCAGGCGCGTAACGTTGCCCTGGACAAGCTGGAGCTCTTGGCGCGCCTCTGTGGATGCGGTCGAGGTTTTCACAGCGAGAAGCGACGACACAAGGCGGTAGTGCGCGGCACCGAGGTTGTCCTTGACGGTGATGTCCAGAACAGGGTTAAAGACGTCCTTTTGCAGGCGAGACAGCTCGCTGGCGTTGCCCGTGCTGGGCGGGCGGTAGATGTTGGTCGTGGGTTGCTGGTGGTTGCGTTTCCTGTTCGCTGCCTCGATCGTGGTGTCGAGCACAACAATGTCCTCTTCCACCAGCTTCAGGCGCAGGTTCGTCGCGGCGGTGGCCTCCTGGTTCATAAACGAGCGGTCAAACTGGCGGAGTGACACGGCCTTGTGGTCCAGCGACGCACGCAGGGACGCATCAAACTCCTGCTCGGTTTGCCACTTGAGGTACGGATCAAAGACTTTGTCAGGCGTGTACAGCTTGATGCAGCCCAGAGCAAACTGCACCCAGGCAATGGCCGCAAAAGGTTGGTGCAGGGGGCCCGTTGCGTGCTCTTTGGACGCGGCGAGGGCCAAGATTGCGGGCATAAAGTGCTGGCTGAGGACCGTCGCGAGATGGCGGCCCAAGTGCTCAGGCCACGACGCCTCAAAGCTCTTGTCGAGACCGGGCCAGATCACACTCTGAGCCAGGAGCGCGCGGCTGGTTCCATCGTCCTGGGCGGCGGTGAGGACGAGGCCGTTCTGAGAAATGACCACGTCGGCAATCCGGGGGTGGTTGACGGCCGTTTCAAAGAGTGACTCGATGTTGGCGTGCAGCGTCGCGTCGTGCGGTGCAATAACAAGAACGAGCAGGTCCCAGAGCCCCTGGGTTAGCTTCGCCACCGGATCCGCAACGATGGACGCGGACGACTGTGCGACCATCTTGCTGACTAATGGCAGCTCGCTCTCCAGCGAGCGGAGAGAAGCAAGGGTCGACGACGACGTGATGACGTCGCATTTGCGTAGCAGCTGGCTCGACAGCGTGCCGCTCCACGGGCGGATGGACGAGTCCTGGCTGAGCAGGTGGTCGACGGTCTGCAGCACGTTGGCGGCGCCGACGGAGCTCCGCAGACGCAGCTGGGAGGCGGTCGGCAGGTCGGACAGGACGAGGGTGCTGAGCTGGTCGTCCTGGCTCGTTCCGGCGGCTCCGTATAGAACATGCAGCTGGCGCACGGCTTCAAAGATGTTAGTAAATAGCGGCAGCGCGCCAGGCTGCTGGCGGTCGTCGCCCACCATGGCCTCGAGCCGGCCAATCTCATCTGCGAGAGCCTGGACGAGAATAGCAGAGTCAGCGCCGTCCACGCGCAGAAGACGGTACGCGTCGGCCAACGAGGTGATGACCTTGCCGAGGTCGGCAGCCGTGGCGGACGACACGCGCCACTTGAGGCTGTCAAAGCGGGCGGCCAGGCGCTCCATGCTGGTGATTTGCCTGTAGGAGGCAATGTTGGGGATGGGCAGCGGCCGGAGCACGGGCCAGAGCACGTCCATGCTCAGACCGGTGGTGAGCTTGAAGCCGGCCGCAAAGTCGTCCTCAAGGCGCTGGATGACAGCAGACACAAACGCAGGGAGAAGGGGCGTGGACGAAGAGGCTGTCACGCCCAGCAGCGACTTCTTGCCGTCGTCCAGGAGGCGGCGACCGTAGCCCAGATGAGCCTGGAACTGGGCCTCGTCAAAGCTCGACTGCGATGCCAGAGCATGCGTGCGCCACCAAAAGTGCCACACAATGTTGAGCAGATAGCGGTCGACCAAGCCGCCCCCCCTGCCAGTTCCTGCCGACGGACCAGCCAAGGCCAGGCAGAACTGGAGGACCTGCCGGGCCACTCCGTCCAGGAACTTGTAGGCGTGGGCCGTCGAGTCGCGCTTGATGAGAGCCACCTGCTCCACGAGCGACGAGCGCTGCAGACGCGTCAGGAGAGAGATCTTGGACAGGTACATGGACGCGCGCTGCGCCTGCATCTGCAGGTCCTCGTGGGCGTAGTAGACGTCGGCGTAGCGCTCGTAGCTGACGGCCTGCCACCAGGCACCAGCAGCCGACTCGGGCGAAGCATGACGGAGAGCGCGAGCGAGAGGCGCATTTTGGAAGGGATGCAGGGGCTGTTCGTGGACCAGCAGACGGCCGAGCTGTGCTGCCTGCGCCGAGCTAGCATCCTCCTCTCCAAAGCGGGATTCGGCAAACTGGTTGTACTGGCTCAGGATGGCTTCGCGGATGGGCTGGGCATCAGCAGACTTGACAAAGGCCAGCAGGGCGCGCAGACGGCCCAACACAACCTGCGTCTGCGTCTCATCACCACCGGCGACCTTGACGAGCGTGCCGGCTTCGACGGCGCGGAGGAAGCGCTCGAGAAGCATCGAGTCGCCCAGAGAGAGGTTGTCGAGCCACAGCGGGAGCGCGGCCTCGGCGTTGGTGTTGGCGGACACAAGATGGCCGGTCACCTGGAGATAGCGGTGCATGCGTGCCTCCACGGGCGTAATGTGGTGCTTGTACGGATCCACGCGGAGCGCCGAGGCCTGCTCGTTGTCGGTGTCGTAGTCCATGAAAATCTCAATGGACCGGTTGCGCATGGCTCGCGAGAGCTCGCCGTACCGCGGATCCACGGTCAGGAAGACGCGGAAATCCGGGTGCAGCTCGACGATTCGCGGTGCGCCGTCGGGGCCGCTGTGTTCGTTGATGCTCAGGAATCCTTGCGGCCGCTCAAGCAGCGAGTTGAGACGGTCCAGGACGGACGCGTTGCAGAGGTTGGCGTTGTCGAGCACGAGCCAGTGGCCGGCTTGGGCCGCCTGGACGATGATGCTGTCGAGCCACTCGAAGCGAGGGTTCTCGAGCGTGAGTGGCTGCTGGAGGAGGTCGTGCGTCTGGGACAGGACGGCGGCGAGCGGCGACTGGGCATCGATCAGGGGCGCAAGGCGGGCGATGCACTGCGCCAGGCGAGCGAAATACTCGGCCTCACCGGTAGCAGCGCCAGCAGCTCCACTGGCTCCACCACCACCCTGGTTGTTGCGAGGCCGAAGACGGATGGTACGCACCAGCTCGGCGGCAGCTGTCGACGCCGGTGCCGTCGTATTGTCGGTCGGCGTGTCCGAGGCGTGCTCCAACAAGAAGAGCTCGAGGCTTTCTTTCAGCTCAGACACGCTCGCGAGAACCTCGCGGACAGGGTCAGCCTGCTCAAAGCCACCCACAAGGTCCATGGCATCCACGTCGGCGCTCAGGGGGAACACGACCAGGGGCTTGCCCGCCAGAGCCGCCACGTGTTGCAGCAGCGCCGACTTGCCCGTACCGGATGGGCCCACGAGGATACACGGGAGATTGTTCTGCACGCACACCAGCAACGACTCGAGCTCGGGCAGGCGCGGCGCTGCGTGGAGGCCGGGAAAGTCGGGCGTTGGCTGCGAGACGAGGTTGCGGCCGAGGAGCGCAAAGCCAACCTGTGCTGCACTGGCCCCCACGGCGTGGTACAGGCTGTGCGGCTCGTGGGGGCGACCAAAGGCGGTCGCAAAGAGGCGCGCGACCTCCTGGCGGTCGCGCGCTGTCCGGAAGCGCTGGCGCACCGTAATGTCAAAGTAGTCCTGGACGGCCGATGCATGGGGCGCGGCCGCCAGCGCCAGCCAGCGCAGCGTGTCGCGCAAGTTGAACTCCCACGGCGCGCCCTGCAGGCCAAACGAGCGGTTCGCAACGACCTCACGCTCCAGCGCGGCGACAAAGTTGGTGATGCTGCGGACCGTGTCGGCGGGGATGGTCGGGTAGCGCTTGTAGGCGATGCGCAGCTGGTCGGCCTCGGTAAAGACGTCGGCGTAGACGACGATGAACCGGTTGACAAACGAGCTGGGCAGACCCTTGCGGCCGCCGCCCTGGTGGTGCGGGTTCTGCGCGGCAAACAGGCGGAAGTCCTTGTGGCGCTTGAACGTCTGGTCGAGCTCGGCAATGTACACCTCGCCGCGGTGGTCGAGACAGGCGTTGAGGCCCTCGAGGACCGTCTGCGACGCCAGATTCATCTCGTCGAGCAACACCCACTCGCCCTTTTGCATGGCCTGCAAAAAGGGGGCGTCGCGCCAGGCAAAGTTGCCCGCCTCGGCGCCCTCGACCGGCACATCCGTACCAAAGAGGTCCATGAGGTCCGTCTGGTCCGACAGGTTGATGCGCGTCAGTGGCTGGCCGCAGGCACGCGCCAGGGCGCTGATCAGGGTCGTCTTGCCGACGCCGGGGTTGCCTTCGAGCAGGACCGGTTTGTGGTTCATCTGCAGCGCGCGGACGACACGCATGACGTTCATCTTGGTCGTGGGTGCTTCGAACTCGAAGCTGGCATCCAGCGCACCGGCGGCCGACCGCTCGATGCTGAAGTCGCCGGCCCACAGCGTGTCCTCGGTGGCTCGCAGCACAGGTTCTGACTGGTAGATGGACGCCACTGCGTTGCCCGTGAGCTGCAGCAGCTGGCCCAGCTTGTGCAAACAAAGCTCGCGCTGCTCGCCAGCCACAGCAGGGTCGGCCGAAACCATGGCGGACGGGTTGGCGCCGAGCGTGTCGATGAAGACGGTCGCCGCACCGTGGATCAGGGCAGCTTCGGGCGTCGACGTCTGGCTGCACTTGTTGACAAACTGCGCCCAGACGAGAATGTCTCGGATCGAAAAGGGCGTGGCAGAAGACGCGCGGAATGTGCGGCCGAACCAGTACGAGAAGGCCACAATGGGCTTGGCAAGGCGGCGCACGTTCTCGTCCAGCGTGGCGGAGACGATGGCCTCGACGTCCTCGCTGTCGGTCAGCGGCGGGACCCAGATCTCGGTGAACCGGTTGCGCAGGGCCGGCGACAGCTCCTTCTTGCCAAAGTCACCGCCAGGGTTCATGGTCGCGAGGAACTGGAAGGTCTCCTGGGCCTGCACTGTCGGGTCGTCGTCGCCCTCGCCCACGCCCTTTTCCGCCAGCAACAAGGTGCGCTTCGGCTCCAGGACCGAGTTCAGACGCTCAAGCACCGAGTCGTCGGCCAGCGAGATTTCGTCGAGGAGGAAGAAGCTGCCCGTCTTCATCGCGTGGACAAGGCTGCCGTCCGACCACTCAAACAGCGCCTTGCTCCGCGCATCGTCGCGGGCAATGCGCCCAATCAGGTCCGGGGGCAGCAGGCTTTCTCTCTCTTCCAGGCTGTGCAGTCTGTACTTGTCCATCAGCGTGTCTGCCGTGTCGTCGCTGGTGACGGCCTGGCTCTCGTCGCTTGCAGGCAAAAGGGCCAGCGCCTCGACCAGGTCGCGACGCAGGGACTCGGTGATGGCGCTGCGGTTGCGCACGGGGCGCTGCGAGCCAATCAGGTCACCCGTTTCCGTGTTCTGGTGGGCGTTGACAATGTGCAGCTCACGGCCCGCGGCCTCGGCCACCATCTGGCAGACTGTCGTCTTGCCGCAGCCCGTCTCGCCGACCAGCAGGATCGGCTCGCGGTTCTTCAGGGCCTGTGTGACCAGCACGAAGAGGCGCCGCATGGCCTTGGTCCAGACGACCTGCTGCGATGTATTTTGCTTGGCCTCGAACCGGCGCAGATCGGCGCTGGCGCCGGGGCCGTAGATGGCGTCGAGGTCGATCTTGGTCTTGAAAATGGTCTCGATGACGCTCTTCACCGACATGCGCTCCTCCTCGTCACGCACACGCTCTGCCAGCAACATAAATCCGTGGCAGGCGATCTGGTCGCGGTTGTCGGCCTCGCGCAGAGCCCAGCGGAACAGGTCGCGCAGCGTGGCGAAGCTGTTCTTCTGCTCAAAGACACGGCTCGTCTGGCGCAGGCGCGACAGCTCTTTGTAGACGGAGACGATGCGCTCGCAGTCGGACGGCGCCGTGTTGCGGCAGCGCATTTGCAAGATGTAGCCCAGCTCGTTCTCGGGGATGTCGTCAAAGTGGAGCTCGAGGAAACGGTTGCGGAAGGCCCGCGAGAGGACTTTGCGACCGCCGTAGAGGCCCGGCGGGTTCTGCGTCGCAAAGAGCATGAAGCTCTCGTGGGGACGCACAATCTCCTGCGTCTCGGGGATCAGCAGCTCGCGGTTGTCGTCCAAGAGACGGTTGAGCGCTTCGAGCACGTCGGTCGGCGCCAAGTTCAGCTCGTCAAGAACAATCCAATGCCCCTGACGCATCGCCTGGACGAGAACACCCTCCTGGAAGCGCAGCTTGCCGTCGGCGCCGGACACATATGTGCCGAGGTACTCTTGCAGGTCGGTGTGCTCGTGGTTGTTGATACGGACAAATTTGTTGCCGCTGAATTGGGCCAGGTACTCGATCATGCTTGTCTTGCCCGCGGACGTCGGGCCCTGTATGAGGATGGGAAAGCGGCGCGTCGACGTGGCGCGGACGAGATTCAGCAAGTTGCGCTCGACGTAAGCAGTACGGATGTAGTCTTCGCGCTCAACGACAGGCTCCGCGCCCTGCATAAGCCAGTACTGGCGGTCCTTGTCCTTGTTTAGGAAACGCACGTAGGGCCGACCATCGCTGGGTGTCCGCGGAGCCTGGGCCAGTATGGCCTGGCGGCGCTGCTTGCTGGTAGCGTCGCCAAACAGGTGGTCCAAGATCAGCGGCATGACCATGTTTTCCGATGTTTGGCTCAGTAATGTGAGGAAGCCCATGCAGAACCCCTCGAAAAGGGCACGCTCGAGACCGTAAAAGGGTGCCACATCGTCGACATAACGGAGAACGCGGGTGAGCGTGCGCAGACTGTAGTGCGGCACTTCGTTGGCACCATCCACAAGCTTCTTTTCCTCAGCCAGGCCCTTGATGGAAAGGTACAGGCGGGCAACGCGCTCGACAATGCGGTCGCTGACCTTGGCGTTACCCTTGAGGTAGGTCTTGATAATCGGCACCAGGTCTTGGATCTCCCGGTCTGGGCTGGCCACGTAGAGCTCGGTGAAGCGTGACCGCAGACCAATAGGCAGGTCCCTCTTGCCGACATCGGTGGCTGGGTTCATGGCACCGAAGACGCGGAACTCGGGGTGGGCCTCGATCTTGTCAATCTCGCCGGTCTCCGACAGCAGAATAGAGGGAGTATGTCCGGGGCCAGACGAGAGCAGATCGGCAATGCTCTCGAGCGTGTCGGGCGAGGCCAGGTTGATTTCGTCCAGGAGCAGCCAGTCGCCGTTCCGCACAGCCTGGACGATCTTGCCCTCGACAAAGGCAAACGCAAACGCGCCTTGGCCGCTGGCGACCTGGATGTCGAACTGCTCTAGCTTTTCAGAAAACAAAGCCCATCGCGGCTTCAGGTCTTGCAGGGCCTTGAGCTTGGACGACTCCGTCTTTCTGCGCTTGGTTGGCTGGGCGTCGGCAGCGCCCTCTGACGCTGCGCCAGCTGTCGCTGCTGTGGCTGCTACGGTTGCCTCGACACGAGCTGCGTTCTGACGCTCCGTCAGCTGCTCCAGGATCTTGTCAAACATCTTGGGTGCTTGCTGCCAAAGCCGACAGACATCGGCCCAGCGCCCACGGGCGATGCTGGAGCTGATGCGCTTCAGGTATTTCTCATTCTTCTCCGTGGAGATGCCCGTGGCCGCAAAGAGGTCCTCAAATTCCTCCTTGAGGGGCATCGCCAAGCTGCGGGCATTGACGGGTTTGAAACCACCGAGCAGGTCGCCGACCTCGCTCTGTTGCGACAGGTTGACGACGACCAGTTTGTGGCCCATGGACTCGGCCAGCTGCTGGACCACAGTGGTCTTGCCGATGCCCGTCTCGCCGACAAGCAGAAGCGGCTCCTTGAGGTCGACGGCGACGGCAATCTGCTCGAGCAGGCGGCGTGCATGTGCTGTCGTGGCAAATGGCCGTCCCTTGGACTTGACAAGGCCGTTGGCACCGCCGACCCGTCTTGGCTTCTTGAGCGTTACACGGCCCACAGAGAGCTGCTTCTCGCCGTCTTTGAATGGGGGCTCGTGGGACACAAGCGCGTGCTCGGCCACGTCGGGTGGAATGCGCAGCGCCTGCGCAATGGTCTGGCCAAGGTACTTGCGCACGCGGTCGTCCTTGACACTTCCGGCAAAACAGTCCACAGCATCAAGGAAGATGCCAATCATGTCCGTCTCCGTCACTGTCCTTGAGGCAGCCGACTGTCCCGAGCCGGGACGGAAAAGAACACGCTGTAGTCGCCGACACCACTTCATGAGGTCACGCAGGGTCATGGGCCGCTCAATGGCGGCCGGCGAGAGTGAGCTGTTCTTCTTGGATGACAGGGCCGTCAGCTGGTCAAAGACGGCGAGGATGTCGGCTGCAAGGGCTTGCAGAGACGGGAAGCTGTCGTAGACAACTTGCCGCAGCTCCGTTGGCGGCAGCGGCTGCACCGAAAGCTGCCGCCAGAGCCGCTCGCCGAGCAAGGAGCGCGTCGTCTCCTGACCGTTGAGGCCCAGGGTGGTACGGACCGTAGCAAAAATGCGGAAGTTGCGAGCGGCCTTGATCGTCTCGCGGCGGCTGGGGATGAGCAGCTCGCGACGCTCGATCAGCGGGAGGATGGTGCTCATGACCTCGTTGGGGGCGCGGTCGAGGTCCTCAATCAGAACCCAGCGGCCCTCCTGCACCGCAACGGTCAAGATTCCCGGACGCCACTGGAACGAGCCCGGCTTTGTACCGGCCGAGTAGAGGCCAATGAGTGTCTTGGCATCGGTCTGCTCGTTGAGGTGCAGTGTGACGAGGCCGGCCTCCATGCCGAGCTCGCGTGCAGCCTCGCGGACCACAGACGTCTTTCCAGAGCCAGGTAGGCCACGCAGCAGGATTGGCTGGGGATGTTGCAGGCACTGTGCAAGAGATTCGAGGTTGCGGAGCGTGGTCGACGTCTTGGTAAGAGGCGAGGGCTGGGTCGAGGCGGTCGTGCCGTCCAGCGCCGTGTCTGCAGCAGGACGCGGGATGACGCTGCGACCCCATGCACTGACGAGGGGTGTGAGAGATAGGACTAGGGGCAAACCCTCTGTCTCGTTGTCCGCAACATCCTCCTCTTTTGCCTGACGGGGGGGAGACTGAATGGCAAGGACCCGCTCGTGCAGTTCTTTGCACCGGGTGTGATCATACAGCGTGAGGAAGGTATAGTCGGCCTGGACGCCGTCGAAATCAGCCACCAAGGAGTCCCCCTCGAGAATGCATTGTCGGAGGACACTCTCCAGTTTAAAGTCGGCCGCGGCGTGCACGAGACAGAAGATGCGAATGGCGAGAAAACGGACGGGCGGAGAGGTATGGTGGAAGAGCGACTGGAGGCCCGCGGGCACGAGCTGGGCGTAGGCCGAAGCGTCGAGGTTCACCAGACGCCACAGGACGAGGAGAATACGGACAAGGTCGGAGTCTGGCGGCGGGGCGGTGGCCGAGGTAGAGTGTGACGTAGACTGTGAGGCGGAAGGGGAGGGGGGTAAAGAGGTGCTTTTTTCGTTCGGAGCGGCGTCGTAGAGAGTGGACAGGGTATGTAGGAGCGGTACGGTCGTCGAGGAACCCGGTTCCGCAGCCACGGCTGTTTCGTCTAGGTACTTGTCCAGAAGGACCGACAGGTAGGGTGCCAGTGGGAGGATTCTGGCAAAAGCAGCGAGGACAGTGTCGTCCTGAACGCCTCGGCGGGAGTGGAGCAGCCACCGTGCGCAGATGTCGGCAAAGAGGGGTTCGAAGTGGGCAAATAGCGGCCCGGTCAGACGCGGCAGCAGTGCCGCTTGGGCCACAGCGTCCAGAAAGCTGGCCGCGGTTTGTGGTTGCGGCGTTGGCGTGGACGATGTCGAAGTGGTCGCCGTTGAGGCAGCAGACGGCGGTTGGCTCTGGAGGGCACGCAGCAGCGCAGGAGGCAGCAGGGCCAGTGTGGTCGCGTCGGCCAGCAGAGAGCGCCTCTGTGACGATACGTCGTACACGGCCATGGCTAGCCAAAAGGAATCGGGATCGGAGTGTGTGTGGTGGTGTTATGTCATGTTTTGTCCCGTTGTATGCAACTTTTTTGGCGGCCGTTTTGGTGATGCAAAGTAGGCCGAATTTGGGGCAGGCACGCATTGGACGCAGGGTCGCTACTGCTGCTTTTTTTTTTTTTCTGCCGGGCAGTTGGCCTTATCGATAAGGCGGTCGCGCCTTCCATCAGGAAAAGAGCTGGCAAAGCTGCCCAGTGCCCCACTGACCTCCAGCGAGCCAATCACGGCAGGCCAATGCGAACAGCGGAAAAATCCCTTAATTTTTTTCAACATCGGCCGATTCAGTCGACATTCAGACGCCACGCGACCACACCCGCGATCACAACCTCCGCCCTCGCGCACCATCGTATCTCCTTTTCTCCGTCTTTGTTTTCGATATCGACTCTCAGTTCTTCTGTTTCCCGCGTCGCCTCTCCCCACCCACCCCTCACAATGTCGATGACCTGCCGCTACGCAGCCCAGCGCTGCGCACAACAGCTCCGGACGGCAAGCCTCGTCCGCCCGAGCGGCACCATGGCGTCCTTCGGCGTCGCTCCCCAGCGCATCGCACGGCGGAACAACTCGACGGAAGCCGCCGTCGACCCCAAGATCGCTACCATTGTCGACCAGATCAGCCAATTGACGCTCCTCGAGACGGCCAGCCTGGTGTCGAGCTTAAAGGTGGGACGGCTTTTGCGGAGGACGAGGGTTCTACATACTGTCGGACGACTCCATACTAATTGAACTGTTAGACCCGGCTGAACATCCCCGACCTGCCGATTGGTGGCTTCGCGGCGGGCCCCGCAGCACCTGCAGCAGCCGCCGAGGCCCCAGAGGAGGACGACGCACCGGCAGCGGCCGAGAAGTCGCTGTTCACGCTGAAGCTGGAGAGCTTTGATGCGGGCTCGAAGCCCAAGGTCATCAAGGAGATCAAGAGCCTGCTGGGCCTGAGTCTGGTGGACTCCAAGAAGTTCGTCGAGAGCGCGCCCAAGATGATGAAGGAGTCGGTGCCGAAGGAGGAGGCCGAGAAGATCATTGCGACGCTCAAGGAGCTGGGCGCCGTGGTAACCATGGACTAAGGGAGGGACAGCAGTGGTGATTGACTCCTTGGCGATGATGAGGACCGGGACGGAAACGGAAGCGGCACAAAGGGCCGCATAAACGCATTGTATACCAGAAACAGCATATATGACGCGGCAAGCCATGTAACATTAAGCAACTGTACTCCGAATTGGAATACCATCTTCTATCTACCACGGGGTCTTGTGACAGTGACATCCACCTACGACGAGAACAGAGGAGGTCCAAAAAAAGATTGGTATCGATGGCAACTAGCAAATACGTAAACAATGACCAGCACGAGAGCCGTGTCGCGCAACGAATGGCTCAGAAAAGAAGCAGGCGAATCTCAAAACACGTTTCCAAGCCCAGGTGTATCCCGCAGACCATGCACGGACCCAAACCAAGCTAACAAAGAGCACCAGAACGCCGTCATATGAAAGACAGTGCAAAAAGACAAGCAATCACATTACCCAGGCCGGCTATGCAGCCTTCCCGTTTGCGGCGGACGGTGCTGCCTCGGCACGATGCAGGCAGCTCGCCTGCACCGCCCGCTCGCGCTCAGCCTCCTCCTCCTCGCCCATCAGGTGGTCATCCTCGCCCAGGTCGCTCGTCTCCTCCCACAGCCGCCACATTTCCGCATCCTGGCCTTTGGGGACGGCCCAGATGCTTTCGCGCAGGCGCTTATGCCGCTCGCGGTCCTCCTCGATGCGCTCCTCAATCTGCCGCTTGTCGAGCCGGCGCGGGGGCTCGACGGCCGATTCACCGCCCCCCGCACCGCTCCCGTCGCCGGCACCGCCGTGGTCCGTGCCGCCGCTGCCGCCGCCACGTCCGTTGTGTCGCCGCGAGGGGACCGTCTGTGACGGCGGTTGGCCGTCTACGTCCATGACATCGCCGCTGCCCCGTTCGCCGCTTGGTGCGCCCGACGCGCCGCGGACCTCGCCGTTCGCCAGTCCGCCTGCACCGTCCGTCCCCGCATGGACGGGCGACAGCAGGTCGGTTTCGCGCTCTTTGAGGACCTCCTCGATCTCGGTCACGGCCTGGGCTTCGAGAAAGCCCTTTTGCTGCAGGCCCTGCAGCACGCGGCGCACGACCTTGACGTTGGCGGCGCCCTGGCCGCTCTCCGGGGCCACGGCATCGACGACGCGGATAATGTCGCGCTGGATCATGCCGACGTAGTCATTGTGGCCCTCGCGCTGGGCGAGCTCGAGAAAGTGCTGAATAAAGTACATAATGTTGGCGCGTTTGTTAAGGGCCGTTTGGGGCTGCAGACACAGGTCAGTTAGCCGGTGATCAGGCCGGAGGTCGGACACAGATGGCATGCACGGTGTCACCCCACCTTCTCGAGCTGCTCGATGATGCATGAGTGCAGGTCCTCGTCCATGTCCTTGTACTTGAGCGCATAGGCCGCGGCCTTTTGGGCGGAGTTGACCGAGGCGTTGAGGTTCTGCAGCTGCGCGCTGAAGCGCACGCGCACCTCGAACGGGTCCGCCATCGTTCGCAGTGGTGAGTAGTCGTGCGCGAGTGTGTACGGCGTGCGTGCTGACGGTCGTTTTCACGTCGCCACGAGGTCGTGATGCGATGCGATGTTGGAGCAAGAAGCTGTCCATTATGGTTGGTCGAATATTCTTTTACTGCGTCACTAGCCTAAGATACGCCTGGCCGGCATAGTCGCCCGAAATCTCCACTGAGTCTCCCCCACTATACTTGCTCCAGGCGGCTATTAAGCCTAAAATTTGGATAGTCGTTCCAACTAAACAGCCAGTTGCAGGCTACCTCAGCGGACTCTCAGTTTGCCAACAGCGGGTTTCAGGCACGAGTGCTGTAAGATTATGCTTGCACAGTCTATAGCCAACATCTACGCTCATCCTGATATAAATTAACCTCCTACCACTTATCCTCGTTCCATCTTATTATTCCCGTCCTTCTTCACTCATTGGCACCCCTGGCCTTCTCGGCCTTCTCGGCCTTCTCGGCCTTCTCGGCCTTCCCAGCAAGCTCGGCGTCGACCTGCGCCTGGCACCCAAGCATGCGCTCGGCAGTCAGGCGTGCCACTGTGCGCAGATCGTCGTCGAGGCCCAGCCGTGTGCCGCTGTTCGGGTCGCTTGTATCGCTAGACCCCAGCGTCTCGAAGCGCTTCTGCCAAAACAACCAGCGTTGGCCGTGTTTCCCAGTTTCCGTGCCGCCGTTCTTCACGTACAGCTCGTACATATTCTTGCGCATCATTCGGAGGGACGTCTCGTCACAGAAGCGAGCCGTTCCGTTCTCCAGGTTGTCGTCAATGTCGCGGATGGCCCAGCGGTAGAGTTTTCCTCCTGTGAGCAGCATCCAGTGGCACGCAACACGCACAGCGCACGCAAAAGCCCGTTGGTGTGTCGCGCCGATGACGTCGTCGGGGCCGTCCGGCTGCGGAGGAGGAGGCTTCTCGACAGCCTGGGCGGTGTCTATGAAGCCATACAACAGCCAGCCGAAGCCGGCCTCGGGGTCCGTTGCGATCCGGCGCGCCTGGAACGTGGAAAAGCTGATCCATTGCTGCTCATACTCTGCAAAGCGCCTTCGTTCGTCGTCGAGCCTGTCCCGATGGCCTTGTTCCACGCAACGCACCACGTCGTGGGCTTTCAAATCTGCGGCTATATGAAGCGGTCGCCCGGGACAAAAAAAAAGAGGCTTGCGTATTAGTACTCAAAATTGAAGATGAAAAAGGCACAGGCAGCATAGGACGATGTTGCTCACGTATCCATTCTTCCCGCTCCACGGCACCAAGCAGCGGAAAGTCAGTCCAGAGATTGAATTCTTTCTTCATGAAGGGACGACAGGACGTTTGTGAGAGTTTCGGGTCAGTGTCTCCTTGTTATTTACGTCTCTCGGCACTGCTTCCATTCAGGTAAGTGAGGAAAGGGAAAAGGAAACTCACCTCCCACACACGCACAGTTCCTCTAGACTTTGAGCCAAGGCTCCTGAGGAAGCCCATGAGCTCGTACTGGAGAGGGTTGTCGTACGGGACTATCTTGACGGCATGCAAGAAGACGGTCCACAGTTCAAACAGATAAAGTTCCAAGCCGCCATCGTCCCTGGGGACATTGTCTTCTGTAAGCTCCGTGCCATCCCGGCGATAAGGGCACTTTTTGTCAATGAGCGTCGCCGCCGCCGCCGCCGCTGGCGAGATATACACGTCTGGCTGGACTTGTGCAGTGACACTGAGCGCCCGCTGGTCGGCCTGAGGCGCCGCAGCAATGATCATATCGGCAACGATATGCTTGAACTCCGCTACAATATAGCGGTTGTGGTCGTGGGCATCGGCGATGTATTTGAACACAGTGCCGTCGACTCTGTCAGACGCGAGGAACTTGTCCAGGCCATCCTCGCCGACCAACTTTGTGACGAGCGCCTTGGTGTCGGCGTCCATATGCTGTCTTGCATACTCAACGGATCCGGCCGCGGCAGGCTCGATGAACTTGTCAGAAACAGCGGACATGATGAAGGCAAGAAAAGGAGCAGCAGGTGTAAAAAGAAAGTGTGGGAAAGCTATGAAGGGAAGATCTAGGTGGTGAGAATGGAGGTTGGTGGTGGGGTTGGGGTTGGATTTGGCAAAAAACTTGGCTAAAATGTTGCCAGGGGTTCGGGGTAGATCGGCAGCTCGGTGACGGGCCGTGTTGGTTTTTAACACAGTTGTCAACGTCGATGATGTGATGTAGTTGAAAGAGACAAAACAGAAGAAGAACGAAGACGACAGGAAGAAGGAAGGGGGGGACGAGGATCTACACCTGCCGTATTTGGATTTTAAACGTGGAATTTTCATTTAGTATTCGGTAATGTCTGACGTCGTAATTTCTCTGTACGAAGTACTCTTGTTCATTTTGAGCCGGATGCACTACTCTGTTCTGTTGATTCGGCCACGTTTTCGCCATTGCGAGTCCCGTGTAAGCTGATTGGCTGTACTCTTTTCGCCGGATCTCATCACACCCAAACATGTGATTGAACAAAATTGAATGAAACTAGGATGAAAATGAGAAATCATATATCAGGGGTTAAAAATAATACGGAAATTCAGCGTGGGCATTTAGTTTCGCCATCCTGTCGTAACAATGATGTGCGTATATAATTTTTTATAGGAAAAGAAAAGAGAAGGCATGCAAAGGTGGCCGAGATGATATGATATATCGTGCGCCAGAACTCATGCGGCAATGGTCCCAAATCATGCAAAGTACGATGTACAATGCGCAGGACAAAACAAGGATGGCTTGTTCATTGTTTCGTATCTGCAAAGAGTTCGTGATGGCTTGCGCCCTTCGCGTTTCAAAGTCCATCGATCTCATCTCGATCTATCATATTCGGGGCTGTAGAGACTTTCCTCACCGCTCTCTTTGTTTGTATCTCACTTGACGTGTTCACGATGTAGGTGCATCACAAAATCGTCCATGTGAAACAAAGATTTGGCCAAGTACAAACATTGTAGAGAATTGACCACCAGGGTGGCGGTGTTTGAGACGAAAGATGAACAAGACGGAAAATGTCATGATACAGATGAAGAACAAGACGGAGGCCGGCCAGCAATACTTAAGTAGCGATGCCTCGCAATGAAGACGTGTTGTTGTCTGTAGTCTTCACATCCATTCAACAGAAAGAAACACAATCACAGCACCTACATACAGACATTTCTATAATGTCAAAGAAGTTCGACCAAATCAGCCTTGCAATGCCAAAGACATCACCACATGTCTACGACTACGTTCGTACCCCCCCCCCCCCGGCGCCCGCCCGTGTTCTCATGCTGATTTTTATTAAGAATACACTTAACTAACTCTTTCATAGTACTTCATCTGCAAGAATCTCCCTGCAGGCAACGAGAATCGCTGCCTGCGGTGGCGTGACGTGTATAATCAGGTACAGCACGTGAGGAACACCCCATATGCCAGTCCATGTTCCTACCCAAAGACTCACATGAACAGAGAAGAAAATCCACTGGAGCTAGAAGGAGCACTCCATGAGTATCCTGTCATAAAAGGTGGGCGGCCTTATATCAGAGGCACCCCAGGAGCGGTCCGAGCCGTCTACCACTGGAAGGAGGAGGAATGGCAGAAAGCGGACTCGCTTAGGAACGAGTTCCGTGTCGTCTATCATGACCCGAAAAGAAAATGGGAATCAAAATGGGGCAACAAATCCAAAAGCCATCCATTTTCCATGGCCGAGCTAATGTATCTCTCTCCTCAAGAAGCAGCCGGTTTCATGCCTCGCGACAGAAGGACCAGAGTCGACCACAACCAGTCCGTTACCAAAAGGAGCCCATGCCAGGGATGATAGCAAGTCAGATTTCCCGGTATAAGTGCCCCGGAGGAAGTCACTTGTTGTGGCCAGGAATGGGGGCTGGATGGTCTCATTTGTGTTGTCTTTCCTTGAGATTTTTCTTTTTTTGTTTCGTTTTTGCTTCTCTACGATTTTTGCGAATTTGCGAACTAGTTAAATAGAAAATGCCAGTACAAAATACGACATATTGTGCAGCTACAACATACTTTGGCTTTTCCTAGTGATACTCTGCACCCTGCCTGGATATGGAACTACTTTCGTCGACGTGCATTCTACAACTCCGCACTCTAGTGCTCAAACAGTTTGAAACGCCCTCCTTCATCAGAGCCGGCGACATTCGCCAGATTCTGCAGAAAAACGCACATTTCTCCGGTTTCTCCCGCAATTGCAGACACCGACGAAGAAGCCTTCTACTCTGTACATAAAGATCAGAATTCGAGTCTGTGGGAATAGGACGGAAACCACGGTGTGAAGTCCTTGAAAGTGGCTTTTCAGAGCCTGTGGATTCTGTTTCAATCTGGCACAGCCGTGTGCTGTGAATTACGCCGCAGTGCGCCCTCCTTTCCCTCTTCCCAGCACCAATCCGGACCGTTCCTGCCCAATCCCAACCCTTGTCGCATGGGTGACTGCCTATTTGGGGTGCTCGGTTGTCATCCCGCGGCGCGGTCCAGCCGCTGGGCCCACTGTAAGATACCAAACGGGTGCTTCCACTGGTGATTCCCGGGGTGACAAGACGCAAAAAGCGGGCTGCTCGGTGAAACCGACCACACAATATAAGACCGCATGGGGCGTCGCGTGCGCAGTGTGCCCAAACAGGCGTGGAAGGCGACGGGAAGAACAAATAGAAAACGAAAAGAAGAAAAGACAGAAGCCATGGGAAAACTGGAAGAAATGGACGAAATTAAAAGATTGTGGAATTACGGGATGGAAGAAAATAAGACGGAACGTCACCGAGACTGGCCTGCTTTTATCTCGCAAAGCCCCCTTGTTTTGGGCCCCCTTTTCTTTTCTTCATCATCCTTATTCGTTTTTCCCATGTCTTTTATCACTTCGTCTCTTGGCCACAACTGGCCTGTGCTTTTGTCTTGTTTTGTCGTGTTTGGTTCCTGTTTTGAGACCACAAGCATGCCAGCTCGTGCGGCACTTTTCACCTGGTCCTGTCGCCTGTGATATATGCCGTGCTCCGTCGTAGGGTAGCAACTTTCAGTATTGTGTTCGTATATAAAGACGAGTACACAGCTCAGTTGTGATCGCACCTTCCCTGTCCACTTCTCTTTTACCCTCTTTCCTTACTGTCTCCCCCGTGCTCCTTCCCGGTATCAACAACACAACCATCGTTCTTTCCTTCCTCGGATGTCCCCCAGCTCTCCATCCAGCCCATCACATCGTCACTTCCTCATGCTCGAACCTCCAGACGACTTATCTCTCCTCTTTGTCTCCTCAAGCGAACCCTTCTCCAACCCATAATGCCCGCCACCACCTTTAACCTGCCCATTGTGGGCACTTCCAACGCCTCTACTACTGTCATGTCGTCGGCAAGCTCCGTCTCGTCGTCGTCGACGCCTGACCACCTCACAATGGCCGTCCTCGGCTGTGGAACCATGGGCATTGCAATTCTCTCGGGCATCCTAACCGAACTCGCCGACATGGACGCCCCACGGCCCCTGCAGGTCGTCACCTCGTCTGCTTCGGTGTCGTCGCTGTCCGCGCTCTACACGGCGTCGCAACCGACCAACGGTACCTCGTCATCAGCATCCGCCTCAGCTGCTGCTGCGGCCACCGAAGAGATGCCGGAGCGTCTGCCCACGCACTTTTTGGCCTGCGTGCGCCGCCCCGAGGCGGCCAAGCGCCTGCGGGCTGCCCTTTGGGCGCACTCCTCCGTCGTCAAGGCGGTGGTCGACGACAACGTCGCCGCTGTCCAGCAGGCCGGTGTCGTGCTCCTGGCCTGCCAGGCATCCGAGGCGCCTGCCCTGCTCGCCAGCCCGGGCATGGCCCGCGCTCTCCAGGGCAAGCTCCTGATTAGCATCTGCCAGGGCGTCACCGTCGCGCAGATCGAGGATTATCTGCATGGCGATGCCTCTGAAACTGCGGACGCATCGTCCGCTCTCACGGCCACCTCGCCGAAGGCGGAGGCGCGCTGCCGCATCGTGCGAGCTATGCCCAACGCAGCCAGCCTGATTGGCGAGAGCATGACCGTCGTGGACACGTCGTCGGCCTCGGGCCCTCTGCCGGCCGAGACGGCTGCTCTCGTCACGTGGATCTTCCGCCGCATCGGCAACGTCGTGCACCATCCGTCCCGCCGCGCCGTGGCCGGACCCGGCACCCGTGCTCTGGCGACCGTCGACCGTGTAGCTGCATCGTCGGCTGCGGCATGCACCGCCCTCGGTACTGCTGGTCCCGCGTTCTTTGCTCTCGTGCTCGAGGCCGCCATTGACGGCGCCGTCGCCATGGGTCTGCCGCGCGCGGAGGCGCAGCTGCTAGCGGCGCAGTCGATGCGTGGCGCGGCCGGCCTGGTGTTGCAAAGTGGCGAGCACCCGGCACTGCTGCGGGACCGTGTCAGCACGCCCGGCGGTTGCGCGATCCAGGGTCTCTTGACGCTGGAAGAGGGCGGCGTACGCAGCACGATTGCGCGTGCCGTGCGCGAGGCGACGGCCGTGGCCGTCCAGGAGGGCAAGTAGGGGAGTTGTGCCGTGCCCTCTTATTTTCGCCGTTTCCCTGTACGATACTTGTAACAGTATAATTTTGGAGTCCAGTTTCCTTTGTTCCTTGCAAGTTTAGATCCCTATAGACACATTAGATTTTTAAATATCAATACAACAGGTTGACGTGCTTCCTCTACGCGCATGCATGTTGAGATGGTTTGTATGGGTTGTATGGTTTGGTATTGTTTCTGCAGATGGTAAGAATAAAACCAAATGCGAAAGTAGGTATGAACGTGCCACGGCCGGGCCTAATACCCACCAACGGAGCAAAGCAGAACAAAAAAATGAGCATGCACATCAAAATCATAACGCCAGCCAAAAGAACCCCCCATTTTCCCTTTTGTCAAGCTCGCCATCGTCCTTCACCACACTTCGCTCTCCTTTCATGCATCTTCCACGCGCGCCCGCTTGCTGCTGTTTTGCACCGCAGCCACCTCCTTCTCGTCCTCTGCCGACAGCTTCCGCTTGACGGACACCTGCTGATCGGCTGCCAACTTGGACCGGCTCTCAAACATGCTGAGAATGCGCGCGTACTCCAGCTCGACGCTGACCAGCGTCTCCTCCAGCTTGTCGATGCGCTGCGACCGCTCCAGCTGGCCCAGGATCTCCTTGTTGTGCCGGTACAGCCGCTGCTTCACAAACAGGCGCCACAGCTTGTACTCGTGCTCCTGCTCTGCGGTGGCGGGCGGCAGAGCGGCCGCGGCACTCTTGCCCTTGCTGTTGGCCACAGCCACAGCCGCCGCGACCGACTTGCCCTTGCCACCAGCGTCCTCGTCGCCGCCGTCGTCTTCCCCGTTCTCTTCCTCTTCTTCTTCCAGGGTCGGCCGCACTGCCGGCGCCAGCTTCTGCATCAAGTACATCTCCACCACGCGGTTGAACTGCCGTGGTGCAATCTTTGTCGTGTGCCGCAGCGTCTCGAGCGCTGCCGTGTCGACGATGTTGCGTGGCGAGGGCCCTGTCCGCGGGATCTTGACTGCCTTGTTGACATGTACAGCGTCGGTAAAAGCCGGCAGCTTGGACACGTACGCCAGGTCGGCAATGTCGCGCAGATCGTCAAACGCCTCGTTGGGGTCCTCGACTGTGATCTCGGTCGTCTGTGGCTCGTTGAGGTACTCGTCAAAGATGGCGCTGTACAGCCGGCCGGCGTTGCCCTTGCCCTGGAAGGGCGGCAAAATAATAAACTGCGAGATGCGCGACCGGCACGGCAGCTTGGCGAGGGCAAACGAAGTCGTCTGGTGGCCCTCGTCGTCGCTGGGGGGCAGAGCAAACGCATCTGCGTCGCCTGTGGTGGTCGCTGCTTTTTGCCGTGGTGGCGTGGCCGGCCCAACGGGCAGCAGGAAGCGGTACACAGTCGAGTAGCCGGCAAACTCGTGCTCATACAAGTCAGCTGAGCCGGGCAGCTGGCGTGTGCGATACAGGAAGAAAATGGACCAGCGGTCAGCCGAGTCGACCGTGTGGGACGTGGCGTCTTCCTTGGCAATAAAAGTGCCGCCCTCGATGAAAAATGGCACAAAGATCTCGACGCGCTTGACAAGCTGCAGTACAGCGGGGTCTGACAGCGTGCCCTTCCAGATTTCGTACCGGCCGTCGTTGCCGACAAATGTGCGGATGCGCTCGCCGGGGGGGGTGTAGTTGGCACCCGGTGTCTGCTTGATAGCCTGCTCGAACTCGGAAAGCTTCTGGAAGGCAACTGAGGAGGTCACGCATCAGCACTGTGTTCCCATGCCGCCATACGCATTGCACGCGAGGTACTTACCGTCGACGAGGTATCCCTTCAGAACGGTCCGGATATCGGTCGGCTCGATCTCGCCCGTCTTGAGTTTCTTCGTCGACGTCACCTGAAGGTTCGGCCGCATGTCGGACGCATTGAAGCGCAGGCTGATCTTGAGGCCCTGGTATCCGACGACGGTCTCCTCGTCGCCAAAGATGGAGTATGTGAACTTGGGGTTGAAGGATGCAATCGAGCGCAGGCCGGTCGGGGCAGGCTGGACGAGGCTGATCTCAAGCGCCTCGGTGGCGTTGGAAACCCCTGCAGGCCAGTGTCAGTGACATGTCATTGTGAACAAAATCAGTCCGACATTACAATGTCGTCACCTACATTCGTCGTAAGAATGCTCCATATTGGCGATTGGGAGCCCGCAGTGAGCCCGCAGTCTGCTTTTCGGTGCGAGGCAGTGTTCGATAACGCCAATTTCGATGTTCCTTTAACGTGGGCAGGCCGCAAACTCGAAATGTTCCAGATTCCTCAAATGTGTCGTGAGACGGTTAGGCGTCGATGCAAATCGCAGTCTCTCTAAAAAATGTCGAAACGCGAGTCGCGATGGACTAGGAAACCGCGTTGAGTGTTAATTGACCAAAAGACAAGGAAGGAGCTGATGTTCGACACTAGTCCCTTTTTGGCTAGCTGCCCGGGTGCGCCTTCTGTTTAGACACGGTTTTTATGCCCACATAATCCGAGTTTCCAGGGGCTACGTAGCACTGACACCATATTCGAACCATTTGACTGCCCTCACCTTTCTACGCATCGTCAACGGCGCCATCGTTCGCACCGCAACCGACACGGCTGACGGCCATTCCATGCTGTCTTTTGTTCATGCGATCGGCAAGCATCGGATACATATACCAGTACAGATTATATCCAGCCAGACGCTTCCCTTCCAGCTGCGCTCCACAGTGCTCGAAGGAGTTTGAAGCTTCACGAAGCTCTCGATCCCACCGCCGCGTGCCAAATCTCCTCGCACACGGCTGTGTGTCCGGGCATATATCACGGCCTCGCGCTCTGGCACTAGCTAGATTGGCACACGCCTGCTCACACTGTCGTCTGTCCGCCGCCAAGGCGAGCCTGCACCATGGGCGGGCTGTTTCTTCTTCTGGCGCTCTGCGTACGTCGGCTATTTATTCCGTCACTCGATGTATCTTGTCCGTCCTGCTGCTAACCAGTCTTTCTCTTGCCACAGGCCGTCATGACATTTGCGTAGGTCCCTCGAGAAGCGTGGCAGTGGACGTCCATTGGCTACCTCCGGTACTAACCTCATTACACAGATCTTTTCTCGCCGGCGCTCTTCCTTTGTCCATGACCCTCTCGCAGTCGCAGCTACGGCTCATATCCAGCATAGGCGTCGGCATTCTCGTCGGCACCTCGCTTATTGTCATCATCCCCGAAGGCGTCGAGGCCATTGCGAACCCGATGCTTAACCCGCCCGGCTCGGTCGCCGCAAGCCACAAACACAATGCACGACTCATGTCCTTGCTCAACAGCCGGTCCGTTCCTGAAGCGGCAACTGTCGTTGCTCGCTCAGTCAATGGCGACAATGCGCTCAGCGACGTCCTCGGTCTCCGCAGTGCCGACAACCGTGCGATCCACGCGGCAGTGGTACGGTCCTCCGCCAAGGCGTCGAGCCGAGACGACGAAGAAACGCCTGGTGGCACGGCACCCGGAACGGGCGGCGGCGGCGGCGGCGAGACCTCCACAGATCCGAAAAAGCACCATCAAGGCTTTGGCAAGTCCAAGCAGAAGCAGGAGGGTGCTGCCGCGCCGGTTGCGACGGACGAACCGCGGTCCCTGCCGACGTTTTTCATTGGCTTCGCCCTCGTCACGGGCTTCGTGCTCATGTTCCTCATCGATCGCCTGCCGCGCCACGCCGTCGACAAGCTGCAGTCGGCCCCCGCCACGCGCCACATCAGCCTCGACAACCTGGCCTCGTCAAGCGTGGCTGGCGACAACGACGAGGGCTTCGAGGAGGAAGGGTTCCTGGGATCGCTGACACCGACGCCGCGGCAGTCGCGCGGCCTGGCAACAACAGTCGGTCTCGTGATCCACGCGGCCGCCGACGGCATTGCCATGGGTGCATCGGCGACGACCGAGGACATGAAGCTGGGGCTGGTGATCTTCGTGGCCATCATGGTGCACAAGGCGCCCGCGGCGTTTGGTCTGACGTCGGTGCTGCTGAAGCACGGGCTGTCGAAACGGGCCGCCCGGGGCCACCTCGTGGTGTTCAGTCTGGCGGCGCCGTTTGGTGCGCTGGGGACATACATCCTGATCACGCTGCTGGGCGGCGGCAATATGGAGGGCGAGCGCGGGCAGTGGTGGACGGGCATGCTCCTGCTTTTCTCGGCAGGCACTTTCCTGTGAGTTTGAGTGGCGGTCCTGTGTCCCCTAGTTGAGTGGTGTACTTGTACCCCTGTCCGCAATGCTAACAAACCAGATACGTGGCTATGCAGGCAATGCAGGAGGAGACCGGCGCGCACGACCACCACTCGCTCGGCAATGGCTACGCTGACGCCGCGACCCTGGCGGCACAGCGCAAACAGAGCCGGCCGCAGATGCGTGACACGCTGGCTACCATCGCCGGCATGCTGCTGCCGTTGCTGACGCAGTTTGGTCACCACCACTAGGGGTGGGTTTTCTGGCTGATGTTGGCTGTGTACGCTTGTGTCTTTGCAACCCTAATCTACTGCCCGAGCGTGTTGGTCTTTGGCGTGCGGTATGGTCGAAAGCGGTCCGTTGTATAGGATTAGGGCCGTGATCTTGCCGTGATGCCGCTCTCGCCGTTAACGTCGGGCAGCTCCAATAAGGAAACTTGAAAACTGAGTGCGCCGCAGAGTGGCGGCACGATTCACGATACGCCACATTTTTATCTTATTTTCACATGGCGTTTCTTTTACTTCCTCGTCATTGTTCTGTTTTGTCTTGGCACCCCATTTATGGTTGGCTTTGTTATCGGCGCATGGGGTGTTCTGTTCTGCTGATTCCTCGGTCATCTTTTTTTGTTTGCTGTTTTTGCAGTATGTGTATGACAAGTGACGTGTTTCGGTATCGTTTTCATTAGACAAAGGTATACATATTTAGCTGCCATGCGAGCTGGTGACAGTTTCGGCTGTGCTACGTTGGGTAGTATGTGTAAATCAAACGTATTGCTCGTCAAGCTCATGGTTGCATCTTTGTGTGCGTAGTAGCATTTATTGTAGCAGAAGATATCGTCTCTGGTATTCTGTATTTTCCGTTACTCATTCACGCACTGTTTTTATGTTTTAACGAGATTTGATGATTGACTATACTCTTATTTTACTATTATTGTTGGGTTTCTTATTTTCCCTTTTTTATCCTTTGATTTGTAAATTAAGTATTGCCCATAGAACCAATAATGTTACCCACGTATGGAGTAAATTCATTGAAACGAGAAATTTCATACTGATTTTCATCAACACGGACACATGATGCAGCGACAAGGAACATTCGCCAGATGGTTAATTTCATGTAAATAAAACACGGCGACGGAGGCAGGCAAACGATGTATTTACACTCGACTTAGCTTGTTTCAACTGGCCGTGGCAAAACGACAAAAGAGGCACAGCTACTGCCAAAAAGATACCTACCTCTAGGGAGTAATAACGTGGAAAACGTACACATAAGATACTGTCCTCTTCGAGTCCTTAGCAGCGACTTGGAGTGTCGCATTCTGCGGCTGCTAATTATACTCCCTCCAGCTCCTCCGCATCCCAGAGCCAGAGCATAGTGCGTTTCAGCCCTCCCCCTTTCCCCCCTTCTTTCTCCGATTGACGCCCATCGCACCTGCCAGCCCATAGCCTAACAATGTCGCCTGCGAGTTGCTACTTTTGCCCTCTTTCGCTCCTGCTCGGATCTGATCCCTTCTTGCCCTGCCCCTTCCTCATTCGAAACTGGCCAATCCCATCAGACTTACGATATTTCGTGCCTCCTTCTTCTTGCACCTCCTCATACAAATGCCCTCGCGGCTCACGCCCGAGCACACCTCAGAGGGGGGCAATACATGTCAATTGCCACCCTGCAGCGAACATGTCTTGCTTCTGCTCCGCGGCCTCCCTCTTTGCGATTCCTAGCCGCCGAGTCGGACAGAGGTGTGGAGCCGCAAGCTGCACGTCTTCTTGGAGGTTCAAGTCTCGGTGCATTGGTGGCCTTCAAGAGGATGTCTCAAGAGTTTTTCTCCATGTACGAATGTATTCTCCCTTCATCGACATGAGAAGGGAGGGTGGAGTCGACAGGGCGAGCTTTGGCGAAGCTAGACCAATCTCAGTCTTCCCGGACACTGCGACGTACAACAGACGTCTTCGTAAATGACTTTTTGTCGTCGCTTCAGACACCTCCCCTTTGTGCTCGACGTTGCATAAGTTACGAGCACCAAGCTTTTCGTCTTTATTTTTATCTCTACCTCACCGGCATCGCTGCTTCCACCTGACCCTTTGGTCGAGGTCTCCTGGTTCCTGATCGACTGCAAATGAGAAAGGGGTGCACGGGGGGAGCACATCTCGTCTGTATTTTGCAGGTATGTGTGCGCACATGGAAACACGCCTGGACACGCCCGCCAGATGCACGTCGAGCTCGGTCCCTATGCTGGCGATCGCCGTGCCCCAACCTCTGTCCTGGGTTTCTCGTATTACCTTTGTCTTGAGACAATGCATCCACCTACGGAGGGACAATCTACCTGCGGAAATGTCATGGGAGCTCCCTTCATGCCGAGTACAAGTCCCACGATGTTTTCCCAAGGCGTCCCTTTCTTGCTTCTCTGCCCGTTTGTGCCGTGTCAGTTGGCGCTCCGGCCCTGGCTCAGCCATCCTAGAGCCTGGAGTCATGGACACACTCTGGCCAGGCCCTCTCTTCATGATCGCCCATGTTGTACACTGCAGCGCAGGACGCCATGAAAACTCATCGCAGCAGACAGGCAAGGGATCGTGGTATTGGTTCCCCCGGACGGACGATGCGATCCCGTCTTAGCCGCCCAGACTGTGACATGCACCGGAATGCCTTGATATCCACTGTATATCGTAGAGACCCATATGGTTTATGGGCTGAACGGCCACGCACACCTGCCAGCCGTGTCTCTAGCATGAGCCTTCGTAAACGCAAACTACGACGTGAGATCAATCAGATCATGAGCGATGGCGTCTTACACTTGCTGCGTATTGCTTCCCTCTGCGGCTTTGCTTCGAGTGGGTCTTTGCTTTTGCTCTCCTTCCCCCCACAGACATGTCAGTGGAGTAGCCAACGACGACCACGCCTGACAATGGGTTATGCACCAGAATGCGCTTTTCCCCCGAGCGTCAGCGGCCAGTCGCACGCCCTGATTCGCTCATGTAGCTGGCTCCACCCAGCCTTTCATCTGTCGTCGCTCTTTGTCCCCTTTCGCCAGGCCGTCCCCCCTCTACCGCATGGCCCCCAAATGGCTCCTTCCCCTTAGCCTACCGAAAAAGAGTCCCGCCATGGAGTTATAGGCTGTCGGTCGAGGCCTGGAAGCCGGCCTTCGCGCCCACTGCTCAGGCCTACCAAGCCCGTCCTCTTGCCCTTTCCCACCGACGCTTAGTGCGCGCCCCTTTGCGTCTCTCCCCTCTCACACTCCACTGCCTCTCATCACTTTGCTTCCTCCCTCGTTTCCTCTACCGCCGCTGCCAATTCGACGTCTTCCACGCTCTGCCGTTCCTTTCTTTTCCCTTGAATCGTCGAATCCCTTTCCCGACCTTGATACCAGGAGTTATCCTCTTTCCTCTTCCTCTTTCCTCCTCCGTCTTTGTCCCTTTTCTCGAGTACTGCACCTCGTTACGCTATCGACGCTTTCACGTTAGGGACGGCACTCACGGGCATCTCCTCTATTTTGTTGCATTCTGGACCAGACGCCCCCAAAACCGCCATACCGCCTCGATCTCCCTCCGCTCTTGTTTCTCCGCGACGACATTCCAAACCAACGGGCCTCCTCTTTCTGTCTTCCATCTCCGCCATTCCAATGTCTTTCTGAAGGTACACCGCCAAAGCCTTTGTCTTGCTTCCACGCCAGATACGCTTAGCATTTCGTACGCTTCCGGACCGGACCTTCACTGCACTCGGATGACCACCAATACTCCGTACCCTTTTGCCGAATCGACCACCAGACGATTTCCCCGTTGCTGTTTCGAGCCAGCTCGCCATACGACCCGACATTTGTCGAGACCGACCGCTTTGTTCCCCGTCGCTCCTGCCCAGCCTAAGACGATTTGTCATATCCGCCGCCGCCCGCTCCTGCCCTTTCACGCTCAACAGCACTTGACGTCGTGACGCCTTTGCACCTGCCGCACGATCACTGCCATCGTCTTCTTGCCCACCTTTTGGCTTCAAACCGGCCGTTTGTTCCCCGAGTGTCCTTGTTGACGTCTCCTGTCGCTACTTCCGTAGCAAGAGTAGGAGCATCCGGGTACGGAGCTCTTGCCTAGGTGACCCAAGGTCTGTATGGCTCCTTTCCTCCAGCGCCGTGCTTTCCTTCTTTGGCCTCGTCATTTTGCATCTTTGTTGTGTAGTTTACTTTCTCCGCTCTGCTTTTGTGTAGCCTCCACAGCCTTGGGTCATTCGTATTCAACGTACTTCACATGCTAACAAGTTTGTGTTTCGTATCTCACAGCCACGCACGTCTCCTCTTCCCACGCTACGGAGGACTAGGAAGACACAATGTCCGGATACCAGAGACCGCCTAGCTTTTCTGATCGGAGGGGCAGTGCTTTTGCCCGGGACGAGCTGGCTCTCAGCACCTCGGCCAACCCTGTCGTCAAGGCCGCCCAGGTTCGGCCACCACGCGGACCGCCGACCCCAAGCATGACCACGCCTGCCGCCGAGTACGACCAGACCATGACCGGGTCGCCGCCGCCGCCTCCCACACCGGCTGCCTCGCCGGGCCCGTCCCATGTGCAGCCGGACTGGAGCGACGCCAATGCGGACGAGGATTTCTTCCACTCCAAGATCCGCCAGCACTTTAAGAGCTGCACGGCCTCCCAGAGGACGCGTCTCTTGGCCGATCTGTTGAACCTTTGCACCAGCCAGCAGCTGAGCTTTGTTCATCAGTTTGTCAGCCCGCTCCTGAAGAAGGACCCGTTCACAAGCTTGCCTGACGAGCTCTGCTTACGAGTACGTGTCCCCCCCCGCCTTCCTCTTTGCCCCTTGTCGTGGCCTGTCCCACTAACACATATTAGATCCTCTCCTTTATTGATGACCCCAAGGTTTTGGCCCGTGCTTCCCAGGTGTCGCGACGCTGGCGTGACTTGCTCAGCGACGACGTGACGTGGAAGAATCTGTGCGTCAAGCACGACTACGACCGTCGCCTCTCCGAGGTCCAGCCGGCAGCGCCGCCCACCCCCGTCCGGGAAGAGACGCCGACGACCTTCCCTCTCAGTGTTTCCGACAGCGACTTCCCGACGCACAACCTGCCGTCCCTGGCCCCGCCCGAGAATGACGTGCCCATGGCCACCTCGCGCAGCCTGGATGGTGCGACACATGGCGGCACATCCAGCAGCGGCAAGAATCGCCCGCGGCTGCGGTCGTACAAGTCCCACTTCAAGCAACGATACCTGGTTGATGCTGCGTGGCGCACCGGGGGCCAGACCATCACCAAGAATATCACTCAGGATGGTGGTCTGGTGACCAGTCTGCATCTCACTCCCAAGTACATCATTGTGGCCCTGGACAATGCGCGCATCCATGTGTTCAACACCGAGGGCGAGGACCAGAAGACGCTGCAAGGCCATGTCATGGGCGTCTGGGCCATGGTGCCTTGGGAGGACACCCTCGTCAGTGGTGGCTGCGACCGCGATGTCCGTGTCTGGAATCTTCTCACAGGGTAAGCCCAGCCACCGTTCTCTCGTCAGACCTGACGCGTCTTCTTTCACTCCCCCTCCCAACGGTTTCTCTGGCTAACACGACTAGGCAATGTGTGCACACGCTCCGCGGCCACACCTCGACGGTTCGCTGCCTAAAGATGTCTGACGAAAACACGGCCATCTCGGGCTCCCGTGACACCATGCTACGCGTATGGGACATCCGCACTGGCCTCTGCAAGAACGTCCTCGTTGGCCACCAAGCTAGCGTGCGCTGCCTCGAAGTAAAGGGGGACATTGTTGTCTCCGGCAGCTACGACACCACTGCCAAGATTTGGAGCATCTCTGAGGGCCGGTGTCTCCACACACTGCAGGGTCACTATAGTCAAATCTACGCCATCGCTTTTGACGGTGTCAAGGTTGCCACGGGCAGCTTGGACACCAGCGTGCGCATCTGGAATGCAACCACGGGCGAGTGCCAGGCGGTGCTCCAAGGCCACACGTCTCTGGTTGGCCAGCTGCAGATGCGCGGTGACACTCTTGTGACTGGTGGTTCTGATGGCTCCGTCCGTGTTTGGTCGCTGTCTCGCTTCTGCCCCATCCATCGCCTGGCCGCACACGACAACAGCGTCACCAGTTTGCAGTTTGACGACACACGCGTTGTGAGCGGCGGCAGCGATGGCCGCGTCAAGGTGTGGGATCTGAAGACTGGCCAAATGGTCCGCGAGCTGATTTCCTATGGTGATGCAGTCTGGCGTGTTGCATTTGAAGACGAGAAGTGTGTGGCTATGGCCCTTCGTGGCGGCCGCACTGTCATGGAGGTCTGGTCGTTCTCTCCACCTGACGACGTCCTCAGCGATCGACCACTCTCCCTGCCGCAGCGGTCCTTGGACCCACCGTCGGACGCGTCGCCGCCGCGGCCTATGAGCGCCTTGGCGATCGACTTCCGGCGGCCCCAGGCCCTGTCGGGCCTCCCGCGGCGAGATACTGCTGGCGACGACGTTGATATGCGAGACGCCGGACCGGCGACAGCGCCGTTACAGCAGGGCAACTCGACGTTCTTCCACGATGCCTAGCGGAGCGATTTTAGGCTGCATCGGGTCCCGTTCTATTGCTGGCATTTGCCATATTCTCCTCGTCCCATTCGAGGACGATGGCTCTATCCTAGGCCGAGGCCGGCCTTTTGACCTTTTTGCTATTATTACACCATTGCAGCAGCACGATGCCATTTTACGGTGTTTAGCACAGCGCTGGTATGTCGTACCGTGACAACACGGAACTTTTCACTCAACGTGCGATGCGCGCTGCGCGTCCCGTATACTTCTTGTTTTCCTGGGTGGCCTGCACACTGCGTCTATTGCCCAACTTATATCCCCTCTTCATTTTCATCTTTTACACAGCAAACCATGGATCTGGGCGTTTTGGCGTGGAGCATTGTTGTCTATCCTATTTTTTGAACTTTTTTTTTTACAATTCGAAGACCGTTGTGTGTCGGAGGCTGCGATGAATGTATTGCCCCCGAGAACTCATCCACCTATGGAGGAAGAGGGAGTCTCCATTCTAGGGGCTTTTGTGCATCGTACCCTCTGATCGTCTTCAATAGCCGGGATCCGAAACTCACTGCTTGCTGCTTTCCGCATGACTATTTGCTTGCTCTCTGATTTTGCTTCTTTTTACTATGGTTACTTTTGGGAGCTGGAAGGGACACAATAAGGGCTTACGATGGCATAGGGAAATGATTGTAGGAGAAGGATTAGAAATTAGGAACGGACAACCATTCTGACATCAATAAATCAAGGCAAGCTTTTACACGTCCAGCGGAATAGTTTGGCGAGGGTGTGGTCCCTGTAGGCTGGCATGTGTCTTGTGCATGTTAAACTGCGCTGTTTTTATCTGTTTCTGCTATCCAGCGGGACGATGGGCAAGTTTTATTTGTCGTCCGCCTGCGGTTCTTTCCCCTTGTCATTTGCGCTCCTGTTTTTCACGATGTGGAAAGCGAAGGCGAAAACCGGGGCGCGCTTGCCGTCGGAGTGATATTGTAGCGAGCAAAGACAGCGAGAGGTGGCTGCGAGATCGCTGCTGCACAATGGGCTTTTGCAGGGCCGTCGCGGCTTCCCTGCGCTGTTAAACCGTTGGGGTTGGCAGGTGCTTCCAGGAGGCCTTTCCTAAAGAGGCTAGTGCCTCAACTCCTGACTACAGCCAGGGCGACAGTTCAGGTCCACCCGCGCGCCGCTGATTGGCCTCCGACAGCTGTTTCTGGGCCTTGTATTGTTGCAATTATTTTTGGTTTAAATTTTATTGCTCGCTTTTCTTCGGACGTGTCCTAGTGGGAAGTCCGGTGTAATTCTGACCCAGCAAAGCTGTCCTACTCCATACGTTTTTTTGATTATTTTTTTTGCTCTGTCCGGATCGTTCCTGCCCCCTTCCTGCGTGTTTTATCTCGCTCACTCTTTCCTTCTCGCCATATCCCGTCCGCCTAGCGCTTGTTTTCTTCTTCCTCCTATCATCAGCCACTCCGAATTGTTAACTTGTATTTCGACAATCTCCTTCGATTCCTCTCGATTGTCTGCGTTTTCTGCAATTGAGCGGCCGTCCCAATTGATTTGTCGAACCCTCCAACTCTTCTCCGCCCTCTCCCCCACACCCCTTTTTCACACCATGTTCTCGCGTGCGGCGTTCCGCGCTGGCCGGGTGGCTGCAGCCAGCGGCGGCCTGCGGACGGCTGCCACGGCGTCGGCAATGCCCCTGCGTGCTGCTTCGGCGATGCCCTCTGCTTTCGCCAAGACGACGTCTGTTGCCGCCCGGAGGACAGTCACGACCGATGCGGCGTCTGCTCACGTCGACAAGAGCGCCGTCCCCCAGTCCGACGACGAGGTGTTTTCCGTCAACCTGAGCGACGAGAGCTTCGAGACCTACGAGCTTGACCCCCCGCCGTACACGCTGGACGTCACCAAGAAGGAGCTGAAGAAGATGTACTACGACATGGTTGTCATCCGCCAGATGGAGATGGCCGCCGACCGCCTGTACAAGGAGAAGAAGATTCGCGGTTTCTGCCATCTGTCCACGGGCCAGGAGGCGGTCGCTGTCGGTATTGAGAACGCCATTACCCGCGAGGACGATGTCATCACGTCGTACCGCTGCCACGGTTTCGCGTACATGCGCGGCAGCAAGGTTCGCCAGGTGATTGGCGAGCTGCTGGGCCGCCAGGGCGGCATCTCGTACGGCCGCGGCGGTTCGATGCACATGTTCGAGAAGGGCTTCTACGGCGGCAACGGTATCGTCGGCGCGCAGGTGCCTGTCGGTGCCGGCCTGGCGTTTGCGCACAAGTACCAGGACAAGAAAAATGTCTCCGTGGTCCTGTACGGTGACGGTGCCAGCAACCAGGGCCAGGTCTTTGAGGCGTTCAACATGGCCAAGCTGTGGAAGCTGCCTGCCCTGTTCGGCTGCGAGAGTGCGTCTCCCCCGCACCCCCCCCCCCCCCCCCCTCCCCCAGTATGATGATGGTGGCCGTCAGAGCCGTTCGTTGCTAACAAACGTTACAGACAACAAGTACGGCATGGGTACCTCCGCCTCGCGCTCGTCGGCGCTGACCGACTACTACAAGCGTGGCCAGTACATCCCTGGCCTCAAGGTCAACGGCATGGACATCCTTGCCGTCAAGGCCGCCGTCCAGTACGGCAAGGAGTGGGCCCAGAACGACAACGGCCCGCTGGTCCTGGAGTACGTCACCTACCGCTACGGTGGTCACTCCATGTCGGACCCCGGCACCACCTACCGCACGCGCGAGGAGATTCAGCGCATGCGCTCGACCAACGACCCCATTGCCGGCCTGAAGCAGAAGATTCTCGACTGGGGCGTCGTCAACGAGGAGGAGCTCAAGGCCATTGACAAGGAGGCCCGCGGCTACGTCAACGAGGAGGTCGCCGCCGCCGAGCAGATGGAGCTGCCCGTTGCCAACCTCGACGTGTTGTTCAACGACATCTACGTCAAGGGCAGCGAGCCCAGCTTCATCCGTGGCCGCACCGCCGACGAGATCCGCTACTTTGATTAAGCCGCTCCAGGGGACGAGGGGATAGACGGGCGGGCGGTTTCTGGGTCTGTAGTTAATATGAAGGAGCGAGGGACGGGACCTGGGCCAGATATATAATCCTGTACACAAGCCACTTGTGCTATTTTCTTGTCACCTCTCCTTGTGGATGGTCTTGTTTCCTTTTTTTTTAACCACCATCTTTGTTGGTGATTTAGTTGCGCCTGTTGTTCCGATTCATGTAAGATTAAACCGCAAAATCACACATATATGGGCTGTCTTTCGAAAACAATCCAGGAGGCGATTCCAACAAGATCATAAAGTGTCGCGACTATCGATATTTCCTCGCCGGAACACGTTGAGCTTTTATCGTTGTTGGGTGCTCGTAGGTTAGTCGTATGTCGTGTTCGGGGCGATAGGCACCGAGACGACGCCCTGAAGAGCGCTACGACTTCGCTGGGCTGTCACGTGGTGTCGCTCAGCCTAGGCGCTGGAGCCTAGCGGGTTTGGCAGGGCAGATTGGCGGATTGGCGACGTCTGAGCCTATTAAACTGGCAAGACGCGATATGGGGAAGCGACGACCCGCGTTTTCCCACAAAACGCGCGTGGCTCTCTATTTTCTGTGCCTCATCTGCCGCACTGCCTCTTGCCCTCTGGTCCCCAAGCAAGTCCAACTCGCATATCTGCCTGGAATTGATCCAAAACACGACGACTTTCAACCGACGACCTTCTGTATTTAAGAACCCCTCAGTTCGTCTTCCGTCTTCATTCCGTTGCACGGCCCAAGAGCCTGCACCCGCGCTTCCAGAGCAATCGTGGCTTCGCGACATTTGGTGCAGCTCGCGCCCGGTGCAATTTCCTCGACTTTCATAAAACCAACGACAACGACAACATCGACGGTGACGATCAGACATAGTAGCAGTATTTGCAGCAGGCGGACACGCTTTACGGTCTTGACCTCGGCCGTATCCAGGACGTCCTTCTGGCCCATTGCTGCTGCTGCCCCGCTACTGCGAGCCCGAACATCTCCCCTCTCCCTCCCTTATTCGCTGCCTCGTACCATGGCTCCCAACAAGCAGGCCACTCTCGGGTATGTCAAGCCGACGCAGACCACGCTGGGGCACGTTCTTTTCCTTCTCTCAAGGGTCCTGGCGGCATATTTGACAAGAATGTTCCAGGCTAACCATATGATATAGGAAGTTCTTTGGAGCACCGGGCAACGCGCCGCAACAGCAGTCCAAGCTGTCCTTTGCGACAAAGGCGGCGACCAGCAATGGCGACGGAAGCAGCTCGTCAAAGGAGAACGTGACGCCTGAGAAGGGTGTGTATATATGCGTCTATATGGGTGTGGAGGGTGGAGACAAGTCTTGACGTATGTGCTAACTGTTTCAGACAAGAAGAAGCGCCTGTCAGACGACGACGAAGCTGGGCCCAAGGACGAGTCAGACGCCGAAAGCATCGGACAGCCAGCCGCCAAGAGGGCGCGTAAGAACCGCCGCGTTGTGGAAGAGGACGAAGAGGACGAAGAGGACGACGTCGCGCCAATAATCAAAAAGGAGAAGGTTGTGACGCCGAAAAAGGACAAGCATGCCGCCATGACCGATGCGGCTCCGAACGCTACAAAGTCAAGATCACCACCACCGGCTGCCAAGCCCAAGGCTACGGCCGCTGCTGTCAAGAAGGAGGCCATGGACGACGATGACGAGGAGAAGGCGGCATCTTCGGTGTCTGAGGAGTCCAGTTCCGACGTTGACGAGGAGGACGAGGAGGACGTAAAACCCGAAGTCGCCGCCAAGGTGCGCAAGACGATCCAGACTGTGCTGTCTACACCCAAAACAGATGCCTTTCCCGACTGGAAGGCCGGCGAGCCCGTGCCCTACGAGGCGCTGTGCCGCACCTTTTCGCTCATTGAGCTCACGACCAAGCGCCTCATCATCATGGAGTACTGCTCGCTGTTCTTGCGCCAGGTGCTGCGCCTCACGCCCGGTGACATGCTGCCCACTGTGCTGCTCATGATCAACAAGCTGGCGCCCGACTACTCGGGCATCGAGCTCGGCATCGGCGAGTCGCTCATCATGAAGGCCATTGGCGAGTCCACCGGTCGTAGCTTGGCCGTCATCAAGCAGGACCAAAAGGAGATTGGCGACCTGGGCCTGGTCGCGGTCAAGTCGCGGTCGACGCAGCCGACCATGTTCAAGCCCAAACCGCTGACCATCCAGGGCGTGCACAAGGGCCTGATGGGCATTGCCACGGTTTCCGGCAACGGTGCCCAGCAGCGCAAGGTGGACGGCATCAAGAAGCTGCTCTCGGCCGCCGATGCACGGAGCCAGGGCCGCGTCGACATCACCAAGGACAAGGGCGGGCCGAGCGAGGCCAAGTACCTGGTGCGCTTCCTCGAGGGCAAGCTGCGCCTGGGCCTGGCGGAGCGCACGGTGCTGGTGTCCCTAGCCCAGGCCGTCATCCACCACGAGGCGCAGGTCGCGGGCAAGACGGCGTCGCCGTCGGACGTCGAAAAGGCGGAGGCCATGCTGAAGTCGGTGTACAGCGAGCTGCCGAGCTACGATATTATTGTACCGGCGATGCTGGAGCACGGAATCATGCACCTCAAGGAGAACTGCAAGCTGCGGCCCGGCATCCCGCTCAAGCCCATGCTGGCAAAGCCGACCAAGGCCATTACGGAGGTGCTCGACCGCTTCGAGGACCAGACATTTACGTGCGAGTACAAGTACGACGGCGAGCGCGCGCAGATCCACTACGTGGCCAAGGAGGGCTCTTCGTCGTCCGCGGCGGCGTTGCCCACGACGGCCACGACGACGGCCAACGCGGCGCAAGGCCTGACGGCCATCTTCTCGCGCAATTCGGAGGACCTGTCGAAAAAGTACCCGGACATTCTGGCCAAGCTGCACACGTGGGTCAAACCCGAGACCAAGAGCTTTGTGCTGGACTGCGAGACGGTCGCGTGGGACGTGGAGGAGCGCAAGGTGCTGCCGTTCCAGCAGCTGATGACGCGCAAGCGCAAGGACGTCAAGATCGAGGACGTCAAGGTCAAGGTGTGCGTGTTTGCGTTTGACCTGCTGTACCTCAACGGGGCGGCCATTGTGGAGCAGCCGCTGCGGGCGCGCCGGGCGCAGCTGGTGGAGGCGTTTTTCCCCGTCGAGGGCGAATTTGCGTTTGCGACGCACATGGACGGCCAGGAGCTGGATGCGATCCAGACGTTCCTGGACGAGAGCATGAAGGCGTCGTGCGAGGGCCTGATGGTCAAGATGCTGGACGGCGCCGAGAGCGGGTACGAGCCCAGCAAGCGGTCGCGCAACTGGCTCAAGATCAAAAAGGACTACCTGTCGGGCGTCGGCGACTCCCTGGACCTCGTGGTGCTGGGCGCGTACTACGGCAAAGGCAAGCGCACGTCGGTGTACGGCGCCTTTTTGCTGGCATGCCACAACCCCAGCAACGACACATACGAGACGGTGTGCAACATTGGCACGGGCTTCAGCGAGGCGGTGCTCGAAGAGCTGCACACGCAGCTGAGCGCGATTGTGATTGACCGGCCGAAGCCGTTCTACGCGCACAGCACGGGCGGGCAGCACCAGCCGGACGTGTGGTTCGAGCCGCGGTACGTGTGGGAGGTGAAGACGGCGGACCTGACGCTGAGCCCGCGGTACAAGGCGGGCAGCCACGAGGGCGTGGACAGCTCGGGCGAGCGGCGCGGCATCAGCTTGCGGTTCCCACGCTTCATCCGGATCCGCGACGACAAGAAGCCGTCGGAGGCGACGTCGTCGCGGCAAGTCGCGGAAATGTACCGCAAGCAAGAGAGCGTGGCCAAGAGCAAGGGCCCGGCGGTCGACGACGACTTTGAATACTAGGGACGGTGTGTACAGCTACTGGGATTCGTTTGCGAGTTGCATGCGCTTTTGGTCTGTTGTCTGATGTATTTGGCATTGTGCCTCTTTACGTACGTTTATATGCATGGCGCTTTGTTTTGACTGTTTTGACGCATTTTGTGTTTTGTATTTATTCTACCATGTACGGCATGCGGCTGTTTTCTATCCAATCGAGGCCAACCTCTCTGCTGCTCTATAAGATCGACTCTTGTTCTGGTCCAGGACTTAACGGGTCGTCGAGCATATCACCATCCTCGCGCAGGTGGCCCGACGCGCCAGCGACAGCACCAGCGTTTGCCATGCCGCCCGCTCCAGCGCCGGCGCCACCACCACCAGCGCCGCTGTTCCCTCTGCTCTCCCCGCCATTCCGCCCCAGCGATGCACTCCCGCGCAGGTCGTCGTCTTCGCCGCTCCGGCGCGACTCCTCGGCGCCGTTGAGCACATACCACACGTCCTTCTTGGTCAGCAGCCCCTGGAGGACGCCGCGGTCGCTGAACAGCACGTAGCGCAGACCCAGTTTCTGGAAATAGTTGACCACCAAATGCAAGCGCGAGCGCGAGGGCAGTGTCAGGGGCGTCTGGTCCATCCAGGGCCGCAGGTCGAGCGTGGTGCGCGGGTCGGCGAGCGGCTGGTGGGCGAAAAAAGCCTCGGTCTCGTCGGGCGGGAGAGAGCGCGGCGGCTGGACGGCGGCTTGCAGGGTGTAGTCGAGCTCGGCGCGCGAGATGTAGCCCAGCAAGATGGCGTCGCGCGGGTCGGAGACGATGGGGAAGCCGCGGTACGGATGGGTGTCGAGGATGCGGCGCAGACTGGCGACGGTGTGGCCGGTGGCGGTGAGCACGACCAGATCCTCGATGCGGGTCATGACCTGGGCAGCGGGCACGTCGGGGAGCTGGAACTGCATGTCCTCGCTGTTGTCGAGGAACGGGTACTCGTTGAAATGGATCCAGGCCTCGTAGATGCCGCGGCGCGAAAAGGCGTCGCCAACCCACTTGGAGAGCATGACGGCGACCATGATGGGCAGCACGTAGCTGAGCGCGCCCGTCAGCTCAAAGACGATGACGACAATGGACACGGTGACACGCGTGACGCCCGTCAGCGCAGCGGCCGCGCCGACAATGGCGTAGGTGCCCGGCGTGACGCACGACAGGTCCTGCTCGCACGACTGGAAGATGAACAGGTCGGGGTGGCTCGTCTGCCAGATCTCCATGACGATGCCGACAGCACGGCCCGTGAGGGCGCCAATAGCCATGGAGGGCAGGATGATGCCGGCCGGCAGCTGCAGGCCGAACGTAATGGCGGCCAGGAAGAACCCGAGCACGGCGGCAAAGAGCAGCAGCACAATGGTGGCGGCGGTGGCGGCGCCGGTCTTGCAGAGGCCGAAGACGTCGTCGAGCTGCGGCGAGCATTCGGCAAAGATGTTGGACACGAGCTCGGACAGCTGGGCGCGCATATAGAGGTTGGGGTAGTTGACCACGGCGGTCAGCAGGGCGACAAGGGCCACCTGGACGACGGGGCCGGGCAGCCAGCCGGCGCTGGCCTTTTTCCAGCGGGCAATCCACATGTTGGCCTTGATGAAGAGGCCGCCGTAGACGCCGCCGAGGATGCCGAGCAAGGCAAAGGGCACGATTTCAAAGGCATGCCAGCCGGTGGAGTACTTGACCTGATACAGCACGAGCTTTCCCGACCGGAAGGGGTCGAGGGCCTGCAGCACAAAGGCGGCGGTCATGGCACACACGAAGCTCTGCCACATGGTCTTGTCGGGGAAGTAATAGGAGAGGGTCTCGAGGCTGAAGAGCACGCCGCCAATGGGGGAGCCAAAGGCGACGGAGATGCCCGAGGCCGAGGCGGCCGAGAGGACTTCTCTACGGCGGGCTAAACGAGTTAGTAAACGACACAGAAAGACAGTCAAATAAAGCAACGGCAAGACGACAAGACGGCATGACAGGTTACCCACCCTCGTTGTTGTTGATGCTGGGAAACAGCTTGATAAAGAGATTTGCGCAGCAACAGGCGACATGCACGAGCGGACCCTCCTTGCCGAGCCACATGCCGGACGCCACGGCGAGACACAGGCCCAGCGACTTGGTCACAAGCGTCCAGCCGCCGAGAAAGCGGCGGATGACAAAACCACCCAGCATCGTCTTGATTTCAGGGATGCCACTGTGCTTGGCATAGATGGCGTACTCTTTGACGAGAAACGCGGCGCAGACGGCGCAGGTCACCGACAGCACGACAAAGAACAGGTACTCGAGGAACCACTTGCCGACGGCCGACGACGCCGACAGACCCACGGCGGCCGCCCAGGGCCGCCAGCCGTCGCACTTGGCGCCCTCGTCGTAGCCCATGCAGCAGAAGCCGTGGTTCAGGTAGAACGCGCCGCCGTCGGTGCCGCCCGACGCGCAGTAGCCCGTCTTGATGTCGCCCAGCCAGTCGGACGCCACGTCGATGCCGGCCGCCAGCGTGCCGGCCGCCAGGCCCGTCAGCACGAGCACGACCCAGATCTGGCCGTCGTCCAGCAGGCGGCGCACGAGGCCCAACAGACCGCTCGTGCCGGAGACCATCGCCCGCTGGCGCTGGCGTTCCTTGTTGTGCTCAAAGATCCAGTCAATGGCCGTCAGGTCTTCGTAGCCGACGCGGCGGCCGAGCCCCTCCGAGTACCAGTCGACGACGTGCGGCAGGCCGGCGCTGTTCTTGCCGTTGCTGCTGCTGACATAATTGACGTTGACATTGCTTGGCCCGCCGTCGGCGCCGCCGAACGTGCCCTGGGTCTCAAACGCCTCGTCGTTGCCCGCGCTGCCGAGGCCAATGGGCCCGTCTCGTTGGTGTCCATAGAGCGCGTGGGCCGCATGTGTGTGTGGCGAGGAGGCCGTGCCCATGCCGAACGTCGAGAGAAGCGACCGCGCCGACTGGGGCAGAAAGTTTGTCTGCTTCTGCCGCCGCTTGAACGACACGGGCCCGCCGAGCTCGGCCGCAGAAATTGTGTGCTCGTCGATGCCGTCGACGCTGTAGTCGTCATCGTTGCCAGCGTTGTTGTGCGCGTCGTGGGCGCTGCCATGAGAGTCGTCGTCGTCACCGCCGCTGTACGGCCCGCTGGGCTGGCTGACGCTGTCACCGCCGAGCAGGTCGACGCTGCCGCTGTTTTGGCGCGGCGCGGCTCGCGCTCCTGCATCACTGCCCCCACTGCCGCCGCCGCTGCCGCTCCTCCCTGCTGCTGGTATTAATGGGTTCATGGTGAGCAGCAGGAAGCGCCGTCATCGCACAGCTCCAACGGCTGTGCGAGAGGCCGAGACGCGAGAAAAGGCGCAGAAATGAGCGGGTGCAACGATGTTGACGTATCGAGATGGTAGACGGTCGGCTGGAAACAAGTGCGGTCGCAAAAACAGTCGCCAAGAGGCCGTGTCGAGGTGCTGTGGACTGTATCGCGAACGAGGGTCGTCGCAAGCTTCAAGCTGAGCTGTATGGAGGCTAGGGTCAGGAGGCTGTGGCCTTGCCCATATTACGTCGCAGGTGTTAAAGTGGGTCCAAACGTGCGCACCCCGATTTGGACATGTATTAGTCAGCCTGCATGTTATGCAAATAGGCACACGTCAACGACGGACTTACAGCCTTGCATCATGGCACCAAAAAACACTTGACTTTGTCCCGAATCCAACAGCAAGGACGTATCTCAGGCAGTTTTATTTCAGCATCGCCGTAGAAAGAGCGGCGCCATGGCCGTTGCTGCACCCAACGCGACCCCATTGACGTGACAGGCAATGGCTTCTTCCGGCGACGACGCTGCTGCATCCGATGCGGCGATGCCACTTGTTGAGCCTCAAGACAGCGCTCAGCAGACAGGCCAGGCCGACCAGGCACGACAAGCCCAGAAAACACAGACACCGCCGCCTGGCCCACAGGAAGCAGCCATCGCCAAGGTCGAGCAGCTTCTGGGGGTCAAGGACGACACCTCGCGCTTTGTCGCCCTGGCGCTGCTCAAAGCTCTCCTCGACGACCAGGTGCGAGAAGCCGGGAGAGATGGACAAGCGGGCGAAATCTGCTCGCCACGGCTCTTGAAGCTGTGGGACGCCATCCCTGTCAAGTTTCTCGACAAGCTGTTGCGCGCGGACCTCGATGCGCACTCGACGCCAACAGTACCTCGGCCCGGAAAAGGCGGTGCCGACGCTGCGCATATGCGTGATCTGGCCGTGGCCGTGCTGCACACGTTTGCCGTTCGAATTCTGCCCGACGACCGGCGTGGAGACCGACGGCTTGTCGGCCGTATCCCGCTGCTTGTGGCGTCGCTGCTCAATACGCCATCTTCAAGCGCGCCTCCGTCTGGCGCAAATGCCGGCGCAGAGTCGGCCGCCACGCTCATCCTGCAGTCCCTTGCGACACTTGTCAGCCGCCCTGAGGGTGCGGCCGTCTTCAACACGAGCGTCACCGACCTCAGCCCGCTGACCGAGCTGGCGCCCGAGCAGCCCTTGGTGCTGGAAATTCTGCTTCGCGCCTGGCTGCATGGCTTGCTGGCGGCAACCCACTCGGACGCCACGGCCGACGTCGACGCAATCACAAGCACCATCAACACGACGCTGCCCGCACTCGCCGCCGCCTTCAAAGGCACCGACGGGGTGACGCTGCTGGACTTTTTGGCCCGCTTGCTGCGCAATGCTGAAGCGTTTGCCGAGCAGCAGCAGCAGCAAAGACTTCTTCCCGCAGCAAGCACAGCCTGGGTTGCACCCACCATCGGATTCATTCGCCGCCTGGCTGCCAGCCGACCCACGGCTGCGTCTCGAGCGGCGTACACGCATGCATCCGCTGCCCTGTTACGCGCTTACCCTGCTGTGGCCTCCACCCTCTTGTTTGGCGAGGGTGAAGCCACGGAGAAGGCCGGCGGCAAGGCCTCGTTGCGCGAAGACAAACCCTTTGCCTACCTTCTCGTCAGCATGCTCCTCGTCGACCTGCGCGCCACCCTCCCGAGCCTCCTCGCCCAGCTCAACAACCAAGACTACTACCCGGCCAATGCGTCCCGCCTGGCGTCCGCCCTTGACATTCTCTCCGCCTTCATCGGTTACCTCGTGCGCAGTCTGGACGGCGACGGCGAGGAGCAGGACGAACTGCTCACCATGTCCCTGACGCCGGACAACCTGCTGCGCCTGCGCAAGTCCATGTCTGAAACGCTGTCGGTCACTGCCGAGCACCTGCGCGACCGCTGGGACGCTGCCGTCGCCGGTGCCCAAGGGCTGCACCCGGACGCGCGCACCGGGACGGACGACACGCGCACGCATTCACTGGACACGGCGGGCCTGCCGCTGGCCTGGGACGCCGCCGCGTCCGAGACGACTGTCCACCGCGACCCGCTGGTGCTGGCGGCCGTGCGCGCGCTGGCGCTCTGGCTGCGCGAGGACGACAATGACGTGCTGCGGCGCGAGGCGGCGGGCCTGACGGACATGTTTCTTGACCTGTACAGCAGCAGCGGGTCAGCGGACGCCGGCAGCCTCGATTTCCGCCGACCGGTGCTTGTCGCCTTTGAGGGCATCTCGGCCTCGACTCCCGACGGCGGCCGTGGCGGAGACGCCGCGCGTGACGACGATGCATACGAGAGGGATGCGACGGCGCTCTTTCTCGAGCATGGCGCCTGGAAAATTCTCACGGCAGATTTGGTGACCATTCTGCAGGGTCCTGCGTCTGCCGCCGACGCAGCGCGCGGCATCGAGATTGTCCGTGTCCTGCTGCCCATTGTCGAAGACGAGCGCCCGGGCACCCAAGAGGCGTGGATGGACGTTGTCACTCTTGTCGCTGCGTGGGCCGGGCCGAGCGACGATGACGACGACGACAACGACGACGGCCAGCCTTCCCATGCCGATACCGCGGTTGCTGCCACCGTGGCCGAGTGCCGCGTGGCCGTTCTCCAGCTGGTCACCGCCCTCGTCGCCAACGCACATCCGTCGGTGCGCCGCCGCTACACACACTCCATCCGTGCCGTCATTGGGCTGGCCAACCAGCTGCGACCGACTCTGGCACCGTCGCGAATCGGGTCCTCGCTGAGCACAAGTTTAGTCGAGGCGCTTGACGATGTGCATGCCACACTTGAGCAGTGATGATCGAACGGTCGAGAATATGCTTTAACCATCATGTATGAAATTCATGTAAAATATAGTACCATAGAGGACTCATGCTATGCACAAAAAAAATATGTGGCCGTACGGCAACTATGATGACCGGTAGCAGGGACGCCAAACAAAATCTGAACAGAAAAACAGATGCCCGAGGATATAAAAAAATACAAGGAGAAAATGAGAAATCAGAAAGGAAAAGGCCAATCCAAAATGTACAAAATCACAGAACGATCCAAGAAAACAAATGCAAAATAACTTTTTAAGATTGTCGCCATTTATGCATCCTGCATCAGCTCGACCGGTGGCCGGGCGGTATGGGCCATGAGAGGCTTCTGGACGGCCAGGGGTGCGGCCGACGACTGCCACGTGGCGCTGTTGAGCTCCTCGTCCGTGCTGGCGTCGGTCATGTCCTCGACGGCAATCGCGGGTAGGTCCGAGTGCGTGCTGTGCTCGGCCGGCTGGTAGATGACGAGCGTGGAGCTGCGGCTGCGGCTGCGGCCATTGCGTTTTGCGGCATGGGTCGGGCTGGCGCCGGATTCGCTTGCCGGGGACTGCATGGCCAGGTCCTCGTGCATCTTGGCGTCGCCCTCGCCGGGATGCTCGCCGGGCAGCTCGTCGGCGGCCTGGTGGTGCAGCTTGGCCAGCGCGTCCGCCAGGTCCTCGGCGTGCACCTGCCTGTTGGGTGCCCCCTCGAGGCGCATCTCCCAGTCGTGCGGCGGGCTCGGGGGCGGGCTGATAAAGAAGAGCTTGCCGGCGTCGGGCAGGGCCAGGTGGCCGGCCGCAGTGGCATCGCCCAGCGGCGTGGCCCGGCCGTAGTACACCTGGCACGCGGCGCCCATAATCCGCTCGCCTTCCCAGACGGCGCGTACGCGGGCGGCGTCCTCGGCCGAGTAAAACGAGGCCACAATGCGGCGGAACGACTTGAGGGGCGCCCAGGAGTGGATCGCGGCCGACTGGCTCACGAGATCACGGATGGTCGCGAGGTTGTCCGGGCGGAAGATGTCGGCATGCACGAGGTTGGTGAACAAAAGAGTGTTTGTGGGGAGCGGCGCGGGCGCGGCGGTGGTGGAGGTCTGTGGGGGTGCGATGCCAGAGAGGTCGAGCGTCAGGTTGGAGGAGCGTCTCGAGCGCAGAGACGAAGACGAGGCGCCGGACGGCGCGGAGGAAGAGAGTGAAGACGAGGAAGACGAGCGCGAGAGGTTGTGGCCAGCGGCCAGCGTTGGTGCTTGAGCGTCCATTTTGTGTCAAGTTGGAGCTGTGGTGGTGATAGTTGAGAGGGTGTGGTCGACAACGAAGAGGGCTTGCTGCAGGAGAGTAGATAATGCAGGGAAGGATGCAGAGATGTCGATCCGGGGTGACAGGAGGTTATATACCGGAAACGTGAGGGGAGGATGAGGAGGAGAGTGTGAGGCGTAGGAGGTAATTACGTATTCGCACTCAGTATGGCAAAAGTAGTACGGAGCCTCGGTGGACCGCTAGAGGTTGAGAGTCAAGATGTAAAGGAAGGGGCAGGGCGGGCGGCAGTGGATCGATCAGGAAGGACAGACCGACACAAAGGACCAGAGGCCCGGTGGGGGCGAATTGGGAAGGAGGCGAGCAGTGTTTTTCCCCTGGCCAGACCGCAAGAGGCAAGTGCCTAGGGCTTATCAACGCTGCGGCGCCAGAAGGCGCTAACGAGGTTCGTTGCGATAGCAGCCCACCGTATTACGCCAGTGGCTGTTTCCGTTTTGCCTGTACGATGTACGACCGCCATACTCCGTGGAACCTGCTCTTAGCTGATCTAGCCAATGAGTGGGTCCGCGACGCCCAGCCAAAGGAGGCTGAGCCTCGCTGGCATTCATTTTGCCCGCCAGAAGGGAAAAGAAGGCAAGGAAGGCTGCCGCAGTTTCCGCTGGAGCGGGCTCCGCGGGCGCTGAAACAATAGCTCACCAAGCCGCTGTCAACGGGCCAGAGAGGCCCAGTAGGCCAAGGAAAGGACCTTCAGACCAAGGTCGCGCCGAGAGGGAGAGGCAGCCACCGAATGATCTGCCATGTGGTTTCGGAGCATTGCGACGTTTTATTTTGTCTCTTCGTGTCATTTGACATTTTTCGGTCGTGTTCCACGCGGCATGAGCATTCACTGCATCTCATTGTTATTGGACGGCTGTGACTGATCGTCTCGGATGTTTTCTCTTCCTGTTGACCTCATTCTTTGTCGGTCTGCTCTTTTCTCTGTTTCAGGATTTTGGTCATTCTCCCCAGCTGCGCCTACGTTTTGGTCATTCCCCACGTCACAGGTAAACGTTCGACTCATCACGTTGGACTTTCGTTGTATTACACATGGCCGTGATGCCCGTGCCCAAGGCTGTCTCGGCCCTGTGTTGCACTTGCCTATCCTAGGCAGTAATAAAAGGCGTCCCAAGTTTCCCCCGTTCAGGCAGTTTGCGGCGCAAGAACAACTGTAAGATAAGACTTGCGGCAGGCGCGATGGGCGTTGGGATTCACACACGGCAGAACGAGTCTTGGTCGCCATAGCGCCGCTACAGCGCCCTGCCCAGCCTGAACGCAAGTAATCTTACCATATTAGCGCGCTTGGGCGCTATTCGGTCTCGACGACACAGCCTGCCATGGACAGCGCAGGCACTGCTGAATCCAGCAAGGCGGCCTCTCGGCTGCCCAATCAGGCCAGCCGCTCAGCCTCCCACGCCGCCTGTTTCGCTGGGTCGTCTATGAAATTACGTCGTTGAGGCGTCGCCAGTAACTTACAACCACGACATACCACAGACCATGCTTTCGGGACTGATTTCTAGGATATGGCAATGATATGCTTGTTTACGAAACACGATGAACGAATTAAGGATGACGGAGTACGGCCTCCTTGCTACCACCAGAGAACGAGGCTTGGCTAAGATTGCAAATTACACGATTGCCATGCTGCCTTGTCTGTATGCCTCTGCTCTGTCAGCTGTGTTGTCGAGGTTGCCGTGGCATTGTTGCTGAATGGCCTGTGCATTTGACTAATAGGATCGATCTCCTTGTCGTTCTGTGGCTGGGCCGACTCGAGATGACAACGCCTCATAGTACGAGATGCGCTATCAAATGCAAACAAAAGTCGTCTACGAAATACTTCGTACGGTCATGGACGGCGATAACCAACCGCCCGGAACATGTGGCGCCGTTGTAAAGAGCGTTTGTCTACATCAGAGCCATTCATGTCGACAGTTGCTCAAGACAAAGATGCACTGCCTCATCTGATCATAGCTGTCGGGCAAAACGCAACACCACGCTACGCCTCGCATAATACCTCACATATGTGGAGAAAGGTCCAACTGCCGGCCCAAGAACAGCGGCGTGTGTCTTTGACAAGACAGTCCTGACTTACACTGGCTCTGTCCACTTTGTCTCAGTCGTCCTCCGTATTGCCTGTATGGTGATGTAAATTGCTGCAGTAAATGGAGAGACGCTTTTTCCCGTTTTGTTTGCCCTCTTCCACATGCTTTTATCGTATCTTACAATGGCTATCGAATACAGCCAGGAGCCAGGCAAGGAAACTACCGGATCTCCACGCCCAGCCGCTGCACCAGCGCGTCCGTCACCTCGTCGTGCAGTCGGTTCGTCTCGGCGTTCGTCAGCGTCCGCTCCAGACTGCGGTAGCTGATCCGGTAGCACAGGCTCTGCTTCTTCGTCTTGGGGTGCGTAAAGTCGTCAATGAGCTTCACGTCCTCGACCACGTCGCCCGCCACGCTGCGGATCACCTCCATGACGTCGTTGCTGTGCAGGCCGGGGCTGCCCGCGCCGGCGTCGGCGGCATCTGCCTCTGCCACCCAAAAGGACACGTCCTTGTAGCATTCCGGGTACTTGGAGAACGGCACAAACTGCCGCAGCCGGTCGAGGTCCGCCGACACGCCGCGGAACTGGCTCAGGAACCGCTCGTCTTGGGACCAGAAGAGCCGAATGTCGGTGATCTGGAACAGCAGCATGGCAATGCGGTCGAGGCCGATGCCAAACGCCCATGCCATTTGCGAGGGCACACCCGCCGCGTCCAGGATCGAGTGCTTCGATATGCCGCACCCCAGCACCTCGAGCCAGTCGCCCTCGTAGTACACCTCCAGCTCCCACGACGGGCTGGTAAAGGGAAAATACGCCTCGACCCAGCGCATCCGCAGCGGCTCGTCCTCCCTTGCGGGTGTCGCGCTCTCCGATGCCGATGCCGATGCCGCATGCGACGTCTCGCTCCGCGCCGCCACCGCTGCCTTCTTGGCCCGCGTAAACACCTCCACCACCATCAGCTCCAGCGACCGCTTCAAATGCCGTCCCAGCGCCTCCACCTCGCTGGGTGAATGCTGCGCCTGGCGCGGGTTCCGCTCGTCGTGGAACGGCGGGCCCGGGTCCTCCACGGCAATCCCGTGCCGTGGCAGCGTTTCCAGGTCCGCCAGAATGGCTGCCGTCAGATCGCCGTTTTTGTCCGCGTCTGTGCGCCGGTCCCACACCCGCGCGCCCTCCATCTGGTGGAACACGGGGTAGTGCGTGCGGTCGACCTCGTCACGCCGGTACACGTCGGCACTGAGCAAGAATCCGGGGCTCGCATTGGCCCGGAACGTCTCGAGCTCGTGCGCGCTTGTATGTGTGCGCAGCAGCGTGTCCTCGTTGATGTAATACGTGTCGGAGCGGGCACGGCCGGGGTGGTCGGCTGGGAACCCGAGTGAGTCGAAGTTTTGAAACGTCGACACAACGGGGTGCAGCGAGTTGACGTAGCGGAAGGTCGGTGCTGGGAAACGAGACTCGATAATCTGCCGCGTAATGGCAACCGGGTGGTCTTCTTGCAGGTGGAGCCGGCGGGAGGCGGCCGCGACGACGTTGGCCGGCGTGTTGAACCACTTGTCAGTGTTGTATTTGTGGCCATCGATCTCGACCAAGGGTGGGGGTGCCGGCGAGGAAGAAGAGGAGGTGACCGAGGAGGACGAGGAGGACGAGGAGGACGAGGACGAGAAACGGAGTACTGTGGTGCTGACGAGGTGCGCCGATGGTGAACGGAGAAAGCACTGGCGAGTCAAGACCGGGGCAGTCGACAGGCCCCGTGCCGCTGCCAAGGCCATAGACCGAGGCATTCGTATTGCTGCGGCTGTCATTGTGTAGGGCAAAGAGGGTGCAGAAATAGTCAAACAGACACGGCCTCTCTACGTCGGCCGTTCCTGCACGCAATTCGAGACCTGTCGTGCAAATCCGAAAATGCGGGACCAACCGTCGTTCCTTCCCAAGCTCACTGGCCAATGGCAGGGTCGATTTGACGAATTCGAGGAGTGCGAACTAGCGCTGCAGACAGTGTAATGCACTGTGTTCGCTACCTGTCGTCCCGTAAGAGCCTTGCTCTCTCTCCGCTGGCGGAGCTGTCGGGGAGAGATGTGCCAGACCGGCAGCGACAAAGAAGCACTGCCGGGAAGACCCCCGAATGGACCTACTTACCAGCTCTTCAGGGACATACATACTGTAACCGCCGACTTGCATACTGTGCTTTGGAAGTAGCCGACCTAACAGAAAACTATCGGAAGCAGCGAATCGCGAAGGCTTTAAAAAAAAAAAGGCGATTGAACCCCCAAAATGCACTATGACGCTGTCATCGTTACTTTTTTTCCCCCTCGCCTTTCTCCAAAAGTGCCTCTTTCTCGTCGCATATCCTCGGCTTCATCGATAACAACCAAGGAAATAAATCGTCAAGGAACAAAGCAAACTGGGCCAATCTACTACGGAGGAAAGCTTCTTGACCAATTTGACGTACTTTCCCTCTTTCCGTTTCATTTCACTATTTCGATTCCCGGGGAAAGGCTCCTTCCTCCTGTCGAAGTTGCTCATCCTGCTCACCTCATTCCTTCCTTCCCTCTTTCCCTGGACCTTGCACCTTCCCTTATCGTACCTTCCGCCGCACCGGAGCAATCGAAGCGAGTTTAACTCCCTTCAGACTTCCCTCTCTATTTTCTATTTATTTGGGTCTCGCCTTTCATTCCTCCATCCACTGCACATCGTCTCGGCCGGCGTCCGCATCTTCGCATACAGGCTTCGGCATCACCTCCGCATTGTTTCTTTCTTGGTCTCTTGGTGTCTCCTGGTATCTGTTGGGCTCTGTCTCTGTTCTTCTTCAACGGACCAGTGCCTGCATAAACTTGACGATCCGCTGCCAATCACCTCATTGCCTTGTTTCCAATCTCCTTTTTTTTTCGTACTCTGCTTTCTTTCGCCTGACACCACTCGGCCTTGTTCTGTCATCGCCGTCCCATCCTCCTGTTTTCTGTGCCTCGACGTGTCTGTGGCTCACCCGTTCCTCTTAAGCAGCTGGACTTGAAAGCGCGGCTGGCGAGTGTCGATCTGTGAGCAAATGATTTGCTTGTGAAAGCTACACCGCCCGCGGTCGATATATGTCATCAAAAACCAGCTAGTAATTAGATGGCATAACGAAACACACCACACGCACCGCCCACTGCATATAACCCCGTCCACCATGGCGTCACACAAAACCAGCGCACCGGCTACTCCGGCCGTCAAGTCCGCTCCCTCCGTCGTATCGGCGACGGCCACCTCAAAAAAGCCGGCATCCAAGTCGATACACTACCCCTTCTGGTTCGGCGGCAGCGCCAGCAGTCTGGCCGCCTGCGTCACGCATCCCATGGACCTCGTCAAGGTCCGCCTGCAGATGCGCCACGGCGACATGCCGCGCACAATGAGCGGCACCTTTGCCCACATTGTCCGCACGGAGGGCATCCGCGGCCTGTACAGTGGCCTGTCCGCTTCGCTGCTGCGGCAGCTGACCTACTCGACCACCCGTTTCGGTCTGTACGAGGCCATCAAGGGCCGCCTGGAAGAGTACGCCGCCGGCAAGCCAGACGCCGGCCGCAAGAAAAAGAAGGCCCAGGTCTCGTTTGGCGCGCTCGTCGTCGCTGCGTCTGTGGCCGGCATGGCCGGTGGCTTTGCCGGCAACGCCGCCGACGTGCTCAACGTACGCATGCAGCACGACGCGGCCCTGCCTGTCGAGAAGCGCCGCGGCTACCGCAACGCGGTGCATGGCCTGGTGCGCCTGGCGCGTGAGGAGGGCCTGGCCAAGGGCTGGTTTCGTGGCGTGTGGCCGAACAGCATCCGCGCAGCGGCCATGACGGCGTCGCAGCTGGCCTCGTATGACAGTGCCAAGCGCGTGCTGCTGGCGACGACGCCGCTCACCGACTCACTGGCAGCGCACCTGATTGCGTCCTTCTTGGCCGGTGTGGCCGCGGCGACAGTGACGAGCCCGATCGACGTGATCAAGACGAGAGTCATGTCGTCGCACGGCGCCAAGCTGACGACGGTGCTGGGCGAGTTGTACGCGACCGAGGGCCTGCGGTGGATGTTCAAGGGCTGGGTGCCGAGCTTCATCCGTCTAGGACCGTGAGTATTATCCTGCCTCTTTGGCAATGTGCCATTTCTGAGTGTTCCATTTTCAATTCGTGTCTCCTTGCTAACGAGCCAGACACACCATCTTTACATTTGTCTTCTTGGAAGCCCACCGCAAGCTGTACCGAAAGATGAAGAGCTTGCCGGACCCGCAATAGAAACGGCCTTGCTCGTTTTCTCGCACATTTTCTGTTTGCATATTGTCTTTTTCTTGGTTATATTACGCATTCATGACTGGGCGTTTGGGTTTTTTTTGTTTTTGTTTTACATCTAAAACACTAGAAAGACGGACATTTTGGTTTTCTGTTCGTGCTTGTTTCCCCCCCTGCTTATTTCTGCACTTCTTTCATCCCCTTCTTGTCTTATTTCCTTGTGCATTTTGGATAGACAAGACATAGACGGGCGTTGTTACCCCGATAGAACGGCTTTTCCGCCTGCATGTGGACTTGGCGTTTGTTTTCAACTATTGGTTGTTGCACCTTTCGTGCAGCCATCAGCCTTGCATATTTTGGGGTAAGGAATTAATTATGTGTTATATTGGAGATATGATCTCCTTTTCTTTGGTTGAATTCTGTATTGTTGTAGGTACAACCAACTATGCAAATCAAAGAAAGCTCTCCCCTCGAAGTTTTCAGTGTATAATAGGGTGCAGGAAAGGCAAAAAAGCAACGCAAAAGCTGAGCATTATAAATACCAAAGATCCCCGTGAACGCCGCCGCCGTCTGCCCAACCAGCTGAATATGATGGTGTGGTAAAATACAAAAGAGTATCTGAAGAAAAAAAAAAAAAAAAAACTCAAAAAAAAAGCTCAGGGGCCTAGCCCCGCTTCTCATCTTTTTGTGCCCTCGCTTTTCTTTTGCTTTTGACTTAGTTCCAGCCCGACTGGCCGGCGTTGCCGTACGGGGTCTGGCCGTACGGCGTCGTGCCGCCTGCACCCCAGCCACCTTGGCCGCCGCTACCACCGCCACCGCCGCCCGCAGCATAGGGTGTGGTATAGCCCTGGTCTTGCCACGAGTCAGCTCCAGCACCGCCGTTCATGCCGTTGTACTCGGGCGACTGAGGGTTGTAGTCGTCGTTGCCGCCGAGATCGTCGTCGACGCCGCCGCCGCCTTCTGTCGCATTCAGCTCGTGGATGAGCGCGGCCAGTTTCTGCTGTAGGGCCTTGATGCCGTTCTGGACGATGGCGTCGGGCTCCATCTGGCCAGTGGACTCGATGTCGTAGTAGAAGCGGCCGGGAACTGCGTCGTAGTCGAACACCTCGCCTTCCTGGGGGGGCTCCTCGAGGCGAGCGTTCTCAGTTGGGGGCCTGGACAGCAAAGAAAACGATGTTAGGAAATGATGCAACAGATATATACAGTAGGGAGACACGGGGAAGCACGAGGAAGACGGTGCCCCCTTTCACACTGGTCACACGTACCACTCTTTTGCTGGATCTTGCTCGTACCACATATCCAGATGATGCAGCTTGTTGTGAGGGTCGTACTCGAAGCCGACGGCGGCCGTCGGGCACCACTTGGCATGCTCCTTGGCGATGCCCTTCTTCGCAATGCACGTCATCTGCAGCTCCTGGCCCTTGCGCAGCTTCGCAATCATGACACCCAGGCCGTCTGGGTCGCGGATCACGGGCGTGCCCACCCACTGGTTCGGCCGCGACGGGTCGACGACCAGGTCGCGCGCGTACACCTTCATGATCTCGTCGCTGGTGCACTTGGCGTGCAGGGTCAGCTTGATGGAGCACAACTCGCAGTACTGCTCGCAGTCGCAGTCGCGCGAGTAGACGACGTCGTCGGCATTTTTGGAATTGAGGGGCACGAGGCCCAGGCGGTGGGCAATAAACTCGTCGGCAAGCACGCTCGTGTTCTCCTCGACCTCGACAATGTCGATGGCGATGGTGGGCACCTCGGCGAGCACGATGCGGCGCACCGAGTTGGCAAAGGACAGGTCGACGTTGGTCAGCTCAAACTTGACGCGCTCGAGGTCGGCTTGAGAGATCTTGACGGCGGGGCCAAACGACTCGCCGTCGTCCATGAGCATCGCGTCGTAGTCCATGGCGGGCGACAGCTGTGTAGGAAAGGGCGAGGAGCAGGTGAGGAGGAGGTGAAGGGCGATATACGTAGGGAAAAGGGACGGGGGAAGAAGTTTTCGCCGAAAGACAGGTTCGCCGGTGACTCCTGTCGATACACGGCGAGCAAGAAACGGACGTCGGTGTCGTCGTGGGGGCGCGCAGGGCTGTCGGCGTCGTCCTTGGATTATCGTGAGGCAGAAAATGCAACGAGAGCTTTGCGCGAGGTCGATTTCAAAGAAGGCCCTAGCGGAACAGGAAATAGCCAAGGCTGGGGCATCACTGGTGGCGGTGGCGCTTGGTGCGCGCCCACGGCTTACCGCTTTCAGTGGTCCCTGTGCTATTGTTGTCAGCATAATAGGCCCTGAAGCTGGGCACGTGAGGATCCCTACAGCAGTCCAGCCGAGCAATTGTCCAATGTGCTTGCTCTCAAACCAGCCAATTAGAGGCACTCAGCAGCCGGAAACGGAGGTATTAAGTGGAGAATCTCTTTGTACCGTCTGGGCATGCAAGATTTTCAGTGTGCTCGCTCTCTGTGGAAGGAACCACCAGGCTGCATGGAAAATGGCAGGCGCAAGTGGAAGGAGAACCCGAACGTCGCAAGTAGAAGGTAGTTAAAAAATAAAATAAAAAAATAGGAAAAAAGAGCTCGTCCCCTCCACTGATTGAGAAAATTATTCGACGACGAGCTTAACCCGAGGGCGTAAAAACCAAGTTGCTACACGATCACACCAGTCCGCCTCGGCTTTACGTCCCAGGATAACAACCCGTTGCCATCTTTGTGCCGCCCGCGTCGACCTTTGCTCGCCACCATTCTCTCCCCTACCATCACCACTTTTGTCTCTCCCGAAACCACAGCGTCGAACCGCCTTTTCGACCTCACCTTCAAAATGCTTCGCCAGTTTGTTTCCGCCCCTTCCAAGGCCGCGCGCATGGCCGCCCGTGTCCCGCGCACTGCCGCCGCCACCTCTCCCTTCCTCCAGACCGCCACGCCTTTCCGCAGCGCAGCCGCCACGGCCGCCGTCCGGTCAAGACAGCCGCTGTCCGTTGCTGCCGGCCGGTGGTACAGCAGCGAGTCCGATGCCTCCAAGGCGGATGCCTCCAAGGCAGATGCCTCCACGGCTGACGCCAGCGAAGCCGCAAAGGACGGCGAGGCCGCCGGCGAGCCCGCCGGCGAGCCTTTGAGCGCCGCCGATGCCACGGCTCTGCGCAAGGACCTCGAGACCAAGACCAAGGAGGCTCTCGAGTGGAAGGTACGTTCACTCTCTCGCTCACTCTGTGATGCGTACACTCTCACCTCTCACCTACCTATGTGCTGACCATCTCGCTAGGACAAATTCCTCCGCTCCGTCGCCGACTTCCGCAACCTGCAGGAGCGCACACAGCGCGAGATCCGAGCGGCACGCGACTTTGCCATTACCGGCTTCGCCAAGGACCTCGTCGACAGCGTCGACAACCTGGACCGCGCGCTCTCGATGGTCGCCGAGTCGGCAGTGAAGACCGAGGCCGGCGCCGAGGCCGGCGCCGAGGCTGCGAACCAGGACTTTGTCAACCTGGTCGACGGCCTCAAGATGACGGAGACGGTGCTGCTGCAGACGCTCAAGAAGCACGGCCTGGAGCGCTTCAACCCCAACGGCGACAAGTTCAACCCCAACGAGCACGAAGCCACGTTCATGACGCCCATGCCCGACAAGGAGCACAACACCGTCTTCCATACGCAGCAAAAGGGCTTCCGTCTCCACGGCCGTGTTCTGCGGGCCGCCAAGGTCGGCGTTGTCAACAACAAATAAAATACGAACATACGGCCCCATGTACCGAAATGTCCATTATTCTCCCTTTTCACCCACCCTCCCTCTTGTCTCCCGTGTGACGTCCTCACGCTCACGCTTTGACGGCGTCCCCTCATATCCTCACGTATACATGCATATATTCTCGGGCATGCATCTCCCCGCCCTACCTCTACATCATCTCTCATTCATTGCTTGTTGGGTTTGCCTTCAAAATTTCCTGTCATCTGGCATAACTGGCGTTTTGGGGGGCAAGTGAAGTAAAAAATATTTTCGGCGGCGGCGAAGGCGGGGGTCCCTTGGTCTGTAACATACGATACTCTGCTCATGATATATATTCACACTATTTTTTTTTTTTGTTCTGGAACGCCCTGCAACTCCTGTTTCTTTGAATATTACATCTCGTCGGTGGTTGGCTGACACATGAGATGGAGCACATTACGAGACGTGCAACTTTTGGCTGCCTGACCGATGGCATGGGCACAATGCTTTATCACGCGTCGAAGGGGGTCCCGCTCCCTTCCATCACACGACGTCTGCGACGCCCATCCGAGCGAGCTGCGCTGCGAGGACCTTGGAGAGCTCGCTCGCGTCGGCCACGTCATAGTCCCTGCACAGACGCTCCAGCCGGGCCTCGCCATCACGCAGACGCCGAGTGAGAACTGTCTGCAACTCCCGCCCCTGTGCCAGCTGGGCCTCTGTCTCGCTCACTGTGGTTCGCACGCTCTGGAGGTGCTCGTTGATGCCACGTACCACGCGATCACGGCGACGGCGCAACTTCTGCACCGTGCGCTCGGACTGACACTGCTGGCGGTAGTGTTCCTTTGCTTCGTTGAGTTGGCGTGCCAGTTCGGCTGCCCGACAGACCGCAAGCTGGTGCTCAATGTTGGCGAGGCACCGCGCCTGTTCCGTGATGGCCGCCTGCGCCTTTTCGTTGGCAGCAACGAGGATGGCATTGGCCGCTTGCCCGTTTTGGATGGTGCGCCAGCTGTCGCGGAAGGTCTGCAGGAGAGCTCGCTCGGTTTCGAGTCCGGCGGCCATTCTATTCGGTCCCCAGCTGCAGAAAGATCCAGCTGGAGCAGTCGGTGGCCTTCTTCTATGGCAGTGGTCGACATCCAGAGATGTCAAAGTTCCGGTAGCGGGATCAAAGCGGCAGCCATGCACGGCTTCATTGACTTCGGACTACATTCAAAGTGGAGCATGTCAGGGCGTGTCAGCAGTGTACCAACAAAAGTCCAGCAAACAATACAAGTACGAACCCAAGTAAATGTCTTGGTTCTGCCCGTTCCCTTCCCAGCACCGTTCGAGCTACATGGTCTCGGGCCTGGTGTTATTGACAATTCGGAGCTCGACGAAGAGAATGGTGCTGATGACGGTGACGCGGATGGTGCTGAGCCACCAGCTCTGTTTTTTTGCACCCCGCCGTACAAACGAGATCGCAGTTCTTGACAGTCCCATGGTGCCATCCGCTGGAACAGCCCAGGCATGCCGGTTCCTCGAGGCGGTAGTTGCTGCTCGCCTTGCCCCTCTTGGAGCAGGAGCAAGTAGAGACCGGCTCGCTCCGGCGTGACTCCTGGTGGTGACCATAAAATGGAGCTGACGGGTCCGGCCTCAATGCGGTATACAGGGCTCAGCTCTTCTCCCGTGTGGATGTCAAACTGCCGCCGGTGGCAATATGGCACGACGTTGTTGCAGTGCTTTGCATCCATGGACACGTCTAGGATCTTGTCCTGCGGGGTGAGTGGCCGAAGAGACGCTTCGGCTGACGCAGATTGGCGGAGAGTGTCGACATCGTCGAGTGTGCAGCCAGCAGCAAGAGCCCGGAAGATGGCTGGTGATATGCGAACTTCGGCGGGATCCCCATCGTCATCGGAAACGTACGCATCTTCTTCTGTAGTTCGATTTGAGTTGTTAGTCGTGTCTTTCGAGTTTGGCGTCCGCCCGCATTTGACAGTCATGGTATGGCAGATTCCATACCGTCAGATTCGAAAGGTCCAATTGCCTTGGTCCATCCTTCGTCCAGCATGGCGTGGTCCAGCAGGTGGTCAGTGATGTCATCCCCGTTGTTATCGCCATCAAATTGCCCTACGATGCAGTCTTCGGAGAGTCTTTGAGTCCCCTGTGACAGCAACGGTGAGACAATTGGCTGATCGAAGTAGAAGACCGTCTGGCGTCCGAAATCGTCGTCGTCATTGATGTCGAACGAAAATGGCCGGGGCTTGTACGCTGCCTTGTCGTGGATGCAATCGCGGATGATCGCATCATTGACTTCGTTTAGGAGCCTGCCACTATTGTAAGTTTCCTGCTGCATATCAGACGCCCAGAAAGAGAGAATTCAGTCTTCCAAAAATGTGGACTAAACTTGACTTCATCGCGCCCGGCCAGCCTGAACGGGTCATCTACCGTCTCTTGTTCAGAGCCACCTCCGTTGCACTTCTGGGATTTAATAAAACAGCCGAATAACGGGCTTGGCTCAACGTCGCGCGGCCCACGCATGGCTTTGTATGCTCTCATGAATGGCATTGTGATCTTCATTTTTGGGAGGACTGTCTCCGGTGCAGCAAGTGATGGCGACACTGCCGACGAGGCAGAGAGCGGAGACACAGGCTGGTGCCAGCCAATGCTGTTGTCACCGTTTTCGCCCACGTCGTCCGTGTCTTCGGGGCCGACTACTTCTTCGGTACGAGCGAGCTCATCGTCGTTTCTGTCGTCTTCGCCACCTCCTACAAAGCTGAAAGGCAGCGTTGGGCTATCGTTAAAGGCAACACTCACATCCGAGATGCTGCTGTTGCTGCGGGCGTCCTGCCCGCTGCTTTGTTCGTCTTGCTCGTTCATTGTATCGTATTGTTCCTTTCGCTGGGGTATAAAGGTGCTCGTAAAGATATTGTGGTAATAATATATATTTGTGCACGAGGCGGTCAAAAAAAAAGTTCACGCCCTTCTCGTCGCGCGTATGTGACGCGCGGATATTTTTGTTGGGGGTTTCATCCGATGTCGTAGGGCTACTTGGAGTATCTGAGCATGTTAGCCAAAGTATTCCGTCTTTAGTCACGAGGCGTGGCTCCATATTCGAGCTATCCTGGAACAAAAACTAGCAGAAACAATCGACAGGCCGTCAATGGAGAGGCAGCTCTGTGTAACCTCAGCAACACAAGGGGCTTCCTCCATAGCACGTCGCATTTCTTGTCGATACCTTGACAATAGGACACGAGGACGCAGGGAAAACAATTCGATGTGAATGATACTGTCGACTTATTCGTTAACTGCAGCTAAGCATGTCTCTTTGGCACTTTTCACCCGTCAATAATTGCGTCGATCTTCGTCCCCTTCTTCGTGATGACATTTGGCTCGAGGATGCCCTCTAGCTCTCAACCGCCTTGGCCTTGTAGCCCAGGAGATTGCCGTCAAGATGCGACACCAGCCAGTACTCAACCCGCACCGAATCGATCTGCACACGGTACACGCGAACGTCATTGCCCCTGGACTCAACCCGAAGTTCGTCAATCAGAGGCTTGTATTGGCCCCGGGAATCCCAGTCCACAGGGTCGAGGATCGTGATACTGTCGGCGGGCTTGTTGAGCCCTGTGATGCCGACAAACTCATCTTTACTCACATGTCAGCAAGTGGCTTTCAAAGTAGGCGAGATCGGACGATTGGATTCGTGTGCTTACCCTCTGTAGGGAGGCTGCTCGCCTCGCCAATGCCGTAACTCACCGGCACCCAAGGCTCGTCCGAATCACTAACGTAGAAACGATCCCTGGCGGCCGTGACGAGTCTCTGCGGGACCTCCGTCTGGCTTACGCCAGGGTGATTTCCATTCAGGCCGTTCGCGCCGTTCGCACCCCTTGCATGGGCTCCGTTTGTGCGGTCGGCGCGACCGCCACTCGGATCTTCATTGGCCTTATCAAGGAAAGCCGCATAGGCGTCGTCCGAGGACATGATGCTGGTCGTGGAGAACCGGAAAGCTTGGAGTTTTGTTCGTTGTTGTGTCGATGTACGTCCGGGAGCCGATTTGTAGATGTGCCTCTGTTCCTTTGGTGTGCAGCGATGTGGTGTCTGTAAAATCACAAAAGGGGCGCGTCTGCCGCTGTGTGTGTAGTTTGTCGTGGCACGGGCGACGAAGGTGACAAGTCGGGGGGCCGCCAGCTTTAAGTATTGTTTTGGGTCATAAGGGTTACGTGGTGATTACGATTGGCTTAGATGAAGAATAGAGGAAAGAGGCAATTGGACAGGGCAGGTAGGTGCGATCAAAGTGTGCGGGCAGCTTGCTCTATCGTCCTTGCCCTGAAAGCTTGGATTGGAGGGGCAATTTTCGCGATTTGGGGAAGGAAGTCATGACGCAACAAAGCCTTCCTTCCCGCTGGGGCCCACACAACACTATCGGCGCTGCAAAGAAGGCACGACACAGCATGTCTCACAAGTATTTAACATTACTCTACGGTATGGACGTCATTCAAGGCACACAGTGGCACAGACGAAGGCGTATTTTGGAATATCTTTCAATTTTTTTGCTCATATTGATAAGTTTTAACGCCCCCGATTCACGCGGCGTCGACCGTCAGGCGTATCCCAAATGGATGAAGAGGTGTATGGCGGCATGGCCAGTCCGCCCCGCGCGACATTTTTGGTTCTTGGGAAGAACAGCTCCCAAAGCGTTCGCCCAACAAGCAAAAACAACAGTTACATGAAGAAACATGAAATAAATAGCGCAAAGCCCATCCCGATTTTCCTGTCCGCTGCTTTTAAATCGTCTGTCCATTGTACACAAGCCCGAACCAGCACCCAAACTCTTCCGCAACTTACACCATTTCTGGTGAAACTGCTTATGAGCTGGCGACAAGGTCCTTCTTGAGGGTGCCTTGGACCTGCTGCTTCTCCGCCGGCGTCTGGAAGGCACCGTGACCGAACTCGGACGAGGTGTCGATCCACTTGAGGCTGACCTTCTCGAGGGCTTTTCTGGAGGTGTGCGTGAACAGCGACTTGCGGAGGGTAACGACACGCTTCTTGATACCGGGGATAGAACCCTTGACCATGACGAAGTCGTTGTTGATCTCGCCGTAGCGGACGAAACCACCGAGGCTGCAACCGAGTTAGTAACATTGTACGAAGAGAGCTAATTAGACATAAACTGAGGAGTCCAAACATACGGAGTGATGGTCTTCTTGGTGACATCGACCTCGGTGGAGGCGTTGTCGTCGGCACCGCCCTTGCCAACACGGTAGATCTTGTGGTTGACCGAGGTACGGTGGTGGTAACCGTCCTGACCAGCACGGGCAACGGTCCACTGGACGTGGGCCGGGTGCCAGGCACCGATACAGGCAACCTTGCGCAGACCCTTGTGAGTCTTGCGAGGCAGCTTCTTGGTGCCCCAGCGGGCGGTGACACCGGTGAAACCGTGGCCCTTGGTGACGGCAATGACGTCGATGACCTCGTCCTGCTCGAAGATGGTGTCGACAGACACGGGCTTCTCGAACAGACCCTGGCCGAACTCGACCTTGTCGGCGACGGAGCCGCCGTTGATCTGGATCTCCATCAGGTGGGCCTTCTTCTGCTTCAGGGGCGTCTTGCGGATCTGGGTGTGGGCCAGGACACGGACGACCGTGCAGTATTTGCGGATGCGCTCCAGCTCGCGGGCGATCGAGGCACCCTTGCTCTCGGAGTGCTTCTTGGCGTACTTGGTGAAAGCCTTCTTCTTGCTCTTGTACCAGTTCTTGTAGAACCGGCGCTTCAGCTCGTCACCCAGATGCTCAGCCCACACAGTGGTAAGCGACCGCAGGCCGCGGGGGGTCTCGATGTACCCAACAAGGCCCACGACGATCATCTGCATAAAAAGATGTTAGCCATTGGCGCATTTCCAAAGCAAGTTGCAAATGCCAAGCGGGCTGCGTCGTACGCACAGGCGGGGTATCAATAATTGTCACAGCTTCCACCACCTCCTTCTTGTGCGCCTTGGCACCCGGACGGTCGAGGTCGCGAACGATCGTGGTCATACCGGCCTTGTAGCCGAGCGAGGCGGTCAGGTGGACCGGCTTCTTCGGGTCATCCTTGGGGAAGCTTGAGAAAAACCGTTAGCATTTTGTCTCGGTCGTAAAAACCATCTTGTGGCCGTTCTGCTTCACGGGGCCATCTCGGGGATCCTCCAGGTAGCCACTTACGACTTGACGCGACCACGGTGGCTGGCACTCCGCTTCCTGAAAAATTGTTAGTCCAAGGCGTCCATTTTCAGTCGATAGTTCGGGTCCACGACAGGGAATCGCGCTTTATCGAGGAAGACGGTTTCGAAGAGAGGGAGATCGTACCGGGGAAGGTAAGCGAGCGAACCGTGGCGAGGAGCCTCGTACTTGCGGTGAGACCTGGAGAACTTCTGTCAGCGAATGTCGTGTGTTGCGGAAGGCGATCCGGCGGCGACGCCGAGGCCGGCATTGTCGCAATTCCAGAAGTAAAGGGCACAGTAATTCATGAGGAGATGATTGCTGTTGTACAAAGAGTCGTAACTCACATTTTGTCGACAAAGGGTGGGCGGTGATGTTGTTGAGGTTGTCGAAAGTGGTGTCGATGTCGAGAGGGGAGAGGAAGATTTCAGAGGGAAGGGAAAAGTTCGACTATCAAAAAAAAACTAGTTCACTAAACAGGACAAGCGGGACAATTTTCTGTGCTGAGCAGCCCTAACTCATCACGTGCGCAGCTGGGCGTGACTTTTTCAAATTAGGGTGGAAAAAAAATGCTTCGGAGTAAAGTCCTTCACGTGACTAATGCTGTAAGTACCACGTGATAGGTATCGTGCCGTGCACGGACCATGAGCGCGTTAAGTGGAAATGCCTACCTGACCGCGACGCGTCGTGCTTTTCACGATATGCCACCGTCACTCCGTCTTCCATCGCACATCACCACTTTCGCGGCTCATTTTTGCTTTTCTTCGTATTTTGTCACCGACTGCGACCGTTGCGGAGTTGTAAACCGATACTCCACACCAAGAAAACATCTCACCACACTCACAATGGCTCTCATTGTCGACAAGCATCGGCCTCGCTCACTCGATGCCCTCACCTACCACCCTGAACTCACAGACCGGTTACGGTCCCTAGTATGCACCCGGCCGAGAAGGAGTGAGGATTGGAGCGTCTCTCTGGATATGTATGACTGACTGTGCTGTTCTTTCTTACGCAACAGGCACAAAGCGGCGACTTCCCACATTTACTAGTTTACGGCCCATCCGGAGCCGGCAAGAAGACACGCATTGTGTCTACCCTGAAGGAGTTGTACGGGCCCGGCGTGGAGAAGATCAAAATCGATGCCCGCGTATTCCAGACAACCAGCAACCGCAAGCTCGAGTTCAACATTGTCGCCTCTGTGTACCATCTTGAAATCACGCCGTCGGATGTGGGCAACTATGACCGAGTCGTGGTGCAGGATCTACTGAAGGAGGTGGCACAGACGCAGCAGGTCGACCAGTCAGCAAAGCAGCGCTTCAAGGTCGTTGTAATCAACGAGGCCGACCACCTGACACGCGATGCGCAGGCCGCTCTTCGCCGGACGATGGAGAAATACTCGCCCAACCTGCGCCTCATCCTCCTGGCGACATCGACCGCCAACATCATCGCGCCCATCCGGTCCCGTACACTGCTGGTCCGTGTGGCCGCACCAACACACGAGGAGATTTGTAACGTGTTGGCGGCATCGGGCAAGCGCGAGAACTGGCCTGTGCTGAACGGCTTGCACCAGCGGATTGCCGAGTCCAGTGGGCGCAATCTGCGGCGAGCGTTGCTTATGTATGAGGCGGTTCACGCGCAAAAGTAAGCTCTGTCTGCTGCATGAATCCGTGTACTGTGTTCGGCATCCGGCTAACAACAACATTTTTGCAGTGAGAAAATCACAGACAACACACCAATCCCGCCGCCCGACTGGGAGGCACTCATTGGCCACATTGCCAAGGAGATTATGGACGAGCACACCCCACAGCGCATCCTGCAAGTTCGGGCGAAGCTCTACGATCTGCTGACACACTGTATCCCGCCAACGACCATCCTGCGGACGTTGACGTTCAAACTGGTGGCGCTGATCGACGACGACCTGAAGCCCGAGGTGATCAGGTGGTCGGCGTTCTATGAGCACCGCATCAAGACGGGCACCAAGGTGATCTTCCACCTCGAGGCGTTTGTTGCCAAGTTCATGCGGATATTCGAGATGTATCTCATGAGCATGGACATGTGATGGATGCGGCGATGCTAGACGACAAAAGGAGCAGGAGTTGAAAACCTGTGTGAATAAGAGAAACAAGGTGGCATCGGTCGGAGACACGAGACTACGGATCCAGCTTGTCCCAGTCTTTGCGTATGACCTGCATCGCCTGCTTCCCTTTCGGCGCTTGCTGAGCTTTGTCTTTGAAACGGACAAGCAGGATTGCCCGCACATGTAAGCGACAGGTCGCACAGTCGCTGTTACAGAACGAAGAGGCGCATCGCCCTTGTCTCCGCTGCTATAGGAACAGTTCGGCGATTCTGCAATAAATCGGAATGATTTAATACGGACAGCGTGCGGCAGGGTCTACAGGTAAAGGGAGGCAAATGCATGGAGGCAACGATTACCACGCCTTGATGATACTAGGGAGCATTGTTTTTATATATTTTTTGCACGGCACATATGTTCTTGATTTTTTGGCATTGCGTCCGCGTCATTCTGAATGGAGTAATAGAGGATCCAACTGCACACCAGCAACACTCAACGTCCCACCACTGTGCAATGAATGGACCACTACGTTTACCAAGCACCCATTGTATAGATCCATGCGATCGTCTCCGACCCGCCAGCACCCATACTCGGAGGATTTATTTGGGGAACTGCCTACATGCTAGGCTTAACGTCGCACACCCAGCGCCGGGCGCCAACACCCCAACACCATTATCCTGGCGTTCCGTAAGGCTCTCTGGCCAGCTGTGGTGACCGCCTAAATTTTTGGGGCGTCTCACATGCTACCTGGAGTCTGGAGTTGCGAATGTTCCTTGTAGTAGTGTCCTCTGCTGAGCACCAGCTTGAACTGTGCGCCTGTGTGTGGTGATTATATGGGTATAACATTCGTGCAATTGCTTGGTAAGTCGCCCAACTTCCTTTGATAAATCGCTGCTCTAGTCGCATATTTAGGACAGCAGCCAGTCTGTAGCGTGCTCGTCACTACGCTTTGGTATATTACAAGTGAAGAAATGATCGCCCAGCCTCCATCGTTACCAACAGCCTTGTACGATGCTTGATCCAGGAGTAAATCTGCTACAGTGATCTTCGTTGCCTACTCGTCTCCCATAAAGGCCATTTAAAGTCTGTTTGCCGGCTGAAACAGGCGTCGTATCGAGCTGCCTCGTGTTGCTTGTTTAATACTATATTTCGTGCCGAGACTGCATCAAAACCTCGTGGATACTCTATATATATGACATGTTGCAGAAGGTGCCGGGCCGTTTGGAAACTTTTAAAGAGCGCGGGCTTGGTATTAATATGCGGGTTCATGTGCAAATAGGAAATGCTATGCTCTCTGATGCGAACAGGAAAACCACGCCCACACATTCTCATAGTCCCTGAGTGCTGCAGCGTTCTTAGATAAAATCCACCGTCGAGGACAACCGCAAAGCGTCTTCGCACCCGATACTTGTTTCGATGTTATCACAATTTGCCTTTCATATATTCTATGCGGCCGGACGAGGAATGAAAATAAAATAGGATAGTGCCATACACGAGCAGACCGCATGCCCGTTGGGGCTTCATTCACATCCCGTTTCTTTCCATTCTCATCCGGTCCTTGCCACATATTTCCCATTTCCGGAGCCCACTGAAGAACAATGAAAGTCCTGCTAGTTTCCGAGCCTCAATGTTGGGACTGGCGCGTGTTTGTTGCCTATTTGGGTTGTCTTGTTCGGTTCTCGGATATCATGCGGTAAACCCAAGGTCAAGTCAAGGGTAAATGGCGAGTTATGATGAAGCGGCGCCACAGAAAAGAGACACATTGCCGCGTTCGGGCGGACATACGGCTAAGGTGGACTCCTCCAAGGTTCGCCCTTCTAGAACATTACTCTGTTTTACCATTCCTCCATCGTCTCATTTGCGGGTTGGTGGCCGCTATCGCACGCACGTAATATTGCGGAAGTGGACCCCTTTTCTCATTTGGCTAGCCCTCGACTCCAAACGGATCTTGCAAGTTAGTCCCAACAGACCTCCGTCCGTCCAGACAACAATACTCTGTAGAATAGCTTTGGTTTCTGGAAGACTTGAATGACCGCAGAAGCCCAAGCCTGTCGCTAGATTTCTATTCGGACGAAGAAGGTATTTAGATGTTTATTTCGCTGAACCTCCGGAAGCCTCGTTGGTTACAGGTTTTGCAGGTATCAGAGGACTTACCCGAATTTCCGAACGGACGTTGAACCTGGTGTTGCATTGTTTATTGTCTTGACAGCCACTCCAACAAGTGGAGAAGAGGATTAGGCAGTGAGGAGACGTGAAAGTAAGCGTGAGATCTCGGACCTCCAGAGTTGCGCAAATCTATTCGCTAGAAAAGGAGAGGATTATGCAAATCGTATGTCCAGGGTAAATTCGACCAACAGACGTCTTCAATTCTCTTTGCTTCTGCGGCCAGGTACGGCATGCAAACGTCGTACAGATGTGGCACAGCGAGGGCCGGGGTCGCAACGACGGCCAGGCCAAACTCTAAACCGTGAGCGCCTGTGATGTGCACCTGGTCGGTGAGCAGAGCACGGTCACTGGCTCTTTGGGCTGCCGTATTGTTCGGCGCGTATGTGCAGCGACGCCGGGCCCTAGAGTCATGAATCCGACAGTCCACTTTCGTTGGCAGAGGCTGTCGTTGTTGATATAAGAAGCAATAGCAGTGCAGTGGCATGTCTGCTGTGGATTTCCATGTCAACAGCTAACTGCCAACGGAGACGCACCCTTGCGACTTCTTTGAGTGTGCGCTGCAAGGTGGCGTATATGCCTCCACCCCAGCAGGCGATCCCTGGTGTTTGTCTTCCTCCGTCTTTCTTCTCGGAACTCTTTAGTCGTTTTCTGGTTGCAACTTGCCATTTCCCCTTCACCCATAGGCCCAGTTGCGACCCCATACTGAATCAGGCCAAACGCCAGGAGCAAAAGCGGGTTGGGTTGGATTGCATGAAGGGGAAGCTAAACCCTTCGGGGGTACACCCCAACTCTTGTAAGTACTGTCGAGTCGCACCGGGTGTAATTCGTACAGCAAGGGGCCCAGTCGTCAGACACTTCCTGGCTCCTGGCTTTTCTTTTAGCGGGAGAGTCGAGCTGGCGAAGTGGTTAGGGGGGTGATACCTTGTAATCGATACACCTCCATCTCGTATGATGTACTTCGTACAAACAAATACGACGGGAGTGGGGAAGATGGCGTGTGCAAATTGTGTGCGGTTGGTTTTTTCGAGATGCGAATGGAGTTGTTGTCTGTTGTATTTTGTTGAAAAAGCGCTGCCGATCAGGCCAAGCTGCTAACGCAGAAGGCATGCACATTCTCAGTATTAGGCAAGAGACAGGTCACTAGACTTTGTTTTCCCTGTCGGGGAGAAGGAAGGCAGAGGAAAACAGCAGCCGACAAAGGAGGAGCGAATGAGCCAGTCGCTGGGCCTTCCCAGCGATTGGACTAGGGCGACTTGTTTGTCGACGAAAAGTGGAGAACGCGCTTCTCGCAGCCAACAAAAGCACAACGGGGCTAGTGCGACGGACAACGAACTGCGGACTAACCAGTGCAGACGAGATGGAACACGAACGAATCCCCAAACGTTAATTTTGAAGGACACGACCGCTAAAGGGACCATGTACCGATACAAAATGAGCAACATGTGGCGCAATGAACATGTGTAGAGAGATGTGGCCCAGGTTCATAAGACACAAATAGAGCTGCGGCTGCAAGAGCAAACCCAGGGCCAACGCAACTGCTTCATTGGGTATGAGGGAGATCTGCCGTTGGATAGGGGGGGTGCTTGTGCTCTTTCCGTTCCTGCACTGGGTTCACACAAAAAGGAACGAGTGCGGGGTTCGCTCCTTTGTGGCTTCTCCTTTTTCCAGTCTCTTGCCTTGCCATCTCCACTTGAAAATAACGTCCCCATCCATAAATCAAAGAATAAGAGAAGCACATTGTGACCTGCAAATAGCCCACAGGTTTGTACGACAGGAACGCTAGACCCTTTGTTTGTCCGGGTGCCTCGCATCGTCCTCGTCATTCGTGACAAAGACCCTTTCAGGTACGCGATGTGGTAGTGGGTGAAGGTTAGAAAGAGGGGGCTGCAGAACGTAAGCAAGCGAAATCACAGTATTTTTCCGTGCTGGCGGGAAGAAGCGCCGAAGGAAAAATGCGACCCCTGTCAACATGAGAAGAGAATACCGTCGTGAGCAACCCCATACATGTGTGTTGTAATGGATGTGAGGTATTAATGGAGTAGAATCTGTGAGGCATACGGCCTCCATGGCGAAAGTTGCGCATTCATGCGCGGCCTTCGTTTTGCCGTTCATTGATATATAGTCAAGTCTGTCGGTCGTGGTTGTCTTTGGTCGGTGGGGTTTCGCAAGTTGGGAAAGTGCGATGAATGGTGCTGGTGCGCATCTGCTTGTTTTGTGAACAAGAAAGAAGACGCAACTGCACAGTCTCACGGTCTCGACTCAGTTGCAGGGAAAGTGCGACCGCCAACCCTTCGCCATCATGCAGTGTAAAATTATGCAAATACTTGTTCTGTGCAGCCCCTGCCGAGCAACGCACCTGCCCAAGGCGGTACACATAAGGCGTAAACATCCTCGCCAACAACCATCGCCATCTTTGTCTCCCACCCCTCACTCCATAACAAACACAACGTGTGATGGCCACCAGCAACGTCAGTGCTCGCGTCTGCCCCTCTTCTCTCACTAGCACACGGCCGCAGTTCCCGCAGTCACCGGGTGCCCAGCAACATTGTTCGATACAAGCAACCATAGTCAAGGGTAAGCCCAGCGGCAGCGCCAATCCAGACGGGAGGGTGGGACGAGGACGCCGAAACGACGTCGGGCGGACGGAATCGCCAATCCATCCCAAAGCGGTTGTGTCGTGACCACGAACGCGCCAGGCGCTTGTCACGGTACATGTTGTTGCATTCAGTGCCCGCCCTAGCGTCTGGTAAGATACGCCTGTAGCACACGACGAGCCAACAGCGGGCATGAGTGCGACGTGACAGCATCCAAGCAACCATGCGAAGCAAGACGAAAACAATCAGGAGTAACAGAACAACAACGAGGCGACAAAAATAGGACAAAGACTACGAATTGACGACGTACTTACCCCAGTCCTCCAACCACAGATTATGGAGGTTCGAACGCAGGTCGGTCTAAACACACCTCCAGAAACGCTTCATCATTTCCGTGGCTTGGCCTGGCTCACCTGCCGTGTAAGTCGAAAGTACTCATACATTATCCTCCCAACCTCGTCTCCCTTCCGTCCATCCAGCTTCTGTGGTCCTCCGCACTTGTGCCTGTGTGAGCTTAGGGCTGCAACTCCCGACATCCTTCTCTCCCCCCCGTTTTGCCCTTTTTGCCCCCCCCCCCCCCCTTCTCCCCCCCTTTTCTTTCCCCTACTCCGCCTTGTCCTTTTCCTCGTCTCCCAGGTGGCTGTTTGTGCCCTCTTCCTCGTCCCCGCGCCATCTGCATCCTCCACTTCCGTGGTCCTCTGATAGTGCAGGCTATATGGCTGGCGCAAACATGGTTACTTGGAGATGAATTTTGCACTAAGAACAAGCACTGTTCCACACATACGCTACAAGTGGGTGCCGTAATGCTAGCGATAGCTCCCCGGTCCTCACTGATCGTCCGGTCGCAGTCCAGTCCATTCGCATGTCCGTTTCTCCCGCTGACCAGCCCAGCAGTTCGTGGCCTCGACTTAATAACGGCTTCCTGCCCCGTCTCCGCCATGCTGGTAGCTTTCCCTTCTTCTCCTTCTTCCCTCCCTCTTCTTTCTTGAACCTCTTCTTTTCCCACATCTCTTTCTCCAGCCCTCTCCCGGTCCCTGGTCTTGACAAGGCTGCACGTCTAATTACCCCACCATACACCTCTCTCTCCCTCACTTCTCCCACTCTTGCTGTGCTGCCCTCGTGCTTCACCAGCAACAACACGGTATGTTCTTTACCCTACGGTACGCCCGTCGAAATACGCAGCTCGTCGAACTCCCGAACAGCCGCCTTTGACCTCTGAGGCCGGACCCCAGTTGCGCCGATTTGATCTTTGGAGTGTGTGCTGACTAGTATTTTTTTTTGTCTTTACTTCACCTGCAGCTCCTACAGCTTGCTTCGATTTCGGCACGTCTCGAGTCACCTATTCTTGGAATCAGCTTGTCCCGGCCTTCCCTAGGTGGCACTAGCTCAAAGCGTGACTCTGGCAAAGCCTCTCCAACGTGTTGCAACATTATAGAAGACGAGCAAACTTGCGGCTCCAGACCTCATTCTTTTACATCTCCCCTTTTGTCACTCACGATGACTTCGTCACCGCCCAAGGCCCCTGTTGTGGCTGAGGCCCATGAGGTCGATACATTTCGTAAGTTTTGCTTGCCTCGGTTACGTCTGGGAAGAAGTGCGGTAGCACAGAACTTGTTGAGCCAGTTAGGCCAACCTGAAAGCGCCATAGACACTAACTCAACTTTTTAAAATCACAGACCCACCGGAGAAGATGCTGGCCAGTATGTTGCACCCTGAAAGCCCAATTGAGTCCATTCTCGGAACCAGGCTGCGCTGTTGTGTTGCTCTGCCTCTGCAGCTCGGACCCGGGCAGCTCTGTGCCGAATTTGAGCACGATCGAGAGCCCCCGGTTGCGCTCAGAGGCAGGTGCGCAAAGCGATTCACCGTTTCGATTGACCTAGGCGTTGCGAATGGCGAAAGCTGCAAAACAATGAAGAAAGTAATATATTTAAAATGCAAGCTAACTGGTGGAACCGCAGAGCATCCGTCAAAGCCACATCTCGCCAGTGAGTCGTCCTATCCGTTTGCCCTGCCCCTTGTTCGCTCCTCACTCCGACACGGTTCTGCATTGGCGCGTCGTATCCCCTTGTCTGCGCTTATCGGACAGGCAATTGCGTTCGGCGCCACCATGCCCTCCAAACCGCTTTTGTTGGGCGCTAACTGACTGGCAAAGACATCCAGGAGTACGAGAAACTCTACGAGGAGTCCATCAAGGAGCCGGAAAAGTTCTGGGGCCGCCAAGCACGCGAGCTGCTCACTTGGCAGCGTGATTTCCAGACGGTCAAGAGCGGTTCTTTGGACAACGGCGACTGCGCCTGGTTCCTTGAGGGCCAGCTTAACGCCTCCTACAACTGCGTGGATCGCCATGCTTTCAAGGACCCTAACCGGGTCGCTATCATCTACGAGGCCGATGAGCCCAACGACGGCCGTAGCTTGACCTACGGCGAGCTGCTGCGCGAGGTGTGCAAGACCGCCTACGTGCTGAAGAAGATGGGCGTCAAGAAGGGCGATTCGGTTGCCATCTACTTGCCCATGATTCCGGAGGCTCTGATTGCCTTCCTAGCCATCACCCGTATTGGTGCGATCCACTCCGTTGTCTTCGCCGGTTTCTCATCCGATTCCCTGCGCGACCGTGTTATCGATGCCGAGAGCAAGGTTGTCATCACCTCTGATGAGGGCAAGCGCGGTGGCAAGCTCATTGGCACCAAGAAGATCGTCGACGATGCGCTGAAGCAGTGCCCCGACGTCCGCCATGTTCTCGTCTACAAGCGCACCGGCGCTGACGTGCCCTTCACCAAGGGCCGCGACCTGTGGTGGCACGAGGAGGTCGAGAAGTGGCCCTCGTACATTGCTCCCGAGCCCATGAACTCGGAGGACCCTCTGTTCCTTCTGTACACGTCCGGCTCGACCGGCAAGCCCAAGGGCGTCATGCACACCACGGGTGGCTACCTTGTTGGTGCTGCTGCCACCGGCAAGTACGTCTTCGACATCCACGAGGGCGACCGCTACTTCTGCGGTGGTGACGTGGGCTGGATTACCGGTCACACGTATGTCGTCTATGCGCCTCTTCTGCTCGGCGTTTCTACTGTCGTATTCGAGGGCACACCCGCCTACCCCAACTTCTCGCGCTACTGGGACATCATCGAGAAACACCAAGTCACTCAGTTCTACGTCGCGCCCACAGCGCTGCGACTGCTGAAGCGCGCTGGTGACCAGTACGTCAAGCATAATATGAAGCACCTGCGTGTGCTCGGCTCCGTGGGTGAGCCCATTGCCGCTGAGGTCTGGAAGTGGTACTTTGAGACCGTCGGCAAGGAGGAGGCCCAGGTTGTTGACGTATGTTATTTTATTCACTTTTGTCCTGTCATTCAGTTGTTGCTCTTCCACATAATACTAACCACCGCAGACCTACTGGCAAACCGAGACCGGCTCCAACGTTATCACCCCCCTTGCTGGTGTGACCCCCACCAAGCCCGGTTCAGCGTCCCTGCCGTTCTTCGGCATCGAGCCTGCCATTATCGACCCCGTCAGCGGCGCCGAGATTACGGGTAACGATGTTGAAGGTGTTCTTGCTTTCAAGCAGCCATGGCCGAGCATGGCCCGCACCGTCTGGGGCTCGCACAAGCGCTATCTCGACACCTACCTGAACGTCTACAAGGGCTACTACTTCACGGGTGACGGTGCAGGCCGTGACCACGAGGGCTTCTACTGGATCCGGGGCCGTGTTGACGATGTCGTCAACGTTAGCGGTCACCGCCTATCGACGGCTGAGATTGAGGCTGCCCTCATTGAGCACCCGGCTGTGGCCGAGTCGGCTGTCGTCGGCGTGCACGATGAGCTGACGGGCCAGGCCGTCAACGCCTTTGTGGCTATCAAAGACGGCAATGAGATCAACGACGCCCTGCGAAAGGAGCTAATCCTGCAGGTGCGCAAGAGCATCGGTCCCTTCGCGGCACCCAAGGCCGTCTTCATCGTTCCCGATCTGCCAAAGACCCGCTCGGGCAAGATCATGCGGCGTATTCTGCGCAAGATTCTGGCCGGTGAGGAGGACCAACTCGGTGACATCACTACGGTACGTTTTCCCCATCTCCCCCGTCTCCGTCTCGTATTTGGTGCCATGTTTGTCAAGCCGTAACTAACTCTCGTTAGCTGTCCGACCCGACCGTTGTCGAGAAGATTATCGCTGTCGCGCACGACGCCAAGAAGAAATAAGTGTCGAAAATGACAAATCCAAAAGAAAAGAAAAGAAAATACGTACGAGATCAAAATGATGAGAGGGTTGGTTTAGTTTAGTCTCTTTCATGCCATGATGTTTCCTAACCACGTTCCGCTTGACATTGCTGCTTTTCTTCTTGTTTGAGATGCCCTGTCTCTTTGTTTCTTACTTTTGAGGCCGGCGAGGTGGATGCTATACCACACAACAACGATTTGTTTGAGAACGTATATAGGACCATGAAAATGAAAATATATACAGTTTGATGCCATCTCACGGGTACGCGATGAACGAGAGTGTGCGTGCGTCGTACAACGCTGAGATTCCTAATACAGCCTGTTGGACATTTCGGCTGTGTTTTTGGCCGTGCTTGGCCCGCCTCTCTGGGTCGGCATTTTATCCGTGCAACGCACAGCACAGGCTGAGATGTTAGGAGGGAGTACTCTGTCTCGTCTGTTTTACTCTGTATTTCTACGGAGTAAAGGTGTGGAGGCCAAACGAAGAAAAGCAACCCTGTTGAAACGTCGCACATGCAGGTGTGGCTCAGGCCCCGGCCCAGAAAAGTCGACCTGGTAATTGGTGATTGTAACTGTGACAGATGACGGTGACAGCAATCCTCTTGACAAGAAGGACGCGCAATGCTGCCCTGGGCTGACTTGCCCCTTCATCTTGGCAGGCGGTGCGATTGTACGGACGGACGGAGTAATACCCCTTGACCTCGTACCTCTTCTCTTGAACGCCTGCACTCTTCAACATACAGCCACAGATGGGTACTAGCTCGTATTGGCCACTATTTCGAGTAGCAAGTTGCTCCACCCCGCTACTGGACGGTCCACACGCCAATACGGTACCAACCCCGTATTACACATCATCCCACGGCTTGTTGCCTTCTCACTTGGACACGAATCTCGAAAACAAAAGAGGCAAAAGTATGTCGTACTCGTAGTCAAGCATAAAAATATGGTTAAAAAGCAAGACATGAACGCTCCAGGAAAGCCGGAACGGCGTTTGGTGAGAAGTGTCCCGCCGCAAGAGGTACAAGTGTCACGAAACAGGGATTTTGCAAAAGGTGAGATGAAGGAGGCCGCACCGAGAAAAGCGAAAAGCAGGATTCGGCCGCATCGTCCGGCCAATCTCTTTTTTGCTGCAGCATCCCTCGCAAATCCTTTGGGCCTCTCGCTTCGTTGCTGGTAAGAGCAGCAGGAGAGGCCGAAGGAGACACTGACAAATCCTCTGCATGTCTCTGCAGAAACGTGTGGCTCAAAGGGAAAAGAGAAGAAGAAGAAGAGAAGAAAAAAAGAAAAAAAGAAAAAGAACAAAAAGAACAAAAAAAGAACAGAAAAAAAGTCATCCCGTGTTCCGAACGCTCCTGCTTGGTTGTAGTTGGTGTATCTGGTCCCTCCTCCACCGCACCTTCCATGCCTCGTTTGTCTCCCGCCGCCCTGGCTCTTTCCTGCCCCGTCTCCGTTTCTTTGTCTCGGCCGCAACTTCTCTGTTGGTTGCGATCGTGAAAAAGAGAGGGCAAGCAAAAATAGGAAAGGACTTGGAGAGGACGGAAAGAAGCGTCGGGCGTTCCTTCTCAACTTCGCAGTTGCCCCATGACGCCGTCCCATTCACACGCATTCCATCCCTAGTCGAAAGGACGGCCACGCCCAGCCCGCCAAGCAACCTAGCGCTTCGTTTTGTGGTCTGCATCACCTCCCAGCCTCACAGCCCATCCCCCTCACGTTTCGACCTCAGTTTCTCGTCCGCGACGCCCGGCGCCTGGCCCTTTTTCTATTCCCACGCAGCCTCTTTTTTCCTTTTCCGCTGCGTCTATCGTCTTTCGTTCTTTTCTCGTTCGCCGTCCCCCGATGCCAAGGCCCGTTCCACGTCACCTCCACCTCTCGACATCGCCTCCCTCCCTCTCCGAGGCTTCTTTCTTTCTTCAACTGCCGTACCGTCAGCTCGCTGTGATTCCTGTTGCTTGCTTGCCCTTTTCGGTTTGCATCTTATACTATCTTACAATACGCGTCTTTGTGGCCATCTCGCTCAGCCACACTCTTCCCACAGACTATACACCGTGCGACGAAAGACACCAGAGTCTTTGTTTATATAACCCTTCATCGCGTCCCAGATTCGCGCCACGTTGTCTCGCATTCCTTGGTGTTCTCGCTTTCTACTGCAAATCTGCTTACCATCGACGACTCGGCTAACACATGGTCAACACACCACCTTGGTAACTGGAACCGACGGCGCAGCGCTGCTCCCTTACTTCGCTCCAAACTATGCGGAACTCATGGCGGCCACGTCCAGGCGGCTCCCGGGGCGCCTCTTCCGGCCCCCAACGACACTTCGTCTCACTCAAATCCACGTGCCCCGTCTCGCTCTCCCGGCCGCTCGCCTTTCTCCTTACGACCCTCCTCGCCCTCAGCTGCCTCATTTCTGGCGTTCATGCTGACTCTCGACCGCGAAATCCCTTGCGCACAATCGCCCGCGTCGAAGACGCCGTCCTGCATGCACCATCACACCGAGTGCACGCGCTCTCGCATTTCCAAATCTCCCTGACGCTGCACCAGGAAGACTCTGGCCGCCGCCTGCCGGTCCGCCTCCGCCTTGAGCCGAACCACAACATCCTCGCCGACGATGCCGCCATCCATCACATGAATGCCGACGGCACCATTGTCGTTGAGAAGATCAACCGCCTCGACCACCGCGTCTTCATGGGCCACGCCTTTGTGCAGACCGGCCACGGCCTTGTTGACGGCAACATCAACGACAACCACTGGATCAATGCCGGCTACGCCAGCGTCTACATCCATGCCGACGGCGATCGTCCCATCTTCGAGGGCGCCTTCCATCTAGCCGGCGACCACCACCACATCCAAACCAACCGCAACTTCCTCCACACACGCGTTGCTGGCGATCCAGTCATTGGGTATGAGACCGACGAGTTCATGGTGGTGTGGCGCGACTCGGATATTCTGCCGGATGCAGCCATGCTCGACGTGGAGCTGCGGCGCCGGTTGATGCAGCGGGGCCTGGACTTGACGCCCGTCGGGAACGACACGATTGACGGCAGAAGCCTCTTCGCTCCAGGGTGTGTCTCGGACGGCCTGGCATTCAACCAGGACGCCTTGCACCCGATCTACTCTGGCATGGACATTGATCGCTACACGGATATTGTCAAACGCGAGTCCGGCTCGGTGGCGTCCGCGTCCAGTGGCAGGTGGCTGTTTGGCCGCCAAATTGATGGCACGGGTGGCACAGGCGGCAACGCCGGAGGCATCAACCTAGCATCGACCATTGGCAATCCGTCGGGCTGCCCGACAGCCCGGAAAGTGGCCCTCATGGGCATTGCCGCCGACTGCAACTACTGGAACCTCTTGCGGGACAACACGACGGACAACATTGTTGCCCAGGTGAACGCGGCGTCACGCGTGTACGAGAACACCTTTAACATTTCACTGGGCATCCAGCATCTTCTCATCCAAAACAACAGCTGTCCGAGCGATGCGTCGACCACCGCCACGCCGTGGAACGCGGCCTGCGGCCTTTCCATTACAGACCGGCTGAACCTCTTTTCCAAGTGGCGCGGCGAGTCCGCCAACGACAACAACGCCTTTTGGATGCTCCTGAGTACGTGTGCCACCGATTCGGCCGTCGGCCTCGCCTGGCTGGGACAGCTGTGCGTGCCGGGCTCGCAGTCGAGCGGGTCCCAGACCATCGCTGCCACCAACGTCGTCATTCGAACCTCGACGGAGTGGCAGGTCATGGCACATGAAATCGGCCACACATTCGGAGCCGTGCATGACTGCACCAGCCAAACATGCAGCGATGGCACCGCGACGAAGCAGCAGTGCTGCCCGCTCAGTGCCTCCAACTGCAACGCCAACGGCGCCTTCATTATGAACCCGAGCACGGGCATCGGCATCACACAGTTCTCGTCGTGCACACTGGGCAACATCTGCTCTGCCATGGGACGCAACAGTGTCAAGTCGTCGTGTCTGAGCAACAACAAAAACGTCGTCACCGTCACAGGAAGCGAATGCGGAAACGGCATTGTCGAAGCCGGCGAGGACTGCGACTGCGGCGGCGTCGAAGGCTGCGGCAGCAACAGCTGCTGCAACCCAACGACGTGCAAGTTCACTGCCAATGCGCTGTGCGATCCGTCCAACGATGAGTGCTGCACGCCAACGTGTCAGCTCGCAGGCAGCGGCACGGTCTGCCGCCCCAGCACGGGGTCATGTGATCCGGCCGAGACATGCTCGGGCACCAGCGCCGCATGTCCTTCTGATGTCACGTCGCCCGACGGCATGGCGTGTGGCGCTTCGGGCTCCGGGCTCACGTGCGCCTCGGGCCAATGCACATCGCGCAACTTGCAGTGCAAGACGCTCATGGGATCGCTGACGACGAGCAACGACACCTACGCGTGCAGTTCGCAGGGCTGCCAGCTGAGCTGCGCGTCGCCCGAGTTTGGCCCCAACACGTGCCTATCTATGAACCAGAACTTCCTCGACGGTACGCCGTGCCAGGGCGGTGGCCGTTGCAACAACGGCAACTGCGAGGGCGTGTCTCTTTCCAAGGAAATTGCGGAGCTGTACCGCAACAATCTCGCGATTTCGATCCCCGTTACGGTGGTCGTCGGTATTTTGGTGCTCCTGCTCTTCTCCACCTGTCTGTGCTCCATTGCAAAAGGGCGCCGTCGCCGCCGGCACATGCGCCAGCTCGCCCGCATGGGCATGCCGCCGCCGCCTGTGCAGCCGCGCTCTCCTGGGTGGTTCGGCCTGGGAGGCAAGCGGCTGTCGAAGAACACCAATGCCGGTCCAGCAGGTCCAGCGGGTCCAGCGGGTCCTCCGGGTCCTGGCGCGACCGGTGCCGGCGTCTACGGTACATACCGTGGCTACGCTGTCGGTGGCGCGCCCGGTGCCACAAACGTGGCTCAGAACGTGCCGCCCGCCGATGGTGCTCCCCGCTCACGCTGGGCGTTCTGGCGCTCCAGCAACACGGGCGACAACACGAACAAAAACACAAGCGCAGAATCCGTCAACGTCGCCCAAGTCCCGCCAGCACAGCCGCGAAGCTTCCACGACGATGGAAGCAACTGGCCAACACCAAGTGGCAATCTGCCACCGTCGGTGGGTCCGTGGAGAACGAGCGGCTACGGCGGGGGCCCAGGCGGCCCGGGTGCACAAGGACCACCACTGCCACCGGCCTACGACGTGCGGCCACAGCCGCAACAGGCTCCGCCACAATGGACTACACAGTCTTTCCAGGCTCCTCGGTATGCTTGATCCGAGATGACCAAGAGCGCGTTTTCCAGCTCCTTTTGTACTTTTGTAGCGTTATTGCGGCTGGTACTATTTTGTTTTTGAATGAGTTATGCTGGTTTCATGGGCATTATTGCATGGGTTTCGGGATTCGGCTTTGCATCTTTTCCATCTCAACTACCTCTACCTCTCTGGCGCATATACAAAGAATGGTGGGACACACACCCCATATATAATAGATTAGCTAGGAGGAGTACGTTTACATATCTGGTCATATTCTGGTTCTGGTACATAGCAACGAAATTAATCTGGCATTAATCATGACATGAAAACAAAATGGCATAATGGTTCCCTCATAGACAAGGCAACTATGTGAGGAGGAGTACTGCTACCCCATTCATAAAAGCAAAGTGGCGGCACTAGATCGATCTATCGATGGCCCAAAGGCCCAAGTCATGTCCTCCTCTTGCATCGGGTATCAAACTGAAACTGAAAACTGAAAACTGAAAACTGAAAACTGAAAATGGACGCGTAATAAAACGGTGAATGTACGAAAGCAACAGGCTGTGGGCCACCCCGGCATTTACTGCCTGGACGTCCTGCTACGACCGGATCGACTGCTGCCGCCGTCCTTGCCATAGCCGGCCCTCTGCTGCTTGGCCGTGCCGGTTGGGTCGTGTTGGCCGTGGGACGACGAGCCGGCCGCTACCGACGACGGCGACAGCATCGTGTCGGTGTCGTAGCCGCACATGATGTGCATAAATGTCATGCGCACCGCGGGGATGGACTGCAGGCGAGAGGCGGTCGTTTGTAAGCCAGTGTTCAACCCAAGGAAGGGGAAGGACAGGGTTTTGGCGGACGGATGGACTCACATCGTTCAAGCTCAGGGCGTACATCATGAGCAGCTCCGGGCTGTCCAGCACCGTCGTGGCATGCCGGCGGCGCTCGAGCTGGGCAAAATTGTCGAGCGGCGCCTCTTCTGGCCGCAGCTGGGGCCCGGGCGACGGCGGGCGCACAAAGTTGGGCGACATGTGGTGGACGGGGCCGGCACCGGGGGGCCTGCGGTCGGCGGCACGCAAGCTCGCCAGGCGGTCTTCGTAGTAGGGCTCGTTGCGACGCGTCAACTCGTACCTAGGGATGTTAGCGGTGTGTGTGCTCAAACGCAACACGACTGTACGGAAGCACGGTACGGGGAGAAGGGGGGAGAGGCCATTGTTGCATACGGATCCTTGCCCCGGGCCTGGAGCTCTCGCATGTCGTCGGTGAACGGCTGTTCTGTCGGCGGCATGCGCATAATCGCGTACGACGCTGGCTGCCAATTGCGGTTACCCGGTGGCCGGGCATAGTGGCGTGGTGCAGACGAGCCAAAGGCATAGTAACTCGGCGTTGAAGGCACTCCAGGGCCGTTGCCGGTGCCGGGGGGTTGTCCCTGGCCACTGGGGCCGGCAGGATTCGGGAGCTGCAGCTGGTCTGGCGACGGCATGTGGAGTGTGGAGGTGACAAGCGGAGATGCGCAAGCGGATGGACTCGACGGTGTGTTTGATGACGGGATGGTGTGCGGCAAGAAGTGGGAGGTATTATGGTATTATATGAATTACGTGCAAAGGTGAGAAAGACAAAAGCAGCTCAGAAGTACGGCTTCGAGCTTATCCCGGTTTCGGACGGGAGGAACTCCAGCTCCTTCAAGAGGACAGCTCTTGCCTCGACGACCTGGACCTTTTCCGTTTCCGCTTGTTGTGTCTGTGCTTGTGTCCGTGTATTCTGTTCGGTGGCCTCAACAACTCTGTGACGAGGCACCGCCTTCTCTAAAATTAGAAAGGAAATAGCAGGCCCCTGCGTGGCTGTTTCCACGTCACACAAAGGCGGAACTGGAATATAAAGACTGTTGTGACCAAACAGCAAAGGACCGACGGAGCGCGTTCAAAAGCTGAGGCGCTCAATTGTGACTGCCGCCGCTTGAGGGTCCCTTCGTTTGAGGCGTGACACGTGTTTTGTTCTCGATGACGACAAAAGGTTGCGTTTTCCAAAGCAACCATGGATCCTAATATGTATTGTCACCTGGCGGCGTTCAACGGTTCCGGAGAGCACATTGGCTGTCCTTTGATCGTTGCGAGAAGAGAATCTCCCGAGGCTGTGCAAATGCTCTTGGCTTGAGCGACAGTCGAGAAAGAAAGGGTGCGTTTGTTTGTAGTCAGTATGGCGAGAGGTCAAGAGGGTTTGGCGTTGTATTTGAAGCAGAAGGACAGAAGCAGGCGATGACAGAGGGGGTCGTCAAGAAAGCCAGAACGGGAGACAACAGAGCATGACAAACGGGGATAATAAGACGTGCATAAAAGAGCGGAGAACAACATCATAGTACAATACAATGGGCGCCGCCTGCACTCCATTCGCTCTTGCCGTGGAGAGCAACAGGCCCCACCAGTAGCCTTCTCAAAAGAGGTGCAACTGTGGCGGGCCGCGCTAGCGCCGGCCCATGTGGCTTCCTGGCCAAAGGGAAGGAACGAAGCAAAGCGTACTCACTACGAGCCAGTACGACAGAAGGTTACTAATTAGCAAAGGTCCGTTTGCCTGTTTGGTGGCGAGTCTATGCCTGCAGCTTGGTTTGCGTTGCTTTCCCTCTTCCCCGGAGTCGGGTCGCAAAGGTGTGTCAGCTCCCTGGCCATATGGGGCTAAAAACAATACACGAGCAGGAAAGGAGTGATCCATGAGACAAGGTCATATAACGGACTTTAAAAGCGAATGACCTATGGCTGTATCCGGGGATGTCGTACCCATTGATATATCACATAAAAATCACCACATAATGACAAAGAGATAGTTAACGAGTAGAATCGAGTTTTGTATCCAGCACTGTTTTGCTCCAATCAACACCAGACAGAGTCGACAAGAAAATAAGAACAATAGAAAGCCCACCTCCGTAATCTCCTCGCCATGCACCAAACATGCCTTAATGGGTTCTTTGCTGACCCAAAACACCTCATCTTCTGCGTTGTATTTAGAATACGACAGCAACAGAGACAACCCGGCTACAAGACAAAGGAAAGAGACAAGAATGAATGCAAGTACAAGAACCAAAGACACCCAGAGACCGAGAGACCGAGAGACCGAGAAACCGAGAAACAAAACGCTGCCCGACAAAATGAGAAAGACACAAGATTAAACCAAGGATAGTTGGACTGAAGAAAGGCACTGCCTAGTTGTCTCCCTCGTCCAAGAAACCTGCCACCTTTTGTTGTATGCGGCGTGCTGTTGACAGGTTGGAAAAACGATATTGAGAGAAACAGAGAAAGAGTGCGTGCTGTAGGAACGCCTATGTGAAATGAACAGATTTTTTGTGCATGAAATAAGTGAAAAGACATATAAAAAATGCTGAGAAAGAGTATACCAAAGTGTGCAATGCCTGCAATGTGATCCACGAAAAAAGAGGACACGAGAAGGCGGGCCGAAAGTCCCCGACAAAAAGACAGAGCAAACAACACAAAGAAGAAAAAAAAGAAACGATTATCCCACCAGATGCTCCTTGGGTCGTCATGTCTTCGTCATGCTCCCGCATGTAAATAGTGTGAAGAATGTTGGGTTGTTGTTATGCTTTGTAAAAGGTACATCAAATGTATTGTAATTGTATCAGGATAGTGTACACGCCCCCAAGTCGAAGGGCTTGTTATTGTATGCGCTCGGTACCGTCTTTTGTTATTAATTCGCACGCAGATGTTGGCCAACCGGCTCTGACAGGCGCCCGGTATGCGATTCAGACTAAAGTGATACTCGACAACGCCGCGACTAGGCGTGCCGCCGCGCCTGCGGATTCGTCGCGCACACTGGTAGCGGCAGAGGGATAAATAGGGAGACGTCGTCAACCAGCGGGGTATAATGTTAGTCGCAGAAGATCGATCCGTTGTATTATGGAGGTCGTGATTTGGCTGGTAGGTAGGCGCTCCCAAATTGAGATTTATCAGCTTCACCTGAAGTTGATTACCGCCAACTGGATATGGTTAGCACGTCGTAAGCCGAGGAACAAAATAAACCAAAGACACTCGATAACAAACGCACCCGATTGTTGACGCCATACGCCAGTTTCTGTCCAGTCGCATCCCAGCACAGACAGTGTGTGTCCTCGTCATCGCCGTCGTTGTTCAGCCTCGGGCTGTGCCAGCCGGGGTGCGGTTCGCGTCGCCAGCTGGCCCGCGGAATTGCATGGTCGCCGACCTTCCAGATCAGAATCCGATCCGGCGTCGCACCCGCAATGAACGCACCGTCGGGCGTGAACGCGACTGCCATGACCGGCAGATCCATAGTCATGGAGCATTTTGGCTTGCTGTCGGGCAGGCGTGCGTTCCAGATGGTGATCGCACCGTCCTCGCCTCCCGAGGCGAGTAACCGTTCGTCATCAGGAGCGGTAGTGGACTGCAGGGGCTGCCATGCCAGTGATGTGATAAGGCCGATGTGCGCCGATATCGTGCGTCGTTCACCGTTCTCGTCCCAGAGGTCAATCACGCCTCGTTCGCTGGCTGTCGCGGCAATTCGAGATAGCGGGTCGTATTGGACAGTCGTGAAGCGTTCGTCCTTGCCCGTGTTGAAGGTCCGAGCTGGGACAATGCCATTCTCCGTCACGGAGAACGCAGCGAGAAGATCTCCACCGCAAACCAAAAAGCTGGTCTCGCTTGTCCAGGCCACATCAAGAGGATCGCCACTCAAGTCGTGGTCCTTGAGCAGGTACGACGACACGCCCGCGGCCAAAGCCGAGAACACAGTCACCAGGGTACCGCTGCCCTCGGGAGCGACGCCGAGGATGGACGTGCCGTTGGGATGCCACCGCAGCTTTATGACAGGCGGTTCGCGGACGTTGTACTGGTGCAGCAGCGTGCCATCGGGAGACCAAATGCCAACGCGGGATTTGCTGCCTGCCTCTGTGGCGAGTGCAATGGAGGTTCCGCTAGGATTCCAGGCCAAGGCTGTGACCGTGGAATGTTGTGCACCATCCTCGTCCACCAGGTCCTTGTACGACTTGTCCAACCCGTTCACGTGATCGGCCACGGGTTCGCCAGCACGCGAGATTGTCCAAATGCGGGCTAGCGCATCTGTTCCGGCAGCCGCCAAAACGGCTGGATTGGTTGGGTTCCACTCGCAATGCAGGACAATGGGGTTTTCGTGACCGGGCTGTTGCGACTCCATTAGGCTGTTGGAGTCCGCGACAAAATCGGGTGCCAGCCGCAAAAATGTCGTATCGGGTGCCAGCTCCTCGACTTTGTCGACTTGAGTGCCTTGCTCTGGACCATCCGTACGCGGTACGGGTGTTGATGCGGGTTCACGTTCCATTGGTGATGGATATGCATGCTGGTTTTCGTTCCCGTCAATGTCCATAGGTGTAGATTGCGCAGTATGCGCAGCGTCTGCGCTGGACACCGTTGCATCGTGGCCATTACTCAAGCGCTGCTTTTTGGCGGGTGATCCATTTTGCTGCGGCTGCTGCTTGGTGTCGATTTGGCGCTTTTTCGTGCCGTCCGCATCGTCGGCCGGTGGCGGTAATGCTGGGGCCGCTGGTAATGTGCTGTTGGGAGTGGAGTTGGCGGCGGAAGGTGTGATGTCGGTGGCGGTAGCGGATGTAGGCGGCGCGGGTGCACCGGCGACGGGAGCCGACGCGGTAGCAGAGGCAGGTCTGCCGTCGACCGTCGCGTCCCGGGGTTCCTCCTTGTGGAACGGTGGCGGTTGTGTGATGAGAGGCCCGAAGATCCCCTTAGGTTGGGCGGACGTTTCTGTCGCCTATAAATTGTGTGAGAAGGCACATATAGATCAAATGTGCAGGCAAGCGTCGAAGCGCTGTGAGTTGGATAAAAAGGCACATACCGAGACCAGCTGTTCTGAGTAGGATCTTTCAAGAGCCAAGAGATTCAGACCCTTGTTGACGACATTCACGAGCGCGCGGGTTCTGACATATGGCGCAAAGTCAAGCTCACGGTGCGGTGCCTGCACGTGCCATTCTTTTTGGAACTTGGCAGCAGTGTCGCGGAAGTCTGTCGTGGTTAGTTGTTGTGCGCAAAGGGGAACGAACGCAGCCACAGCCTGGCATGAAGCATGGCGGTGAGAGGTCCTTGATCACGGTCACAAAACAAGGTTAAGAGGCGCAGGTGGAGCGCGAGAGGGTTGTAGCATTCTAGTGCAAACGAGACGGTAGACGGGCAGACACAGGAGCAGGGCAGTGGGACGAGATGGAGGGACTGCAGGCAATGAGGTAAAGAAAAGTTACATACTTCCTTCAAGAAGGTACCTGTTCGGATTCGACCCGCGTTAGCATCTAGACCTCTGTTTGGGGGTCACAATCGTGAATGGAGATGTAGAAACAAGGACGCGAAGCGTGAGGGCAAGTGGCAAAAGCAAATTGGGGTGAGGTCCCAGGGGGGCTGCAGCGAGAGAGCGGAACACGCAAAGATCAACTCGCGTACGCGCAGCATGACAATCACAAAATCGAAGGTGCAAAGTCGGGCA